TGAGTGATGTTGAATGATTGTCGCGCATATGTCACTGCCTCAAGGGTGACGCTAAGTCATGGCTAGATGACTGGGTTACCGCGGATCGTTCATGGAGTAATTTTAAGAAAGATTTTAAATCCTTATGTGTAAAAATATTAATATGGCTACTATTTTGTACGACGTCCTGAGTACTAGTTCGGATGCTTACCCTACTTTTGCTGAATATGCTCGACGATCCTTACTGCGTTTGCGTATGGTAAAAGGGTTGAGTGAGGAACTTATAAGCGCAATCGTCATACGTGGAATTACTGATCCGCATATAAAAGCATCGGCTACAAATGGAAAACTTATGCCCTGTGATATAGTTAATTACGTATCTACCTTCATTAAACTAGCTGTAGTTAAAATGAGCGTCCCTGTATCTCACAATGCCGTGGAAAGGGGAAGGGACTCCTGATGAATGTGCTGCTTTCTTTGTAAGTAAGTAACGTACGCTTCCTTGAATACTAGACCTTTATATGTTATGTCTAGTCTTGTGTGTATACTAGACCTTTATATGTTATGTCTAGTCTTGTGTGTATACTAGACCTTTATATGTTATGTCTAGTCTTGTGTGTATACTAGACCTTTATATGTTATGTCTAGTCTTGTGTGTATACTAGACCTTTATATGTTATGTCTAGTCTTGTGCCTATACTAGACCTTGATGTGTTATGTCTAGTTTTGTGTGTATACTAGAACTCGAATTGAAACCTTGATGTATTATGTGTAACTTTGTGTAAACCCTTTACCCTGTGTTTGATATATCTAACCTTTTGAATGTGCAATCTATCTTTATGGCAGACTGTACTTTGACAATGACTTTTTGCTTGTAACTTAGGTGCAGACCACCCAGATGAGTTAATGATTCCCTCATGTGCAGATGATATGTATGTTGATATTGCTGAAACTCGAAACCATTGCAATGACGAAGATGCTCCAAATCAGCCTGACGAGGGCGTCAGAATGTCAGGAGAGGCCGTATAAGGATAAATTCACTATTTTGATATTCGATAATTAATCTGTGAGCAAGCTCAAGCTATCAAGATATCAAGAGTCCTTGTCAAGTTGACTTTACTTTTTCTCGAGCTGACGTGATATACGAATCGGTGTATCATTGGATAGTTTTGTAGAATTGTATTCACAAAACAGAAATTAATACAAGTGCTTAAAACTGAATAATTAATTATCAGATTTATGTAAATAAGTTTCTACTATTGTTCTTTTGTGTTTATAATATATTTACACTTAGAATTTGTATCACAATTTTGCTAGCTATTAGTAGGTACCTAGTACCTACCTATACTATAAAGAAAATTTCTAGAGTTAATCAATGTTGGTCAGTTAGCTATTTTTAAACACATTTTATAGAGAAAGAAACTATAAAAAATCAGTAAACTATTTAGACATATATTATGTGGAGATACTATAGTATCCATAACTTCTAACAGCGTACCTACAATTATCTTTTTGGCTGTAGAATTATCGTTAAGTACAACCACGGTAATGCTATGCATATATTACCGTGGTACAACGCTTAGCCTTTGAAATTATACGTTGTTATTCCTATCTACTCAGTACCTAATCACTATTAAACTATAATGTTTGTAAAAACTCTATTTAGCACACGACAGATTCGAGTTTTTTTAAGATTCATTAATCATTACTTAGATTATTTATATGTAAAGAATCATTAATATGTTTTAGTATGCGAATATGTCGAATGTTAATAACTTTTGGTTACAATTTTTTAAGGATTGGCAGAAAATTAAAATATTTTTTTTATTTCTAAATTAAACTTCTGTACTCTGTAGTATAAATGTAAAGAGGCTTAAAGAAAACACCTACTAATTTTATAAAGGAAGTTATTACGGATGAAGTTTAATTTATGCAATCAAATCTATTATTTCACTGAAATATTAGTTTATCAATTAAGACACCGTGGTCCGTGGCTGACTAAAGCAGGAACTGACAGATCGTATTACAAAAAGCACGTATAACTAGTGAGAACGACTCGTCACTCAAGAGTCCCTGAGATACGAACTGGCTGTATTCATTAATACTTGATCATATTAATCAAAAAATAACTATATGACTTAGTTCATAAGAGTTGATTTTCTCTACGCCTCTTCATAAGTTATACATACTTAACTTATTTTTCGATAATAGAGTCGTAGTCGGTTTTTATATCATTGGAATCCATACAAATATTATAAAAGTGAAAGTGTGTTTGTTTGTTTGTTTGTCCTTCTTTCACGTCGAAACGGAGTGACAGATTGGCGTGATTTTTTGTGTGGAGATAGGTGGAGGGCTGGAGAGTGACGTAGGCTACTTTTTACGGCGGGAGATTATCCCCACGGGAAAACACGTTAAAATACAATTCAAATAAATATTTATGATAAGAATTACCTACTTGAAACTTGGTACTAATGCTCATTAATAAAATTAAATAAATACGTGTGTTAGCATTTTTCAAAATTCATCCTATAAGGATATGTATTTGTATGAAAGTACCTTTTTAGAGATTTTTTTGTAGTTTTAGCGCGAGCGAAGCCGTGGTTCTGCTAGTATTTTATAAGTAAGCATTGCTTCTACATTTTCATTGAAATTTAAAAATAAAAAGAAGAATTATAGTTTAGTGAACCTAAGTATAAACAAGAACAATTTTGTGTAACAAGAAAAGACAATTTTGACGTACAATTTCAATACAATATTTTTTAAATACTTATCTATATGTATATTACCTATGCTTAAAAATATCTACTGTATAATTTTATAAAAGAAAAACTACTTATGTTATGTACCTACCAAATAATAGGTACCTTCTGCCTGTAGAAAAAAATGAAACCTCATTATTTCAACGTTATATAAGAACTTTATAAATTATTATGAATATTATTTAGAATATTATCATCGAAGAAAACTAAACCTTACCGTCTATCGCCTGAAAGATATTTTTTAGAATACTACCTATGTACTACCTATGTAGGTACATCTGAAAATGAGATTAGAAATGCAGATGTGTTTAGATTTTAGTACATACATACATTTATTATTTTTATTTTCTACCTACTGAAGATGGAGCGCAAGATACAGAAAAAATATACAGAGGTGAACACCTCCTACTTTTTAAAATCGGTTTAAATGTTATGTTTCAGGGATATTAAGAATAAGATATTTTATAAACTAATTTAACAGTGCAGGATTTTTTGAATCTGGCCATATTATGGTAGGTACTTTATTTATCAATTAAGACTGTTTGAAGCTCATACAATATTGCCACTTAAAAATATTTAGGTAGATACGTTTCTGTATACTTATCATTATACATAGTTGAGATCGAGCAGACTTATCAGTTAGGCCACTTAATTCCTTCAATAGCTTTCCATATTAACAAATAATACTTAATTTTGCTAATTTGAATAAAAATATTATTATATGGGAGCAAGAAAATTAGATTAATAAAGTGGGTTCCTTGTTCAGTAGACGTTTGTATGCTCAATGGAAGTGGGAATGTAGCTAGGAAACTAGCTTTTAACTAGGACTCCTCAAACATATTTGCAAGTTAAATTGTATTCCACTCCCTAAGAAAGTTTTGTACAAAAATCTACATTTTCTTCTCGCAGCTACCTAGATAGGTAAGATTATTTTTAAATCTAGTAAGATTTTTCATAGCTATTGGCATTATTTGGTTAATACAATAAAAAAAATACCTGTAATACCTATATGAATCTATACATATAATAAAATTGTAACTAAGTCGAATCTGTACATTAAATATTTTTTGGTAAATCTTATTGAAATAGACATTTTTATCGATACGGAGGCCGAATCTACAGTTTTTAAAATTTTGTTACCGCATCACAGAAAAACCACTGGATGGATTTTGATGAAATTTGGTATGATGATAGCTGGTTATCCGGGTCAACATATAGAATACTTTTTACCGCGGGAAAATATCTCATTTCTAAGAAAAATACAAAAACTGCAATGTAAGAGTATACTAATATGTAAAACCTAAGAATTTGGTTTTTGGTTATCTGAACGCGGACGGACTTTTTAAACCATACTAAGGATAAAAAGAGGTGACATATTATTTACAAAAATTTGAAAATATTGGATTACCAATATTTTTATGACTTTTTATTTCATTTACGTACAGGCGTAATTAAGTAGATAATAGATATATAATATTATTTACCAGAATTTCTTGTCACCAAGATTGTCCTATAGTAGAGCAACGATTACATACCTACCTTTTAGTGTACAAAATTACAATTATTTTTTTATTTTTTAAATATTAAATAAAGAGGTTAAGGCTTACCGGGCCTAATCTCCATATTTAATATTTTTACGACGTCATTCTCGTTAATTTCGGGTACGAGTCATAACAGTACGCGATATGCAAGCGTTGCTCGTAGGTCAGGGTCATTAGACCTCACTTGGTGACGAGTAACAACACTGTATGTGGAGATAGCAATATTCAATCTTATGATTACATAAATAAAGTCGTTTAAGACGATTTATAAGTTGTTACTTAAATGACGAATAGAGCAATATTTTATACCTCGTAATAGAGCTGTTCGAGTTAGTGTTAGTATCAAGTTTCTTGAAAAGTGTTCCGTGGAATATAAGGCTTCGAATGTATTACTACTATATTTACAGTAGAGTATTTATAAGTTCGTTGATAAGTCACTGGAGCAATGTGTTTAGATGTCGGAAAAACAAACAAAGACTCGTGCATACGATAACATGTCATTCTTTGCAATCATAAATATTTACTGGTTCAATGACACATCTTATTGGGATATCATGCCTACTAGCGCCATCTCTTAGTGATTCGCGTAAACGTTAATTATATTAGGAGTTAAGTACTCACGTGAAGAGTCAAACGTAGTTTAAACTTTTAGGAGGCTCTACCGCGGCATTCCATTACAATGCACATGCACAATCGGTTATAGACATTTGTTATTAAACAAATGACGGCTACGAATCGCGTCGACGACACATTCGTTAACAAGGGCCCGGAACGGACTGTGTCCGGGCCGCGGCTCTATCCCTTTCGTGAGGGCCGACACTCGGGGCGCACATTGGCTGCACCGAGAGCCAATCGCGTCGCACGCCGATCTTCTTCGCCACTGGCCCGGCGTCACAACGGTAAAAGCGGTGGGGAAAATTGACAAACGAATTCGCCTACGCCGCTTAACACTTCTCCCGCCATTCAATCTACACATAAATTGGCGTCTCAGGCCACACCACTCTATGTGAGACACCAATCACCTGCAACCTCTCACTTGGCTGACGATGAAATCTCAATATAATTCTAAGGTATACTGACATTTTATAAAGCAAAAATTTAATAAGATTGTTTCTTCTGTGTGTGTGATTGTTTTGTTGTAAGAATAGCTTATTTAAAAAAATCTACAATTACTTTTATTTGTATTTAACTCGTTTATTTTGTTATTTATAAAGAAATTAGGTTTCTATTAATGTATTTATTATAATTTATCACATCGTTGTTCTTTTTGAACATTATAGAGCATAAAAATTGCTTACGAGTATAGTTTGTAACAACTGACGACACATATGGCTCAGTTTGTAGTGACCCTACTTACTGTGCCAGCGGTTGCGGGTTCGAATCCCGCTGGGGCATTCATTTGTGTGATGAGCACGAATGCTTGTACTCCAGTCATGGATGTTTATATTCATAATATGTAAGTACTCGTAATTAAAGCAGGGTTCGAAACATATCATTGATAATTATCTTCGATAATTATTATGATAAATATGGGTTGATAATTATCTTTGATAAATATAATTAAAAATATTTAATTTGTAACCCTTCAAATAATTGTCGATCAGCAAACTGAACTCTCGCAATCAGCTTAAAAAAACTCAATCAACAAACTGAGTTAATGCAGTTGAGGAGGATGAGGATGATATTCCACTCATTAAGGAGTAAGCGACACGGACTACTATGCCAACTAGAATGTATCATTCGCGTATGAACCGCGTATCCTCCACGTGTCATATCCGTATAGTTCCCGTTTTCTCAGTCGTAGTAGTTCACCTGTGTTTTCGAGTGAGGCAGCCGCGTCAGGAAGAGCGAGTGAATATTTTTGTTACGAAAACTATTTCCTATACCTATACGATGGCTATTAAAAACTTGTCCGACAGAAAATTAACAATGATAGCCATTGTTTTAGACGAAGAAGAAAGAGTATAACATCAGTCGATCACGACGTTACTAGGTTTAAAAAAAAATTAAAAGAAAATATTATCACTAGAAGACAAGCGATAACAGGTTTATAACGGGCTTAGAACGGTCATCATACGCAATTATTACCCGTGTGCTTACCGTTTCGCCGTCCGCGCGCACCGGTTCGCCAACGTCGCGTGCCAGTCACGGAGGCAAGTAGTCAAATACCAATACCTACACAAGGATTGCTAAGTTTATATCTGTTTGATAATTGTCTGATAATTATCGCCATAAATATCAAAAGATATATTTATCTTGATAATTTCATACCCTGATTTAAAGTTATTTATGTGTAGTGTATCAACTATCTGGCACCTATAACAAAAGCCTCGTAGCTTACCATGGAACTAGATGGTGCTGTGAGTCAATGTCCCAAGATATTTATTTAACTATTTATTAAGTTACTTCAGTAGTAATAATATAATAATATAAATATACCTATGTTTGATTCATTTTTATTATTTTTACATTTAGGTAGGTACCCCTTGAAATAAAACTCTATAAATTAAGTTTTAAGAATTGGCGCTTGCAAACCGGCGAGGTGGGCTGTGCCATTGAGCAACAAGTTACGGAGACAAAAATAAAATAAAATTGCAGAACTTTGTTTGCAACTTGTTTTATTAACTTTGTGAATTTTATATCTAATAGGTATGATTATATAAATATACCTAATATTAATATATTTTTTCCGCTTCCTATGAAAATATTGTTAATTATAAAAATACACAGGGCATATCTATACTGAACTACCTAGAACAGAGTAGGTATATGATGAACCTACCTAGGAATGTAAATGAACACAAAATATCTAAGTATATATTTAATAATAAGTGTTTATTAAGGTAAAAACAGTAGGTACCTATTTATTTATCAAATATCTACTATAATGTCATGACAACATATATCAGTCGATAGTCGATACCTACTTTAATAGATACGACATAAGACTAGGTATAGAATGTAGGTAACTAGGTACTGAAAATATTTTTAAACTATTTCTCGTCGCAACGACATTTCATCTTTTTACGTTCAACGCTTGTTATTGCATCATCAACAGCTCTATTCACCTCCCACCAAATACCACCACCCAGGACATTTCGAAAATAAGGAGGCACGTTATCTTCTCTAAGGAGATACCTGAAAAAAGTTATAAGTAGGTATTGCAAAGTAAAATAAAGTCTAGCTGTAATTGCAATTCTGTGATATGGACGTGTCATTGGTTTAGGACGTAGTACTGAGCGGCTAAATTATAGGGCACTGGTAGGGCAAAAATTTTAATGAAAAGTGTTCAATAAAATCCTAATCTAGCCATTACTATCCCGTGATCCAGAGATCACGTACTTTCATAGAGCATGCACCTGCGGTTACTATTTACATAAGTAGGTACATCTAGATGGTTAGTGGATAGTTTCAAATAATTGGCTGCCGTGGCTGAAATTCGATCAGGAAGACAATCATTGAATTATCAATCCTTAGAATAGGACCTACCTATTCGTTATTTAAAAACATACTTGTTAGATAAGTATTTTATATATAGGTAGGGTAAGTAGGTACCTAATAGAAAACGCTAAATTTGACTGTAGCTAAACATATGAAATTATTGCCTGATACTCGTAGATAGGTACATATATTGTAGTCGTAATTGTAGAAAAAGCTCTATTGAAAGACTAGCGTTGTGTGTGCAATGAAGCATTTTCAATGGAGTAATACATAATTGAGACACATTGATACTTTTACAGTTTTATTACAGGTATTTCTTCCGAAATATTCGCGTTGGTTGATAATAAATAACTATACTTAGAAATTGGTTACTATGAACCGTAATATTTTTACCTGTAAAATTGTTCCTCTTTATATTCCTCCGCACGACGACGCCAGTAGCGCTTAAGATTCGGGCTCATCTCTTCAGCGACTTCGGCTTCCTGTATTGCGCTTCCTTTTTCGTATACTTTAAATGCTTGAGTTTCTGAAACATTTTTTACTATTGTCTATAAGTATCTACAGCGCTTTAGTCTTTAGCATGCATTATTAATTTATACAAAGAAATTTAAATTCTTTGCAACTACGTAGGTACCTACCTACGTAACTATTTCAAAAAAATCTGGATTTTTAATTTAACCATTTCTAATAATAAAAAGTTGTTTAATGTTCAATAATTATTGAAAATCCATAAAGACAGCATCAGTTAACACACCCGCACAATTGACATCACTGAAAGTGCTGCATTTATTACGTTGACTCCCTTCACCTTTCCTTCATTTAAACTACATATAGTGGGTATAGGTACTTAATAGGTATACGTACCTATACATAAAATATTTAATGTGGTCATGATCTTTATCTTTAATGAAACCAAAATTATTATTTTATTGAAGAATACAATATATATTTAAAGCCTGCAAAGCTATTTCGAGAATTTTTCAGGGCCAGGCTACTCAAAGAAAAAAATTGAAATAGCCTTGAACTTTACCACAATAGGAGTAGCTGAGATCAGAGTTCTAATGTAGTAGGAAAAAGACATGAACGAATTAACCACAATTCGTTCATGGAAAAAGATTATAGTATACCTACATATGTACCTATGTACCTATCTAATATTGTAATTAATTTCAAACGGCATAGAATTATTAGGTGAAATAATAGGTACCTACCTACGCTTTTGCTTCTCTGCACGTAAGTAAGTTACTTTTAGTAGTTTGAGATGGATTACCGAAACATATAAGTAGGTACCTATATAGTGGGTATACCTACCCGTATAGCTTTAAAATAAGCTTTAAATATTATATGGGAGCTTAAAATTTTCATAAAAACTGTCGCCGCAATGAGTGTTTATATATTCTTGTGGTCACCTAATGTTAATAGACGAATATAAATAAATAAAGATACTTTTCTAAATGTCAGCCTATGCTACCATGTTATTAAACGATATTTGTATCTCTATTAATAAGACTGCACCTTCATCGAATTCTTCTTCTCTAGAAATATCTTCTGGGGGCGGTGGCGCTCTTGTGGTAATTGTTAGTTTAGCTCTGCTTTGAATATCTTCCATCAAACGATTCTTCATATCTTCATATACCCTGTTTTTAAATAAATTTCGTTAATTATATGAAAAGTACATATGTACCTATTAGTAACTATTGAGACCGTCGCTTATTTGTTGAGGCAGTTCAGCCTTCACCTATTATATAAATAATTTTGACATGGTAGTTGATTTAATAACGAGTGACTCACCCTCGCCTCGCTCGGGTTCGTCCCCACATTGCTTCCCTATACAAACTTTCATCTCCATTTTCACCCTCTTGATTTCCGAGATAAAAAATATCCTATGTCCTTTCCAGGGTCTCAAACTATCTTCTTAATAAATTCAGCTAAATCGATCCAGAAGATCCAGAAAATACCCCCTACAATGTCACAAACTCACAATCTCAAAACTTTATCTCTTTATAATATTAGTACGTACCTATAGATAACCGTACCGATATGATGACAATGCAGTTCTTTGATCGAACTGATCCTGAGATCATGAGAGGTGGATTAATGAAGTATGGTGGGATGAAAGGGACATTTTTGATATTGAGGCTCTAGAAAGTGTTTGAGATAATATTTGGAACTGGTTGAAGTCGAATGGAAAGCCTCCATTATTATACTACTGAAATAAAATGTACTAATTCTCGTTTCATTATTCTTAGTTATTTAATTCCGCATCTTAAAAAAATGTGTACTTTGTCCCTTTCAATAATAGCCTGTATTGAAAGGGACATCATAGTTTATGAAAGGGACAGTACATAATATCAAGGAAAATCACTTTACACTTTGCTACACATGTTCTAAAAATATCAAGTATTTGTAAAATAACTACTTAGGTATGTTTCAAAATAAAAAAGTGTCTGGAATTATTATTATTAAGTCATTATTACTTTTTTATATAAAAAAAATAATTATTTAAAAAAATATTTATTGTTGCTTTTTTAAAAAACCGCTCAACTGATTGCATTATATGGGACCGCCTGGGAAGTATATCCTTTAAAACAAAAAAAAATTCTTAATCGGTTCAGGTGTCTTCGAGTAATCGGTGAACATACATAAAAAAAGATTCCGACGAATTGACAACCTCCTCCTTTTTGGAAGTCGGTTAAAAAAGTAATAAACTTAGGTAGTTCTTCTTCATTGGAGGTATATTTGTCAGTTCTCGGCAAAACCAGTGAGGGTTTTAAGAGACTGTGGTCGGTCTGTCACAAAAGAAGATAAAAAAATTTCATCTTGACAGCCAATCTGACAGAGATGCCGTTCTATTTTACGTCATTCACTGCATCTTCAATTTTGTGTGCATCAACACGCGTTCTCTTTTAAGGTGGCATTTTTAATCTGTAAAAATAGCAGTTGTGAAACGTCCCGTTCATAACCGTTTGTTGTGTCCCTTTCATAAATATCATACCAAAATTGAAAACATAACCACAAAATTTGAAATTTTGGATTAAAATGTACTGACTTTTTATACTCGTATCTGTTGATCTCTAGCTGATCATAAACAGTGGATAACGAAAAAATAATTAACAAGCAGCACTCGGCAAAACGTTTCGCCATTATGACAGAAAAAATACTTTTCAATGCCAATAAAAACAGTTACACGACTACGCCAACTTTGAAATGACAGCAGTGTGAAGTTAGTCGCGAACGAAAGCTTATCAGGACTGTCATACGACACATATAGTGTTGACCCGAAATTGTTTTTATTCTGCCAGTTATTTAAATCGTCCCTTTCAATACGTGTCCCTTTCATACCATTTCTCCCTATTAGATAAGTAGGTATGTAAGATATTTTTATTAAATAAGAATCTTAAATCAGAACTTAAAACTGTTTTGTCTACATTTCTTGATTTCAAAAGAGTAACATTCGGACTAAGTTCACTTTTACTTCAGAGAAACCTTTACATTTCTACTACATAATGTATACCTAGTAAGTACCTAACTACCTGATAGGTAGGTAGGTACTTAACACAAAAGCTAATTTTATAATAAGTAGGATGAAACAATTAGATAATTTAATGGCAAACCTATGTGCAATAACTTGTACAATTTCGTCACTTTTGCGCTCATTTTCAGTTCTAAGATCGTGAACAGGCACACTTGAAAGGGTTTGACTATCAGCTTCCATAAGATATCGGTATCGTAGTATGGCAGTTAGAAGTTCCTTAGCACCGCTCAATTGATCTCTTTTGTCCTCTCGCCACTGTTGCTCTAAAGTTCTGACAGAACAAATAAATATATGTTGGTATTTTATTATATTCATACCTATTAGCTATTTAAGCAAAGTAAATTATTAAGTAGGGTAAATTGCGTGCAACGTAATAATACCGTAGTATAAAAGCTCTAGGTAGTCTCTCTGGTAAAACTGAGTCGGGCTTCATTGATTTAGGTTTAAATCTTTTATAAGGACGCATCCAATGATAAAATCCTTTTCCATTATCAACTTCCAAATCTTTGAACGTCAAATATTTTGGTTTGTCAGATAATTTTGACTCCATCAACCATTTCTAAAATAGATATTAAAAATATATTTTTTATTTTGTATAAGATGCACCAACCTACTATAATATTGTAGGGTGTAACCTACCTATATTCATATATATACTTACTAATATTAAAATAACAATAACTAAATTACTTACCTCCGGTTCAGTAAGATATATAGGAGTTAAAATAGTCCAAAGGCTACGATAGTCTCTAAAAGTATCGAACTCATTTATGGAACACCAGGGGCGCTTTTTACATGATAACTTAAATTCTTCTATATTAGATCGATGTATTAATTCTGAACATGTTAGTTCACTGGTTAAGAAAGGAAAACAATTATTGTAAAAAATTAAACATTCTTATATACAGGTACATCAAACCAGTGAATTATATAAAGCCCTGAAATCCAAACTTTTGTAAAAAGGGTGAAATTATGGTCTAATAAACTTTGAAAGCATACGGGTGCCTATCTGTAAAAGAACTTTCGAAAGTAAAATAATTGTTGTTTGTTTTACCAGCGAGGGTTCTAAGCGTGGCATGAACAATAATTTACAAAATAAAAAAAACCTGACTGCGTAAAAAGCTAACTAAAAAGATGAGAACAAGTTGACGAAGGAACGTAGTATTATGCTGTCGGAGACATATACAATATACATAGACGCAGCTACATATTATGAAACAAGTACATTACCTACACGTTGTTGCCCTACATTTTTTTTGAACAATGCGTGCTCTATTGGGTTAAATTCAAAAAATAAATCGCTAAGTTTCTGTTAACAAACTTCATTAATTTTGTAATAGCTGAAACTCAAATATTTTAAACTTTTCTTACAATTTTTAGTAGAAAAAATTAATTAACCCATTTTCAATTATTCTGATATTTATCCGATTTTCTACGGGTTGAAGTTTACATGCACGTAAGTAAAAGACAAAGAGTAGGTATACAAAACAGAATAAAGATTAGTCAAGCCAAGTTTGAATGTAAATTTCGCCTTTTTACGAAAATTTCGGTTTCAAGACTAACCATATCCGATTAGGATATTTATATATTACCGTCTAAGTACAAAAAATTTTAATGAATTTGCTTGACACATTTCTCTACATTTCGTATGGGGTATTACAGAATCAGATTTATCTTTGGTAGCTTCATGTTCATTCATATTGGGTAATTCAGATTTTTCAGATTCATTGTAGTGTAAATTATTTTCCGATGATTGTATAATACTGATATTGCCCTCTTCATTAACAATGATACTCTTACCAAATGAATCTGTCATTTTTAGCCAATTTTTTTGAAATCCAGTCACGCTATTAATTTCATCAGAAGCGATTTTAACGTCACAATTGTTATATAAATTACATTCCTTGCAAGATACATGATTAATATTCAAGGTCTGTCCATTAAAACGTCCAGATGTTGCGTCATCTAATGAAAATTCATAATTATTGTCACTATCTATTGTAACACAAGTATCATTTGGCGACTCAATAGAAATTTTGTCATTGAATTTATTGATGGTAACTGTAGTAAAATTAGGATGCTCTATTACATATATCAAATGTACTGAAACGTAACCATCTTTCCTATTTCCGTAATTTTCTATAAAATTACCGGAATTGAGAGTATCTGCACTATTTTTATATGATGACGAAAAGCTTTTACGTGATTCTGAGCCTTTCGATTTCATCGTATCTGTTTCCAGATTTACATCAAAAAGGGATAAATATTCTTTTTCTTCGTCTGTCCATTCAGGAAATATGTCGTCATTATCAATTATGAAACTTGTAGAAATTCTTGTATTATTAGGAAAAGTTACAATTAGTATACCATCTTTATTTAATAGTGTATTTGTTCCATCCATACGTCTTGAAAATATTTCTCCCAAACAAAAATCCGTTGCAGTTTTAATTAGAACTTTTTCTGTGCTATGTATCTTATTATTTATCCACTTTTCTTTTAAACCGTTAATTTCTATAATTTCAAATTCTTCGATATGTAATTCATATTCAGTCGCTTTTGAATCAACTACTCGTTCATTACCCTCTAAAATATTCTTAGATGATTTAGAAGAAGTTTTTGTGGGTTTTTCCTTTCCTTTATTTTTTCCTTTTTTACTTTTATCCGAACCAGTAGCACTGTGAGCATCTTCTAAAAGTTCCTCACTAGTAGCTCTTTTTTCACATTTAGTTATTTTAAAGTACGAAGAATCTGGTTTTAATATTTCTATATCCCCGTTGCTATTAAAAATGATTGTCTCTCCATCTAAGCTGATACATCGCATGTCTTCAGTGCGATTTAGGTAATTTGTAACATAATATTGTTTGATATGTGAAATATTTGGAGAATTATTTTTATAGACAGTTTCTGTAACAAGTCCTGTTGGCCAAGTTATAATCAGTGAATAAAATAATTTAGATTCAAAAATCTGCGTGCTTGTATTAACTAAATCTGGAGACGGAGACTTCCCAATGTTACTTTTATGTATTGTTTTTCCAGAAGAAGGATTTACAAAATAAATTGGTACTTGAAATGATTGTTTTTTTATATACATAAGTAATTCATCTTTTGTTTTAACTCTATATGATTCAGAAGTATCAACTATATTGGGATCAATAAATTCTCCTAGGGCTTTGTGCATCCAAAATTCATTATAGCTATTACCAGGAACTATATTCAATGTAACGTACTCTAAGTTCATTGGTATTAATAAGGAATAAAAAGTTGAAACGCGTGTGCCATCTTCAGAAAAAAATGATGAATCTTTTCCAAAAATTTCAAGTCTTCTGTCACTTAAATTATAACCAGAAAATTCTTTCCGAATGGTTTCCACTTTTCCTTCTTCTACAGAGAAATTAGCTTTTTGTGGTGGAAAGGCAGGAGACTTTATCCTTTTGCTACTTTTGGAATCTAAGTCAGTATGGGACACAGGTGAATTTGTTTTTTTGGAAGACAATATTTTTGTATTAGAAGTTTCTGGACTAGCCACTTCTAATTCCTTCATTTCTTCATATTTTAAAGAGTCCTCCATGAGTAACTCAAGGTCTACATCTGTATTATCTACACATGATTTCCCAGTTTCTTGATTTTTTGCATCCTTACATTCTGATTGTGTTTTTATTTTAATATTTTCATCATAAGCGTCTTCTTCTTTTTTTATCCAATCATAATGTTCCTCTAAAACAAAATCAAAAAAATCTTGCAAGCATAAGGGTGTTGGAAGATGATAACGCCATTCTTCTCTGGCAATTCCATTTTTATCGTGACTATTATAAAACATCAGAATAAAACTATCAGTGACCTCACAATATTTGTAATCGACGCAGTTAAATTTGTTAAAAGCATCGAGTATGATTTGAAAGGCATTAATTCCAACAAAATCTTCAAAATACTCAAAATCATCAATCATATGACTAATGGGTTTTTGACTTGTTATTTCGGCAGCTGAGGCTAACTCACTGATATCAGGACAATCAAAAAGAAATCTTATTCTGCATGTTTCATCATCAGTTTCAATTGTAACAGATCTACTGAATTCTTCTACTTCTTTGATTATTGAATGTAAAGAGGACGATTTTGAACTTGCACATGTATAAAGCGTTGATTTCGGTAAAGGTTCAGCAAGAACACTGCGTTTTAAGTAATTTTTTTTGAATTCTGTTATTGTTGATGGCAATAAATGTTCTTTTTTCAGCGAACTTCTATTATTATATACTTTACGAAAAGCTAAAATGTGTATGAGCCTGTTTAATTCATCTGTTTCTATGTCATTTCTATCAAAACAAGATAAAAGCATATTGATATGAAAATTATTTTTGGCTTTAATCTCTCCGACAGGTTTATTTTTATTTATCCATATTTTATTTATAGGCATGCCTGATAGCATGGAATATACAATATTGTTTAAATTAATGTTGCTCAAGTGAAAGGTTTTATATTTATAAAAGTCGCCATGATCTATTATAATCGGGTTTTTATGGTTTTCATATTCTTCTCCATAAGCTACACGATACTTATTTTTTGATGTATCTATTTTACAAAGATTACTTATCAAATTGCTTACAAGCTCTTCAGATTTATTACAGTATCGTTTTTGTTCCATATATTGGTCACTTTGTGCGTTTACAGTAGAGTAAGACGTTTTACTGTTATTTTCACCAATAGGAAGATTCTGTTCAGACACTGTTTGGAGAATTGCATGCAAAACTGAGTAAATGCTAATTGATTCTAAAGGTTGCTCTTCTATCTTCGAAAGATACAGTTGTTGATATAAATCCTCTTTTAATTCTTCTGGTACAGTAATTACATCCATATTATTAAGGTAGTGAGAGTGTTGTCGGGTCAAATCTTGTATATCGTACAATAAATAGCATAGCTCATCATATATTTTTTCATGACATCCTGATAACTTCTCTTCACTCCAATATGGTGGTGAAAACACAAGAAAAGCTGTATCCTTAAAATCATCTGCTGAATTTCTATTTATACGCAACTGTTGCAAGTCTTCCCAAAATTTAAGAGATTTTTCTTCTAGCATTTCAGTTTGACTTTGCCTTCTTTTAGTAGCGCGAAATAAGCTGGACGGTATGGTTGTAACTGTTGGATCTATTCGTATTTGAACTACTGCTGTTAGAGGTATCCCAATTTTTAGAAGACATCCAGCTAGCCCGGGTTCTAAAAATCCTGTTACAGCAATATACAAATCAGGACCATCGGCAGGAAAGTCGTCGATATACACTTTATCCCGCCATTCTTCACCTGTAACTCTGAGTAAAGTACTATATTTTTTATTTTCATCTATTTCAGTTTGTTTGTCTTCGTTCGAAATTTCTCCTTTTTTACCTTTAGGAGGTGGTGGTGGTAGTGTTGGTGGTTCTGACTCAGGCAACTTAACATTAACAGTGCCTCTCACTTCTGCTCTGTTTATCATAGTAACTGATTCTCTTTTCATTCCTTCACGTACCTCTAGTCTTTGTCTTTTAATAAAAAGATACTCATCTTTCATTTTCAAAATATTTTTTTTGATAATTAGAGCCATTATTTCTGTTGGAACATCTTTCTTTTCTTTTAAATAAGCTTGACCTTCTTCAAATACTCGAAGATTATCATCTTTAACTTTCTTTTCCCCTCCAAGTTGATTGACCATGAATATTGTTTCTGTCTTACATATATTTTTAATAACAAATCTTCTTTCTTCAGCTGCACAGGATTCAAACTTATTCAAGTAAATATGATCTTGGTCACTTCCAGCCGCTTCTATCATTATTACTTTAACTTTCCACGATTCATCATCTAACGGTGCTTCTTCTATGCACAATCTCCAATAATTATCATCATCTGTTATATCTTTAACTTTTTTAGGTGCCATTAGCTAATTTATATAAATATTTATAATATTAGACGCTGACGTTTATTTTTCTTCAGACAAGAAATGATTTCGAAACGCAATATAATCTGCCAGTGTCACTAGTAGGTATATAAGACTAATAATTGTGTATAATTTTTAATATTTTTGTAAGGTAAATAAATTTAATTCTAACTTTTGAAGTTATACTTCTTTTGAAACGTTTGGGAAAAAATATGAGAATAAAATTTTGACGATGCCCGCGCACATCGACAGCGAAAAAGCGACATGATGAAGTTAACTGCATTCCTTTTATAAACTATTTTTGTTCACTTACGCCAAAGAAGTATAACTTCTTAAGCTGGCTTCTCACGGCGCGTGATATCGTGTGTGTGAACTTGAAGGTAGTGGCTCGACGCGACTCGGGGTGGTGCGTTATGGCGCGTTCTATCCGCTAAATGTCGGTAACTTCAAGGCGCGGCACGAGCGCGCTCGTGGAGGCGCGGGCGCGGGCTCACGCTATTAAACACGCTCATTTCATTTCGAATCGTTCGACCGTGAAGTACTTGTACGTGTGTAAATATTGAGTGGTCGAATGACACAATTGCCGAATTTTTTATTTTATACGAAAACGAACCATCTTTGTGGAACTCGTAAAGTGCGGAGCACAAAAATAGAAATGACCAGCACGATTCCTGGACATTGCTCCATGTCTGGAGGTGGCTATGCGACGATTCACATGACATTTCAGGTGTTGCGTACCTCCTAAGAACGGATGACGCGGGTTCGCCCGTGGCGCGTATTTGTACGAACAAATCAATTCGGCGCGGCGGGACCCGTGATATCACGCGCCGTGAGAAGGCAGCTTTACGTGAGTACCTACATAAGTAGGTATACACACACGTTTTTTTTATTAGCCTTTATCTTTATCACGGCTCTAAAAGTCAGTTTTATTTATTACTAAAATAAAATGCTCATGTTTAGATGTGATCACGAGCATATAGTTAAACAGGAGGCTCCTGTCTTACGAGTATAGTATATTAATTAGTCTTCTGTCTTCGAGCAAAATGGCTGAACTTTAAGTAAAATTAAATGGACGAAGGATGATGATAATGATGTCAAAATGTTAAACATTTCGTTTGAGCCATTTGGCTATTAGAATTTAAATCCTATAATTTAGTAATAACAGAGAAGTAAATCGTTTTTCTTTCTCAAGTTTAATTTTAATTTTTTTTAAACTATTATATTTCAAAATTAAAAAGTCTTTGATAATCTTAGCCCAGTACCAGTTGCTTAGATAGGGGGCGGCATTATCACAATTGCACGCTGGCGTTCAAACAGCTAGTGTCGGGCATGCACCTGGCAGTATATTTTCCACGCTAGTCGACCAATCAAAATTCCTATTCAGCAATGAAAATTACTTCGCAATAACCCGATAGATGTGCTAGTAGCGATTTTTGTGACAAATTATTATTAATTTTCTATATTTCATGTTGGTACACAATATTTATTGTAAAATGTTGCCGCCCTTTAAAAATAAACCACTCTACCCACGCTACGCCACTGACAGGATGTAGGGAGCATTTTTTGCTCGAATTTTATATTTTTCTTATTAAAATAAATTTAATTATATATTTATTAAAAATTGCAATTACATATACAAAGTTTATAAAATTTCAGATCATGGTCGTATTTGCTATTAATATTAATTAATTTATAATATAAATTATCTCGAACAAAACTATGGACAAAAAAAACTAGTTATTTGAATTTCAATAAAGCTCTCAATAAAATCCAATAAGTTATTGAATTCATTATTTGAGAAGCACGTACACCCTGACATTTTTGCTGCATTGATTTTTATAGAAATGCTGTCAAATGCAAGGGTTTTCAAAAATAGCAATTTTGATGGCGACCGGCACCGCTTTCGAAGTTATAAAACTGTAGTGAAATGTCGTGTCAAATTAATTATACGCGTCAACCCTAAAATCGATTCCCACCTGTCAAAAGTATGACGTATCACATATGCATGCGTACCTAACATTCTCACACGCTCATACATATTACATAACGCAGTCTACAAATCCATGCAATACAAATGAAGGCGTCTAGGCTCAGACAATCTTGCAGGTCATCCGTAGTGAGACGCAGGTGAATAGCATCCAACTGTCATACATACATACGTTTTTTATGAGAATCGGGAAAAGGCTTTAGGGTTGAAGAGTATCTCTGTTTTCCAATTAGAGCAGTACAGCGCGTATTATGTGAGGCATAATGCTAACTTCGAATGTTTCGACTACAGCAACGCTCCGCTCAATCGAGCATTTTGAAAAGTACTGCTTTGGCGTGATGCGCGCAAGGATACCAACTCTGTAGCAAAAAATATAAGTAATGTTTTTTCTTCAAGGTGGCATTGATCAAAATTTTATTTACATTAATATATATTTATTAGATAAATATTGTTTTAAATTTATTTAATAATATTTATTTTATAATTTATAGTATTATTATATATTCATTAGTTATATTTTTTCTTTCAACACTTAACCTAGTATCCTCTGCTGGTGCACTTGAAAACTAATTCACGTTCCAATTAAGCATTAGCACACTTCGGCATTGTGCGCCAAAGTGCGGCATTATGCTCTGTAATTGGAAAACAGGGTATAACTGTAACTTGCCATGACCAATCGGCGCATAATTTCTGTCACGGAAGAGAAAAAAAAGGAAGTGACATGTTAATATTTTGTATCAGAACCTGTATCGCCAAACTCACACAAATACACGAATAATATATTGCCCTAAGCAAAGAAATAACCAATCAAATATTGGTATTTTTTAGTCAAAACTGAGATAATTATAAATATCCCATAATTAAAATGTCTTTTCCCACTATAAATAAGATTTATTTTGCTCATAATGTATTGTATTCTAAAAAGTAAATTCCGCTTCTCGTCCAGAGATGGCGGTAATGTTCAATGCATACAATTATGAAAACAATAATAAGGTTGACATTCGCATCGCAAGCATCGCTATTCAGAAAGTGCAGTAAGTGGGCGGCAACAGAAATATTCCCAGGAGGGTGCATCTGCTTCTTCACATTAAACTAATAACTAATCTTTAAATGATTAACTTTACAATTTTTATTCATATGTTATTTATATAATCATTTTCGCAATATCTAAATTTAAACAAGGATTTTACTAATACAATTTTATTTCCTTAACTTTTTCTAAGTAGGTATATATTTTCCTTCATGGCAGGGAGGTGCAAGCGCAGGAATAAGTATCCGTTTTTTTATTTATTTTAAAATGAAGTAAATTGCAGCTGTTGTATTTGTTTTAATTGTATCTGTAGGTAACATAAGATACATCGATAATTTTAATGTTTGTCAACTGCCTTCATCTATAGGTACATATAATAAAACTGTAGAAGTTGAATGTTTGTACAAAGAAAAAAAAATGGTAAAAACTGATTCAGAGGGAAGTAAGAGAAATAGAACAAATCCAGAGTTTGTTTCAATTTTTTTTTCTCTGTCTGTTCTGTTTGTACGGGCTAAACTCCGAAACTGTTAGACCGATTTAAATGAAATTTTGCATGGTGGTACCTTATATCTCCGGGCAACATTTTAGATACTTTTCATCCCGAAAAATCAGAATAACAAATAGACTACTTTTTATCCCGGAAAAATGTACGGTTCCCGTGGGATAGATTTGTTTTTGTTTGTCTAGTTTTAAATATTTAGCGGTATTGTATGAAAACATCTAATTTTACAATAATATTAAGTTTATTTACATATATTTTTTAACAAGAAATGGATTTCAGTATGTATAACTTTTCTTTATCTAAACTACATAATTTGTATAGAATATATTTATCATTATAAATCAGGTAAAAGTTTTTCAATCCAATCTTTTATAATATTCAGTCCTTTTTTATTAATAGAATGTCCTAATTGTTCCATGACATGAAACTCTCCTTGAACGCCAAGAGCTTTAAGTTCTTTGAATGTATCTTGACCCCAAGCCATGTCTACTAGGTCATCATAATCACCATGAATTTGTAGGAGAGGAACTGAAACTTTAAACATAAAATGAGTTAGACTGTATTTACAAAAGTTAAAGATTTTTTTTATTAAAAATAACGACTAATTTTGTCATTTTCAGTGTAGATGTAATTAATAATAAAAAATAATATATCTATACTTCTTCTCCCTGCCCATTTCCCAATCACTTGGGGTCGGCGCAGTACATCTTCTGTACTGCTGATACTACTGATAGAATCAGCAGTACAGAAGATAGGAACTAAGAAGGAAGATAGAAACTACTGATAAGATTTACCAAAAGTTTTGCGACCGGCCGCCTGCCTGACGTCAACCCTCCTTGGGAATGCTGTTGTCTCTCTTTATCTGAATGATATCGCGTAAGTCTTGTAATATGCACTTTCGATTTTTTTTTGTCATTTAAAACTTTTTTTTATACTTTACTTAAAATTTTCATGTTTTTTTTCGGATATATTTTAAAATAAATTTTGATTACACAATAAATGTTGTTTTGACGTTGTCAAATATGAGGAAAAATAAATAATATATCTATATATATTACAAAATTCCAACTGAACCGAATCTGTACATGAAATATTTTTTGCAAAATCTTATTGAAATAGACATTACTATATATCGATACAGAGGTCGAATATAAAATATAAAAAACCTATAGTTTTTAGACTTTTTGTCTGTCTGTCTGTCTGTTACCGCATCACGGAAAAACCACTGGACGGATTTTGATGAAATTTTAACTGGTTATCCAGGTCAACATGTAGAATACTTTTTATTGCGCGAAAATATCTAATTTCTCAGAAATCTATGCTAAACGTTAAAACGACGAACGGGACGAACCCGAGCGGAGCGAGGGTGAGTAGCTTGTGATTTTTATATAACTCTCTTACAATGATCTCTTCTGATGCTGAAATCCAATGTTCAAATTAAGTACTATTATACCAATACTGTCAATATGTATTTATTAAAACATTGATAGTTTAAGTTATTTATTATGTCTTAATATATTATATATACTGTCTTACAATTGTTAATATTATACCATATAATAGTGTCAAAATTATTACTTACTAACTAGGATTTATAACTTAAGTAATGTTATCATCGTGTACACAATTACTTAATATTATTACATAAATTACACACATTTTTCTTTAAAGTAAAATTTAATTTGAGTAATGATAAACACTATATAGTGCACACATTATGATAATTATTATGATAACAAGTAATTAATTTGCTAATTAAGTATAAATTCTGTTTTTTTTGTTAATTTGTTATTTAAATTGTGAATAATTCTGTTTACACTCATTTTTCTTAAGGTCTAGTGGCTCACCTTCGCTCCGCTCGGGTTCGTCGCTAGGTACGTTTTAAATAAATATAGTTATTAGCCAGCGTTAGCCATATAAATTTTAATTTTCTTTTATATTAATTTTTCATTTTTTTTCTTTATCAAAACCTTCTGTGGACTTTAAGGAACATATAGGAAAAAAAATAGCCGAATTGATCCAGCCATTCTTGAGTTATGCGCTTACCAACATTCATTTTTATTTATTCATTCTATTAAGTAATTAATTCTATAAAATCATTTTATTAAGAATTTTCAGTACTGTTCTTTCTCTCTCTTTTCTTCTTTTATTAAAAACTAATATGGATATTTTTTTCTCTATATTAAAAAAAATACAGCAAGATTCAGCCAAAAAAATTTAAACAAGATGGATTACATATACTAATACCCTTAAATGAAATGACATGAATAAATAAATCAAATAAAATCAATATGAGTAATTTAGGATATCTTACCATTCGTAGGAGATTCTTTGAGTTCTTTGTAAACAATAGAATTGTCATTAAGAAAAGAACTGAAAGCAAAAACTCCAGCAACATTTGGATCCCATCTGTATGCAGTGTGAAGAGCTAAAGCACCACCCATTGAAAAACCACCTGAATTATATAAAATATTATAATGTATAAGTATTCAATATATTTAGGTTATAAAACATAACTAGCAACACATCCTCGCTTCGCTTGGGTTGATCCCTAGCTTGCTTCCCAATACAAACTTTCATCCCCATTTTCACTCCCTTAAGGGATGATTTCCGGGATAAAAAGTATCTTATGTCATTACCAGGGCCTCAAACTAACTTCTTACCAAATTTCATCTAAATTGGTTCAGTAGATCCAGATATTACACCCTACAACATCACAAAGTCACAAACTTTAGCTCTTTATAATATTAGTATAGACAAGGACAACAGATTCTATCATAGTGTATTTTCTGAATAAACTATATTTAACATGTAGCTATATATTTAGCTCATTAGACTGATATTTAGAGTGCAACAAAAAATATCCAATTTATAGGGCTTTAATATTAATTCTTACCCACAATTATTCGATTGCTAGGTATTCCAGCATCATTTTCATTTTTAATTAATTCCTTGACATTTACTTCAATTTTTCTCAATGATTCTAGCACTTCTGGTGCTCTTTTATTAATGTCAACACGATCAAACCAAACATTGCTCATTAAACCACCTGCTGGAATATACGGTTGCAATGGGGCAGTGGGGAATAAAATTTTTATATGAGGAAATGTAAAATTTTTTGCCATTAAATGTACCCACTCTTTCATATGGTCTCCAGCAGCACCTTGAATATTATAAATAAAATTTTATATGTAATTTATAAATTGTTAATTTTTTAATAACAAATCTACGAAAAATATTAACTTTGAGCCCATGGTTTAAAATTATGTATTGCATTAAATAAGTAAGTAAAAGTTTATTCTAAATAGATACCTGAACCATGAAAGAAAATAACTGTCGCAGTATGTTTTACTCCAGTATTTTTTGTAAAATGTAAGGCACCTAATTTGGACATTATTAATATAAAATATTATATTTGGTTCACAAAACAAAATAAACCTTCCTCGTATTATGTTCAGGAGGTTATATAAACATCAATATTTGAAGCTGAGATCGTTCTGTTCAAAATAAGTTCAGTGAAAATTAAAATTATTTCCTGATTAATTAAAATTTATATTTTAATTCGAAAGGTTATATATAATCAAAACAAAACTTTGAACAATACTTTGTCCTATTGGTATTCTAATTTTCTAACAAATATGTAATCTGTATCGCAGATAATCAATAAATCTGTATTCCATAAAATATATTGCTACATATTATATAAACTGTATTCTTTAATGTCTGACCTTTGACCAATGCCAATTACCACTGATTAATAATCATATAATATATTATGTATCTATTTGAACCAAGCCCTATGTCCCACAAGGAGTTTTAAAAGTTTATGTAATATCAAATAAATATGAAATTATACAAATTTATGTATAATAACTTATTTATGATGATGATATGAATTATTATATCTTAACAGATTTTTAATTTATGTTTACTTTGATTCACTTCCTGAAACTGAATCCAATAAACCTGATAAAATCTGAAAAAAAATGACGACACGTTTGGCAATTGGCTCAGTTTGTAGAGACCCTACTTGCTGTGTCAGCGGTCGCGTGTTCGAGTCCCGCTGCAGCTGGGGGCATTTGTGTGATGAGCACGAATGTTTGTACTCCAATCATGGGTGTTTATATTTATAATATGTATGTATTTAGTGTTATATATAGTATAGGTATAGTATAGTGTATCAACTATCTGGTATCCGTAACACAAGCTTACCACGGAAGTAGATGGTGCTGTGTGTTAATGTTCCAACATATTTATTTGTCTTAAAATAGTTATTTTTAAAGCTTAGACAAAAAGAATATTTAGACAAAAATCTCATAATATCTATGCTATTTTGTTCAAAATATTTATAAATAATAGTTTATGCGATAAACGAAGAAAGTTTGTATATATATATATTACAAACCTTTCTCGTTTATTGCTATTTCTATTAATGAAAATGATGTCAAAATCCGTTGCGTGATTATGAAAAAGCAAGCGGATAAACAGAGACAGGTAGCAACTTTGTTTTGTACTATGTATAGATGACAACCTAAATAGATCAACGACTTGCGTCTGAACTAAATGTATTTTCCCATTAAAATGAGAGATTTTACCTCTCTAAATGAATTATGTTATTTTTAACCCTGTAATATCATGTTTCTTCGTCAACTTGTTTTCGTCTTTTTAGTTCACTTTTTACACAGTCGGGTTTTTATTTTTGTAAATTTTTTTATTAAGAATATTATATGAGAACGAACGGAATGAATAAAATGTTGTATTAAAATAATCAATATATCTTGTAAGTTATAGTCGGTAAGAAAAAAAATTGCATTATATAACTATTATTTTTTATTTTGTCTGTTTTTTTGTGTTCTTCATACTAACTTTCGGAACAACCTACCGCTGAAAATTTCCAAGCGTTATATGAGACAAATAGATTTAATGTTATATAAGGAAGTACAATAGTCAATATTCAATATTAATAGATATTACTGATTTAATAATAACAAATGTTATTAATTATTATTAAAAATAATTTTACGCAACAGTTCTTATTGAAAAAAATAGAAATATCACATGAAGCTACATACAAAGGGTAAATAAAATGACAGTCAACATTTATTTTGAAGCAGCTGTATTCACCAAAATACCTCCTCGGTTTCGGTATATTTTATGAAACAACGCAATAATTTGGATTTAGTTTGAGGTTCAATTTGGAGTTTAGTTGTATGTTTATTATCTACTTCGCTGTTATCAAAAATATCTGGCACTTCTAAGAGAGAAATACATTTATTTAATAACATACTTTCTTTCTCTTTCAATCCTAATAATCTCGTTTTAGCGGGCGGATTCCAATGAAATTTATTTTTATTTCTGATTCTGTCTTTTAATGATTCATTGTGTGTCTTCAAGATAGTTTCTATTCCATTGTCAATTTTATACGTATTTGGAGCCGGTGTTTGAAAAGTATTACTCTTAAAGCGAAGGCTTCGAGATATAGGTCCATGATGAACTGCAGGCAAGCATTTTGGGCTTTCGAGATTGTAGTAGCCGGGCCCAGGCGTATTTCCCGCTCCGTGTACAGGAATCCAGTTAAACCAAGTTTGAAATCGAGGCTCTGAGGAAAAAAATGGACTACTGTATTGAAATTGAAGTCGTCTTTCCTTTTTATTCATTAATGGTGGTAGATCTGCCGGACTAGGCTCGTGTAACTTTTTAAATAGAGGCTTCATTCTTATAGTCTTGGATCTGAATTCCCATGAAGGCAAATCTTTCAGTTTATTCTTACTTTGACTTTCTTGTGCTTCGTTAGCAACGAATTCACTGTCACTATCGGCGTCACTTATTTCAATTTCATCTTTGAATCTTTTTGTAGAGGAATTGAATGGAGCTAAAGTGCAATTAAGAAATTTACGTTTGCAAGTAGAATCATAACTTGCAGGGCTAGGTCCGTCACCGGAAGAATATTTGAATCTCACAGCTTTAACTCCGAAAGCTGCAGGTTTTGGCAGTTTTGCGTGACAATATTTTAACGGTTCTTCACCTTTTTCAAAATCTCTCTTGATATTATACTTTGCCGGACCAGGTATTTCATTGTATTTCGAACTAATGAATCTCTCCGCTTTAGGACCTAAAAAGTTTAAATTTGTTCCTTTTGGTGATGTCGGCTGATAGTTAGCTGGTCCAGGAAAATTTTCCAATATATTCTTTCTTTGAACCATTTCAATAAATCTTAACTGTTTAGACCTTTTACGTTTTAACTCTCTTACCTTTTCAGCGCATATAGTTTGATAAGCAGGTTCGGTAGTAATTTTATAAGCTGCTGGTCCAGGTGTAGTTTCTCGAAGTTTATTAATTCTTTGTGAAGTCCATTTACTCCATTTCCATCCATGATAAAATGCACTATGTTCTTTCACATCCGTATCGTAAAATGGAGGATCATCTTGCTTAAGCGCACGTATTCTGGATCCATCAGGAAAAATCTTATAATTTTGGTCATGTCCACAAGCCGAGAAAGGACCTTTACTTTCTATAGATCTTGGAGTAATACCCTTAAATATCTTTCGTGGAATTTTTCCTTGACAAATAATTTTCTCGTTTTCTGATTTTTCTTCTTTCTCGCTACAGCATTCGCAAGTGGTATCTATTCCGCATTTGCATAAAACTGCTTCTATATTCTCTTTACTCAAAAGTTCATACGAGAAGCGTGGGATTTTGGAAGAAATAGATGTACAATTTGGTATTCTCTGAGATACGTCACCGCAATATATGGCATGCGTCCATAAAGTAGACGCAGTCCCAGTATTTCTATGAGTTTTTGAAAGAAAAGGCACTTTATTAGATCTAATCAATATCGAATTGGTTCTCTGATAAACACCAGCGGGTTCTAAAAGTGGAAATGATTTTGGATTCGGTGGAAATCGCTCACTTAAATTGTATGCCATCTTTAAATATATTTTTTGTGTAAACAAGTTTGTATAAAATAATCTAAGTTGTCACTTTTCAGCGTATCTATTCACATGACACGATTTATTAGCTCATTTCTTTAAAAAAAATACGAAAGATGATATAGGTAATAATGAAGTTGCTATAGTTTGTGTAATCTAAGAATGTTTTTTTGACATTTGTTTCTAGGCATGTAAACAATTGGTAGGTAGGTGTATTATAGATACCTAATCAGATATATTCGAAGTCGGTGTGTTTAGAATTGTATAGGCTGGCATCGACTTAGAGTCAAGGTATATATGATTCTGTCTTAGGTTAATATATGATTAAGTAAATATAGTAAACTGACAGAATCCTCGGCTTCGCTCGCGCTAAAACTACAAAAATAAAACTCTTAAAATGGTTACTTTCATACAAACTTTCATCCCCTATTTTACTCTATTATTGAATTGCGAAAAATGCTAAAACATGTAGGTACTTATTTAATTGAAGAGCATTAATGCCAAGTTTCAAGTAATTCTGACTATAAATATTTTTTGGTTGTAATAAAGTGTTTTGCCTTGTTAATGAAATCATCTCCCGCGGTAAAAAAAAACTAAGAAATCGATTTATTGGGAAGAGATGGACTGCGGTTATGGAACAAAATGATCATTTTAAAGCGGCGGAAGTGAATATTCCAATATTTATTTATAACGTTGCAAAAGGTGTATCTGTTAATGATATCAATAGTTACATAAAGGCAAAGGCTAATATGTGTGTACCTATTGATCAAATAAATTCAAAGTCTTTAAAAGATTATATATCATTCAAAATTTTCGTTCCAAAACACAAACTAGACTTGTTTATGCAAGATAAATTTTGGCCTGAAGGAATTGCCTATCGTCGTTTTATTGATTTTAAAAGAAAAAGGGTAGCCACAAGTGACCTAACACGGCAATTTGTATAATATTAAAGAATTATAATGGTAACATCTAATGATCTCCACACAAAAAATCACGCCAATCTGTCACTCTGTTTTGGTGTGAAAGAAAGACAAACAAACAAACAAACACACTTCCATATTTATCCGTTATATTAATTTAATATTATAAATATGAAAGTTTGTGAGTATGTATGGATGTTTGCTACTCTTTCACACCAGAACGGCTGAACGGATCTGGATGAAATTTGGCAGAGATAGAATATAGTCGGGAATAACACATTAACTTTTTATCCCAGTAAAATGTACGGTTTGGTTTTGATTTCCTAGAGGTGAACCCGAGCGAAGCGAGCGTGAGCCGCTAGTTTATAATATTAGTATGGATATGGATGAAAATTACCAGTTATTTTTTACTTGTTTTTTTTTTATTTTTTTTAAGTTTTTAATCGACTGCGACCAAACCCAAATACGTGGTGGTATTAGGTATACCTTCTATTATATTATTTTAAAGAACAGTATTTAACCGGAGTTAAAATAATGCAATACAATATTATTATCGATGTTTTTTGAGGTCTATCCACTCTCATACTTTTTAATAATTATATCAATTTTCATTTTTAATCATTGCAAACATGCCACTGACAAGACTGCGTTGCTATACTACCTAGTTTAAAATTAAGTATGCCAATTAAAAGTATTTTCTGATAATATGAAATGTTGAGTAAATAAATAAAACCAAATCATCAAAAATCAATATTTTTTTATTTTTATGTAATTATTTTTATTCCAAAAATACTTTCTTTAATTTTTTTAATACATATATTATTAAAGTTACAATTTCCAAACATACAAAATATATTTACATATTTTTCTTAAATTTATCACAGCAGATAAATCAGCTTTGTTGGACTGTAGTTTTTTAAACAAGACTCAATATACTAATGTAAAGTTTGGTCACACCTTAATTATTAATGACGTAAAATATTCCATTGACGTGATCATTTATAATAGTGGTGAAGTCCTTACGATTAGGTCCCTAAATAAACAACGAGATCATAAAAATCTAATTAAAAATCTAATTCATTCTACAGTATAAAATTATTTTTAAGAGGCATATATATATATATATATATATATATATATATATATATATATATACAAAGTGGATTTTAAGTTATACTGAATTATGATAGGGTGGAGAAAGACTAAAGGGGGACTGTTGATTTATTATTATGTATAGTTTGAGGGTTGTTCAAGTGGATGTAACATGGCTTTATTATTTAATGACTGTTAATTGCTTTGAAAAAAATATATTTAATTTTTGCTTATAATTTTGACATTTAAAATTATAATTATACAATTGTGTAATCATTCCTTTGTCTACAACAGTACAAATGTAAATTGGATGTTGAAGTTATTTATTATTTAATAACACATTATTGGTGAAACATATAAAGATATAATCCTAAGCATTTTTGTACAGTCAGAAATAATGCAAAAATTTATGTAATTAAAATTAAGGAACATAAAAGAAAGTAAAATTAACATGAAAAATATTAATTAATAATTGTAAAAAGAAATCATTCTTTTCACAAGCTTTTATTTAAATGCTCTAAAAAGAAGAAAATAAACTTTAAATTAAATCGAACCCGACAATTTATTACTTTACACAATTTATATCATATAAAAGCTCGTCGCGAGATTATCTATTTTTTATTTATTGGAACATTTTAGTGCGCTTTTAATTTAAATTTTTTGTGAAAACAACTTTAAGCATTGCCTTTAAGGTTCAATTTACTTGTTGTATATTTATTTCAATTCAACTAGAATTATTACCTAACCACAATTAGTGACATAATAAATTGTATTCTTCTCAGCAAACCCTTTTATTTGATATTCATATCATGAGGGTGCATAGGAAAACATAGTCCGCCATCTTGGGGCGTCCGCCATATTGGATTTAAAATGACGTCACTTAGCATTGTCATGCAAACTTAACGTACTCGTATATGCAAAATTTTAGCTCAATCGATTCGGAGGATTCGTGCTTTAAAATTCAGTTGCAAGATTTGGCCCAAACTAACATACTAACATGGCAAGTTAAATAAAAGCTTGTAATATATAATACACAATTCTATTTATTTTATTATATTCGATAATTAACATATATTGTATTCGATTGTTGTTTACCAAAGTCTACTTGCAAATTAACATAAAATTGGCAAACAGGCGGTCAAAATGTCATTATGAAAAAAGTTAGCAGTTTTAATATTTTTTAAAGAACTAACTACTATTTGCTATAACACCAACAATAATTATTTAATTATTTTTAAACTCATCTATTATACAATTTTCGTTTATTATAGTTGAAAAGAAATGGAATGTTTAAGTTTTCTTGAATAAACCTTGGAAGATAAATCATTTCCATGTATTATATTTAACTTGTTGTTAATAAGATAAAGTAAATCTATAGACGAGTTAGTGCAAATATACATATATGGCAAAGGTTTTCCTTTGTAAAACATGCAACAAAGCAATTCATAAAAAACTTACTACTATTTTTATATTAAGTATTTACGCTTTAAAGATTTGACCAGCAAACTATAACAATGCGAAATCTATGTGGCGTGCATCGTATAAAGATAACCTACTTACCTCTTTACAGAAAATAAATTATTAACAATATACTTATGCAAATTATATAAAAATTACAAATTAAGTATTATATTCATTGACCTAATTTCAAGATGGAACGATCGTATTTCAGAGACTTTTAATGTCATGGCGATGGATGCAAGGATCAAACCCATTTCTTCTCTACATAAAGTGCACGCCACCAAAACTTTAGCAGGCTTACCTCATATCATCTCACGCTATAATTTTTGACTAACAAAAAATCGTAACAGAAATTGAGAATAACATATTCAAAGCTTTTCAAGTAACGAAAAACATTACTTAGATCTATTAAAATACTACAATACTTCTAGCTTATAGCGAGCTAAAAATACTTCTTAGCTTTAATGGATCAATTAATTATTAAATTCATACAGTATGATGTATACAAATGCTAACCTTAATTTTTTAATTAGTCAATAAAAGATACAAAAATGCTTTCCAATAGTCCAAGAAAAGAATTTTTATATATTTCCCATAGACCACCTTTGGTCGGTGGGCGCGTCTGTTGGTTCCCTTATAGTTGAAAAGTAAACTGATCTATCGGACTCCACATTCATTACATCAAGTGTCCTGGATACTGCCAACATGCGCTTCAGAAGACTACACGTTGAAATCATTAATATCTAGAAGGAAAAACAAATTTGTGGTATTATAATATTATATCTAATATTCCTTGCCAAAATTCATTAATTTCAGTTGATACTATACATTACATTTTTATTCAATTAATCACATATTTAAATCAATAATAAATAATATATTTGCTTGATCGAAAGTTAAGTGGTTTACATTTTTTATAGACATAAGTCGTGGTCCTTTCGTCATCATGTGAAATATTTTATTATATGAGTAAAATTATATTTTAAAACCGAAACTAAATCCGAATTGCGAAATTTAGTTCACAGTTGCAAATATGTGCTTACATTGAAAGCAGTTATTTCACAGAATTATATAATTTTTATATTAAGTTGCTCGATAAACCTTAGGTGTTTTATTTGATATGTGCTGAAGTTGAAAGTCACACAAAAACTAACGAAAGTTTTGGTTCCTTCCGTGCTTGCTTCCAACCGTAAGTTCACTTCTATTTCATTGTAATCTTTCCTTCCTCTATATTATGCCCGTCAGCATAGCCTTCAAGTTTTATCAAAAAATACTTCGACTTTTATGTCAATTTAGGTTTTAAGTGCAATAGAAAAAATATAACATTTTTATTGTGTTTATGCATTGGCTCGACATGAGTGTAAATATCGCAGTGATAGCCCAGTGGTAAAGCGCTCGCTTGGGTAACCGTGTGAAGCAGGTTCAAATCCCGAGTCTCGCACCTCTGATATTTTTAAATTCATACAGTGAAGGAAAACATCGTGAGGAAATCTGCATATCTGAGAGAACATAGCAAGTTTTCGAAAGACATGTGAAGTCCGTCAATCCGCACTTGGCCAGTGTGGTGGACTATAGTGGGATGTGACCGTGCCCAGTAGTGGGATGTTATGAAGGGCTGAATACTTACATACAAGAGTGTAAATAAAGTACGTACCTTTATCTCAGGTTTAAGGGGTAGTATGGTTATGAGCCACCAAAGCCAATGGGGGCCGTCTGCCGTCGACCACCACACATGTGGGGTATTGTATATATCATAATACGGCAATGGACCGAAGGCGGTTTCAATTTCCTCTTTCACCGATTCATCCATATTTTTCAACCAAGTCAACGCTTTATATAGTATTTGGGCGTCTACTAAATGTATATCTGGGATTTCATCCTCCGATGGCATAACATCGTTTAACACTTCAATACGGGCTACGTTACATCTAAAAATAAATGTTTTTTATTAACTTTTGATGTTACTTATTAATTTTATTATAATATATCAGAATAATTAAATAATAAACATTAATGTGTAGTTAAAAATCTCAAGTTCAAATATTTTAATATGAGAACGAAACGTTTGGCTCAAATTGTAGTGATCCCACTTGCTGTGCCAACGATTCCCACTGTCGAGCTCGAGTCCCGCTGGGAGCATTCATCTGTGTGATGAGCACGAATGTTTGTACTCCAGTCATTGGTGTTTATATTAATAATATGTATGTATTTAAAATTATATATGTGTAATATATCAACTATCTGGTATCCATAACACAAGCCGCTTAGCTCACCATGGAACTAGATGGTGCTGTAGGTTAATGTCCCAACATATTTATATTAAAACTGATGGGGCAGATATTGAGTTTAATTTAATATATCGGGTGTCCCAAAAGTCAACATCAAGCCGGTGTCGGGTGATAGGTCAAGTAGTGACAGTATTCAGAAAAATAATAAAAAAAATCTTAGTCATCTACTTAAAAAATTGTGGGTATTTGAAAACAAATCGAGAAATTTACTATCTGGTGACAATCTTTCAAGAACTGTGACCATAATTTGTTATTTTTCATCAATTTAATTTTTGTAATGTAACCTTGAATAGTCCTTCTATTAATCAGAGCATAAAAAAGCCTTAGTTCTAAAGAAAATTATCACTTTTTCCCCCAATCATGAACTCAAAATATCAAATCACTTGAATTTAATTGCTTGTACTTGTACAATTGCATATTAATAGATACTTTATTTTTTAATTATGGTATTTGTGAAATAAGTGTATTCTCTTACCCTTGCTTTACATATCGCTCTAGAACTCTAAACCTAGACACGCCAATGGTCGATAGTATGCAGCGATTATCTTCAAATACAACGCAATCACAAATTTCAAGCACCTGAGAAAAAGAGAAGTTAAATTAATAAAATTATGTAATTAAATTAGTGAATAAAATGTAAAATATAATAAAAACAATGGTATTATTAAGTTTCGTATATTCTAAAGATTAAATTAAAATGGCTTAACTCGTAAATAAGTTTAATTTATATATACATATGTACATAAATAAAACTTATTTACTTTATGGATTACAGAACTTCTTAGGCTGACAAATAAGCCAAAGTATAATTTTCTTCTATTTTTATCCCATAGTAATATTTTCGGGTGTATGACGTATTCTATGAGTGTACGATTATTTCCTCACCATGCTTCGTAACTTTAACGGGTTATAAAAGATCATGTTAGATTTCGTTACATTTATCTGGTGGGAGTGAGATAGTATGCAATATTGATGTCATGGCCAGTTATATATTTCTTTACTATTTATTATGGTCACGCAATACACCCGAAGGGCATGTATAAAAATTTCATTAAATGTAATTAAAAGGCAAAAACATGACTGAATAATTGGAATGAGTATATTAATTAATTTAATTACTGAGACTAAAGAATTATTATTGGTGGCCGCCAAAAGTAAAGTCAAAAATAGGAGCGTAATTTCGCTGTTTATCATAAACTATTTTCGATTCTGCCATACAGATATTTTATTTTATTAAAGTATAAGAAGAAAGTAGAAATATTCTTTTGTATTTTTTTAACATTAGTTCTTGAAAGAGAGAGATAGCACAATATTAGCTTATTTTTTAACATATATTTACTTATTACAGTAATAAGTTTTCTATTAATATTCGTGCATATTACATATACATACGTTTGTATTCTATAACACTGCCTATTTATTTCTTAGTCTGAGTTTAATTATAATAAGTATTATATTACAATTGTATACATTACATTATTACATTCCTCTGAATCATTAACTCTTTTATTATATAATTATAATAAAATTTAAAAATTCGAACAAATGATTTAATTTGTGTTTGTTTTAACATAATAATTTGTTAATTTCAACGTAAAATAAAATATTTACTCATCTACGATATTCATATTATTGACTGCATAAAAAAAATATATTACACCCCTCTTCCTGGAACGCCACCCCTACTTTCAATTTTTAATAAAACATAATTAAATACATTATACATAATTGCATATACGAAACGAATCTATACTACTGTTTGGTTAATAATTTCTTAGATTTATGCGAATATTTGACATTTTAAATAAAACTAGCTTTTCGGATTTTTTCGTGGATTTATTTTAATTTTTGGTTCCCGACGCTTCGAATGCTTTACAGCAATAATGGTCACGGGAGAGACTACGGTTTTAGATGTCTCAAAGGCGTTATATACTTTTACTTACCCACAATTTTACAAAAATGATTTCAAAAATTCAAAAATGGCACCAAAGTACCTTACAATATTATTTGATTTTAATTATGAACATTTAAAAAAAATACCGTGACCATGATTGCTGTAAAACATTCGAAACGTCGGGAACCAAAAATCAAAATAAATCCACGAAATAATCCGATAGTTTTATTTAAAATACTGTTTGGTTATTACGATTGGCGATATAATAACTTACAGTGCCATAGTCGGCGTACGTAGCGCCTTCTTCATAGGCGAGCATTCCAAATCTACGAGATCCCGACTCCATTACACGACACACCATCTCCCAATACTTTGGATCGGATATGAACAGCGGGCATGGCATTCTGTTGAATTCCAAGAGAAATAGTAAAAAACGCTATGGGATCTTGTAACGTAGAAGGTATTGTTTACTAATCTATACCTACTAATATTATAAAGAGGTAAAGTTTGTGAGTTTGTGACGTTGTAGGGGGTAATCTCTGGATCTACTGAACCGATTAAGATGAAATTTGGTGAGAAGGTAGTTTGAGACCCTGGGAAGGATATAGGATACTTTTTATCCCAGAAATCCTTAAGGGGGTGAAAATGGGGATAAAAGTTTGTATTGGGAAGCAAGCTAGGGACGAACCCGAGCGAGGCGAGGATAAGTCGGTAGTTTATAAATATTGCTAATATGCACTATATATGTTTTACACTTGAAATAAATTGGGAATTCTCGAAAGCTTTTTTTTGTATAATAAAATTGAAATAAAATAGCTAACTGTCATTTTAAATTTAATATAATATATACATATGTACATATATACTACATGTATTGTAATAACATTTAAACTGGCCTGTATTAAACGTTAGTCAGTCTCTTTAGTGAGATAATTATAATTTAATCAAAAATATATAATTGAATAGCAAAAAACAATACTCACCCAGGAAAAGCTACATAGCACGTGACAATAGGTATGACGTTCGAATTATCCGGCACCGGAGATACGTCAATAGAAGCCAGTATAGATCTTATGAATTGTGTATCTCGAGTCTGAAAACATACAAAAACCAAATAACCTTTAACTTCTTTTAAACATTATTTTACAAGTGGTCACGTTTAGAAACATCGGTCGAAAACGTTTTTTGGTCATGCTTCTAAATATACACCTGACCTGACAAGGACTACTCATTATACTTTGACAACACGTTTGGCTCAGTTTGTAGTGACACTACTTGATGTGCCAGCGTTCACGGGTTCGAGTCCCGCTGGGGACATTCATTTGTGTAATGAGCACGAATGTTTGTTCTCCAGTCATGGGTGTTTATATTTATAATATGTATGTATTTGAAGTTATATATGTATAGTGTATCCACTTTCTGGTATCCATAACCCAAGCCTTTTTTATACTTGTGGTTGCTATGCCTTGAACAAACAGATGGATTTACATGGAGTTAGTTCGATAAAAATGTAAAACATTTTTCATAGTTATGTATTTGATAATACGCTTTTCCTGTTCTGAAGTTAAGATATAATTGATATTTGCAAAAAAATGGGATAACATACATTTATGTGAGTCAATAGTAATTTTGATAAAAAATCTTGTTATAAAGCTGTTGGAAAATAATATTACTCGTAGTTTCGTTTAATTTAATTAAATCTTCATACGAAAAAACGTCAAATAGAGATCATAATGAATGATTATTAAATATATAATAATGATAGCAAAATAACATAAACAGAGTACTAACTAACCTCCTCTACACTGAAGTCTTTCAACGGTCCCAAGCAGAGTGCACAGTTCCTCTTATAGTAGAGAGAACGTTCAATGCATCTCCTACAGTAAGTATGGCCGCAAGGAGTGGACACGGGGTTAGTGAACGTGCCAGTGCATATAACACACTCTAGGTCTGACGGTCTCAGCCAGCTGTACGTGGACTGCTCTCGAACAGACTGACTGAGTTTACGCCATACATGTCTCGGTTCATACCCATCGCACAGAACCGTTATTGTCTATAAACGGAAAATAATTGCATTTAATGTGTGACAGCATCTTGTTTTTTGATTTAAATTGAGATTGTCATTAATTTATATAGATTTTATTTTTTCTTTCCACACACTTTCCACCAGGGAAAGAAAATAGCGATTTAACTGCTTTTACGATTCGGTAACTTAAAGAGGAATAGTGGATTTATACAAAAACATTGGATATGGAATATTTTTCATTCGCCATTATTGTCATTCGTTTTTCATTTGATAACATATTTACTTGGTGTGTTCCTCACAAAACGTGACGCTGGCAGAATGGATTGCGTCTGTTAACGCAACTATGAGAAATTATATGTAGAAAAAAATATCAATATTAACAGATACAAAAACATCCGTATAACATTTTAACTTTCGACTTAAGAGACTCACTTAACAAGATTAAAAATAATATTTCATAAAAATAGATCTTATAAGATACAATGAGATGATTACGAAATATAAGTAAAACAACTGTAATATCAATATCCGATTTATGTATCATCCGACCAAAACAACAACACTTAATTTTATTTAGATACATATTTTAAATAAAAGCATTGCAAGATATCGAGATTTGTTAGGTGTAGCAACAAGGTAAGATTTGGAGCAAAATATAAAGAAAAGTTTTTTGCACATTCCGTTTTTCATGAGCAATGTCGTAATTAAAAATTGTTTCCACGTGGTACGCGAAATAAAATTTTGTGCAATCGCAATGATTAAAATCACGCTAAATTGAAAAAGTTTCTACATGGCGATTTCACAAATGCTTACAAAAGTTACAATAAAGAATATTAATAAATAACTTGTATGGATTTACATTTTTTTCCTTTCTATTCTTTTACATTCGTTTATTGTACATTTGCGAATATTTAGAATATTTAAAGACTTTTATTTATTTATTTATGTACCATAAAGTATATGTTATACAAAATAAAGTAAGAAAATGTTGACAAAGGACAACTTATCTCTTTAAAAGATTTCTTCCAGAAACCCTTCAGAAGTGAGAAAATAAGTTAATTTAGTGCGGTGTAGGTACAGTACAGCATTAAACGGAATTGACTTAATATTAAAATATATTAACTAAATATTATAATTATACAAATATATATATATATATATATATATATATATATATATTTATACACACAAATCTATACTACATATATACTATTTTTGAATACATACATACAAACATATACTTACATATACATACATACTTGTCTACTATAATTTATATCTGATTTGATAAATAGTGCTGTTTAATTCTAAATTTAAATGTTAGAATGAGGGATCATCTTTGAAAATATAATCAGGCAGTGAATTCCACAATCTTGCTGCCATAACAGAAAAAGATTTTTCATACAATGTTGTATTGTAGTGAGGAACCACTAATTTGGGCAAATTGACACAAGAACGCGCTGGTCTGCATCTAGGGGGCACTAATGTAAAGCGCTCACTTAAATAAGAAGGTGTAGAAGTTTTCAAAATATTGTAAAGCACACATAATACTCGAACGTTTCGGCGAAAACGAATAGGGAGCCACTTCAGTTGACGTCGGAAAATACTTATGTGATCAAATTTGCGCAATCCTTTTGCTTTCTCCAAAACTTTTATATGAATTTACATTTCCAAACTGGTTTAGTACCATTATAATTACATGGTCAATGTAAAGATTAACATCATTAAACCACCTTTATTACCATAACTAGAGACTTCACTTCATTCGGGTTCGTCCCTAGGTTCATTCCGCATATAAACTTTCATCCCCATTTTCACCCCCATAAGGAATGATTTCTGGGATAAAAAGTATCCTATGTCCTTCCCCGGGTCTCAAAATATCTTCTTAACAAATTTCATCTAAATCGGTTCAGTAAATTCAGAGATTATCCCCTACAACGTCACAAACTCACAAAATTTACCTCATTATAATATTAGTATAGATTTGTGTACTAATTTTCATCCTAAGTAGTTCAAGCCTCAAGAAATAACAAACATACACACACGCACGTAACATAGTAGTGTAGTAGTACGATTATAGTACCTGTGCCAATAGCTTCCTAGCCACGTGCGCGAATGGTTGGGTGGAGGCGACGCGGGCCAGATGGGAAGCTGCTTCTAAAAACTTGCCCGCACATATCAGCTCTCGTGCTTTACGATGTCGAGCCTGCAACACATATACAATATACATCTTTTAAATCTTTATAAATTACACCATATGTCTTACTCTGTTGTAAAAACTATATTATAGTAAAGTTTCATCGAAATCCGTTCAGTAATTTTTGCTTGAAAATGTAACAAACGCATCTTTACAACACAAACTTTTGACGTTTATAATATTAGTAGTATTTTTCTTACAAGAATATCACAAAGAATAATATAGTCATGAAGACGAGCTGCTGTAAATATATATCTATTTAAGCTGCAGGTCGCGCGTTCTTTGTCACACAAATATATTATATTGTTTGTGTGTTTTCGCTAAAGTGTATCGTAGAAGTAAAATGGGTAATTTTTTTATTAATTCGCAGCATGTTTATAAATCTTATTTATAAAGTACGTACAGTATTTAGGTCTTATTTCAGTAATTATAAATAAATTCAAAATATTATGTAATTGCTAGACTATAATTGACCCTTATCATTGGGAGCAAAACATCAACATATAAACACATGGCTTCAATTATATTATATATTTACGCTTAGTGGTTGATGACTCAATCTTATTACGTCAAATATTTATCCATAGAATATCGGGTGATTCCTAGAATCGAAACAAAGCGTTGCAAGTGTAGTGGCAGTCATTATATTCTAATGACTAGCATTGCCCGCGGCTCCGCCCGCGTTCAGATTACCAAAAACCGAATTCATAGGTTTTATATATTAGTATACTCTTACATTGAAGTTTTTGTATTTTTCTCAATAATGAGACAAATTTTCCCCCGGTAAAAAGTATCCTATGTGTTGTCCCGGATAACCAGCTATCACCATACCAAATTTCATCAAAATCCCTCTAGTGGTTTTTCTGAGATGCGGTAACAGATAGACAGACAGACAAAAATTCTAAAAACTATAGATTCGGCGTCTGTATCGATAATAATGTTTATTTTAATAAGATTTTAATTATAAATATCTAATTGGCTTGGTTACAATTTTATTATATGTATAGATTAATGAATGAAAGTGCTTTCAAACTAAACTAAAAAACCTTGTATATCAATGTCATGTAACTTTTTGCCTTGTTGCGTAACGTCCAATCATTTGAAGTATTGCACACGGCTTGAGATGTAATCAATCATGTTTCAGCGAGATTATTCTTATGAAACTGCCCACGTTGGTTTAGATCGACTTATTTAACAAATATTTCAGTATAATACGTTTATAAGCGTATATTTATTTCATATATTTAAGCTCTCGTATACAACTTTTAGGCACATTAGAATATTAGTTTTGAGTATTTGTTATAAAAGTTACACTAGCGACCTACTTGTTATATAGTCCAAATTATAAATCAGCATTCTCTATAGAGAGAAGAGGAAAACCTTCTAAAAAGAAGATAATTTAAGATGCCATCGTAAAACAGACTGACAGGCTGAGAATATTAGCTATTAGTTGTAAAATGAGATTATATTAAAATATCACATATATTGTTTTTATTATTATATTATTACAATTAGTTTTCTGTATTTGCAAATGAAATTGAGATGGTTAACAAAAAAAATAACTTACAAAACATACAATTGTGGTGCAAATAAATTAAAATATTATGTAAGTGTATACTTATATTTAGAGTCTATAGAAATAAAAATGAATGTTCGTATGTTTGTCCTATATGCATTCCTAAACCATTGTTCCGATTGTGATGAAACTGAGGCGGGTTATCCTGTATACGCCTGAGAAAGCTTCTGGTTCATAAAGTTTTTCTTTGAACGTTTGTCTTTCATGCTTTCCTAAGCCATTCAAACTTAGAGACGCACCAAATACATAAATTAAATTTCATTGTATTTATTTTGGATGAAATATTGCTATCGCTTTTTTTATATTTACATTTATTAGTGATCGCATAAAATCGCAACGCATAAATAATAAAAAATCAAAGTATTTCGCAAATAAAAAATCAACTAAAATTAAGGAATAAGTAAGCTTAAAACTACTTCATACATGTTCAATTTTAGAAAAATTAATCACCTGCACAGTCATAGGTTCACGTGGGCGCGAAAAACTATGCGTGTAGTAAGTCATGGATGCCGAATTATGGGTCTTTCGGTATTGCGAGCCACGCTGTACCAAGCATCGTGGACGAGCTACTAGAAGAAAATAATAATTTCATTATTACATAATAGGAAATAATGCGTAATCAAATATTAATAATAATTTTTAATAATGAACACTCTGTAAACAACTTGTAAAATGAAACGTAACTTATTCCGCACCAAATAAGTAAAATTGGTGCGCATTACATAACGATTAGACGTAGTCTAAAGTGGGACATGTAGAAATATAAGTTGTAAATGTTCATCGATTATACAAACTATACGTAATCCTTTTTATATTATTTACAAACTGGATTATGGTATTAATTGATCTGAAATAAGTCGATCGGCTGGCAAGGACATGTACTGAATATTTAATAACTTTGTTTTAAATGGCTCTATTTAAAATAATCCCAATACATCTGCGACATTTAGCCCGCAAAGCTACATAATGCTCGATGTTACGTAATTTTGAATGAAGTCAGAGTTTGCATTGCGTTACATAACAATATTATCCAAGCGATAAGCCGTGGCGGTTAGTGCCTAACAAAATAAATTTAATCAAAGTATTATCATACATAGTACAGCAAAAAATAAAATTAAAATAAAGATAATTTACTGTAAAATAAGTTAGTGGCAAAACAAAATAACTTGTATAAATAAAAATTCAAGGCAAGTTAATGAATATCATTGTAATACCGTGACCAAATGTTACAAGCCAGACCGATACAAATATCAGCATATCAATTATTGTGTTATAAATTGAAATCCGACCGCATTCAGATGACCAAAAACCAAATTCTTAGGTTTTACATATTACTTATACTCTTACATTGCAGTTTTTACATTTTTTCTCAGATATTTTCCCGTGGTAAAAAGTACCTATATGTTGACCCGGATAACCAGCTGTCACCATACCAAATCCCTCCAGTGGTTTTTCTGTGGTGCGGTAACACACACAGACAAAAATTCTAAAAACTATTGATTCGGCCTCTGTATCAATAATAATGTTTATTTCAAAAAGATTTTCCAAAAAATATTTAATGTACAGTTTCGGCTTCGTTACAATTTTATTATATGTATAGATTAACTGACTGATAATATAGAACTATAAAGAAGCAGTGGCAGTGGCCTTGACTCAGTAACATATTCGCTTACCGCTTGTAACTTATTACGTAGTTTGGACTACATAACAGTATCTATTCAAGTTCGCCATAAATATACTTGATAACAACCTAACTTAATTGAATGTTTGAAATTACAAAAAAAAAATAAAGGACGAGAACTTTTTGTTACTTTAATCTAAATATATCCTGTATATATTTACGAATATATATATGTGACGTTAAAAATACACTGAAAAAAAAAAGTTCCAAAAAAAAGGGTAGGTACTTTATTGTGTCATCGCATCGTAATATATTGTGATGATTTTATATGAAAGAGTGTGATGAAATAAAAAGTGAGTGCCCCAAATGGACTTACGTACCTAACTACCTACTAAAGCCAACGTAACCTGCGACCTAGCGCTCTCCATTGCGTCGTCGACAATGTACTTATATAACCGCAATGTAACAAACAAATCGTCGATTTACATAATACTTGTTGGAGAACGATTATTATTATTGTTCACGCCCGCCCACATTATATTTAAGCGTTATTATAATTATACAAGTTCAAATAATTAAGTTAAAATAAAATGATAAATTGTTTTCCATAAAAGTAAAGGTTAAATTTAAAATTCACCATTGGCCAAAATGCAATAAGTAATCTTACCTCCAGAAACAGTCACCTTTTTTTCAGTCGTTCTTGCAATTGATCCAGGATCTGCTATTCTGTAATAGAAATGAATACATAAATACACTGTAAATAACAAAAAAATAAAAACCGACTTCAAAAAAAAGCACTAAAAAGTAAAAAATAACTGATTGGTAGTTTTCATTTACTATACATACCTAATCAAATATTTTCGAAGTCGGTGTGCTTTGCTTTGTATGGGCTGGCACCGATTTCGAAAATATTTGATTAGGTATGTATTTAATAGGTAGGCTTTAATTACTTAGCCAAAGCACACCGACTTCGAAAATATTTGATTAGGTATGTATAGTAAATGAAAACTACCAATCAGTTATTTTTTACTTTTTATTGCTTTTTTTTGAAGTCGGTTTTTATTTTTTTGTTAAAAAGTTTTTATTTTTCCCTTTTTAGTGTAGACAGTAGTAGCAAAGTAAGGATTCTAATGTGTTAGGCTTGTCAAATCAAACAAAATAAGCCCAAACTCAAAGTATCTACTATTAGCCGTTGAAGAGTTCCACCTATCCACCTTCTGGCCTTGCCATCAGATCAGGTCAACAACACCGAACCACTGTACTATCAACGGAAATAGAAATACTTGCAAAGTTTCAAGTCAATATGACAATTATAAGTAGGTTAAATTCATCATTAGTTGTTTTTCCACCCTTAGGGGTGGTATTTTTTTTTGAAATTTAAATGGGACCAATCTGGAAGTATACCCTTTCAAACAAAACAAAAATTGTCCAAATCGGTTAATAAATGACGGAGTTCTGAGGTAACAAACATAAAAAAAAAAAAAAACATACAGTCGAATTGAGAACCTCCTCCTTTTTGAAGTCGGTTGAAAATAAAATTACAAATAATATTATAAATGTGAACCTGTGTTTGTTTGTTAGTCCTTTTTAACCGTTAATACGTACCTAGGGATGAACTCGAGCGAAGCGAGTGGGCCGCTAGTATACCTATTATAAAAATTATAAAAGTATAAAAAAACATTACTTTAGTAGAGGAAATAACATTTACCTTGGTTTTTTAATATATTTGGTCATTTTTTGTACTAGCTCCCGCACAACTGTATTGACAAATGCATTTTTTGGTGCATTAGCACCGCAAGGACAAGCACCATTTAATTTTATACAACTGCAAAACAAAAAAATAATTATATTTGTAAGTGATTTAAACCAATATAATTATTGAATTATTGTAATACTTAAATTAAATATGTTATACCTGAGGCATCGAGAGTGACCACACTCTCCTGTGACCGGTGAAGTAGGGATACGAGTACAATCTAAACAATTCAGCTCACTTAGATTAGGGGATTTAAGATAACGTGACAGTTTTACTAAATTTTTAGCTAATTTTTCTGCTCTCAGAGTTGGTGATGGTAATTTGTTAACGAGACGCAGTAACGGCGCCAGTGATTCATTGTCACATTGAAAGTTCTCTATTACTGTTTTTGCATTTGATTTGAGCGTTTGTGCACGTACGTCTTTAGATTTCAAGACTGAATCAAGCAAAGATTCCGCGACTTGGTCTATGTATATCTCATTTGAAGAATTATATAAATTTTGGTTATTGTTATGAATTTCTCTATGAGACGACTCCGACTCGATTTGCATTGATGATTGGAAACTATCTATTGAGTCGTAATCTTCGAACGATAGAGTAGAAGATATGACACTGCCATCCTCAGAAATTTGAATCAAATTTTCCACTAAGTTATGATCTGGGGATAAAGATGGAGTCCTATTTTCTGTATCTTGCTGAATCTCTGACAAGGATTCTCTGTATGGGCTTCTGTCCGAAATTGTAACTCTATAGGATGATTCCTCTTGAGTGCCGAAGTGTGCAATATTTGTTTCTTCTGAACTTTGCAGATCACACTGCGCATCAGATGAGGATATAAATAAATTTGAAATTCTGTAAGGTTGAAACCTTTGACAACTTCTTCTGTTGCGATTTCTATGCCGTGGTGATTGTAAGTTTGTATTCATTTCAACAATATCACTTGAATAGAGTCGCGGTAAGAAAGGTGAAGTAATAACAGGAATTTTGTAACGTACAGTTGTAGTTGAGCCGGAAAAAGACTGTAAAGAAAATAACATATTTTAATGGTAACAAAATTATACATATATGTATATTATAAATAGTGTTACGAAATATGACCTCTCAAAAATAAAAATACTATAGGTACATAAAAGTTTTATCAAAAGAGACTTCAACGATATGCGATAGTTAGCTAATGCGATTGATTACGCTTGTAGCGTTATTGTAATATCACAGAATCTTATTTCATATGCGTAAAGCAATTTAAATACATTTAAAAAAACATATTATTGAAATCATTAACTACGTTTTGACCTAAAAGGCAAAATTTACTAGGTTCAGTAGAAAAAAATATTTAATTTGTTTTTTTTCTTTGTTATAAATTTATTGTGTGGCTTATTATGACACGCATTCGATAAGAGTTAAATTGAGTTAATGAAAACAATTAAAATCGTATTAGACTTTATACTAAAATACTTATCCCTTTATAGAAAACGCCGTTAAAAATATTAAAAACTAATTTTATGTCATAGCAGGATCAACATACAGACTGAGGCCTTACGGACCAATGCGTGCCAGCCTTGATCTAACAATATAGCGACTAGCGAGTCTCTGGAGACGTTAGGCGAGACATATCGCTATTAAACCATTGATTGATAATTCTATCGGCACAATATTGAGTCGACATTTCACATGGCAGTAACCATAATATGATAACTACAAAATTAAGTAAACTTTTCTTCTGCAGAAGATTATCTTCATGTCGAATAGTCACGTCAATGATCATTACTCGGCAAATTAATAGGTCTACTAGCTCGAGCTCAAGTCTGTAATAGTAGTTACCATTAATTATATACCGAAAGTGATTTTTTTTTCTTATAATGCATTTAAAACAAAAGATATATTGGGAAATGCAGAATCTGTGCAGCAAAAGAAATTAATATACGTACGCAAAAAACAATTAATTTATGAAGTATGCATATTTTACAATATAAAACATACTGTGTATTTGTTATAAAAGTACTAATAATAACATTTTACAGATAGTAGCGAGAGCAAGAAACGGTAAACATACACTTTTCTCTTATCTTCAACCTCCGTTGTATACCTATGTACTCGAGTATTTTTCTATAATTCTAAACTCTATGCATATACATTAAAGGTTGTTGCCTTTGACACTTGTTTCAATATAATATTTCAGAAAGAAGATATTTACAAGAGAAAACTATACCTACTTTGTAGACGTAAAGAAACCATAGTAAAATAATTTATATTATGTAAGAAAGAGGCTTTTACGATTATAACAATTAGTTAAATAATCGACATTCTATTTTACTGTTCTTATATCATATACTAACTTAAAACATGTATGTTTAGGTACTTTGTATATGGACTAAGATCCCACTGCAAGATTGTTACGTTCATTGCGTATTTAATCGAAATCAATTTTTTATATACAATAATAAAAGGGACAATATGTTTTGACCGGGGTGCCTATTCAAATGTGCCCGCTAGTATGTTTAATTAACTAAATAATAGTTGACTTTTTGTTTTTACTTTGAAAATTTAAAGGTGGCATGGCAACTGCTACCCTCCAGACAGACTTGCACTTTTATACCTGCCTATGATTAAAAAACTGCTGGTAAAATTCTCATCTTGCCTAAAATACCTGCGATAAAATGTCAGCCAGCTCTCGCAATATAAGTTGTATGAAATTAAATAACAAATTTAGAAGAATAGACTTTTAGATGGGTCAGGCTACTTGCAATTGGCATACGTAGCCCTCGATGTGCATTTTCTTTTTGGTGGTGGAGTGTTCAGTAGCGCCCGGCAATCCAGCCGGGTGTGAAGCAAAGAGACGTGTAGACCTTCTTGGTGGACCTCCGAAGATGTATCATGAGGGTTGCGTCTGGTATTTCTCTGATAGCAGAGTGAGAAATGACGGTAACCCTATGGTTGTTGTGTCTTAGTTGGTAGGCCACCCGTCGGAGTGTCGGGGTTGAGTCGTAAATCCTACGGCACCTCATTAAGACGGAGAAATTTGGCATAGACTTTATAGTACTGACTTTTCTAGCCGGTGAGTCGCCAAATAATGAACTGCACAGTTCATGATAATAAGCGTAAATGCATTTTCGAACTATAAAAAGACCAACAGACACTTGCCCAACTTAATAATACAAATAACAATAAATGCGTATAATTGAAAACTGCCGGCCATTTCAAACAACTGTAACTAAGAAGAGAGCGTTTGCGTTATGAAACCTATTGTAAAATTTTCCAGAATATTTTTCCAGCAAAATTACTTTTATTTTACATTTACAATAATATAGTCAGTCGAGTGCTACATATTTTAACTAAGGCGTAGAGCTTGTGAAGTTAGGACGTGTAGAGTTAGAAGTTTGGTTCTACCTGAGATCTGATAACTTTATGACAGTACGAACCACGTGGTCTCGTCTTGGCAACATTTCACATGAAAATGTTTTTAGTGAAATTTCACTTCTTTTTGTAAGTGTTTACTAAAAATCTTGAAATATGTATTTTATTATTTATAACAAGGAGTCAGAGAAGGAGTAGGAGTGAGAAAATTTTCAGACTTTTAGCATCAGAATTTACGGAAGCCTCATACAAAATTCCATCCCCTACTTTAAAGGATTGGGGGTAAAAGTTCCATGTTTTAGATTTTTTGTTATTTATGTACTAACTAGAAGAACCCGCGGTTTCGCTCGCATAAAACTACAAAAAAAATCTAAAAGGGTAGTTTCATACAAACTTTCACCCCTGTTTTACCCGCTTATAAGATGAATTTCGAAAAATGCTAAAATACGTATTATTTAATTCTATTGAAGAGCATTAATACCAAGTTTCAAGTAATTCTGATCATAATTTTTTTTTGGATTTTATTATAACTTTTGTTGTTTAATTAAGTTTAATTGTTTTCCCGTGGGGAATTAGATAATTTCCCGCTTTAAAAGTACTTTTAAAGTTACCTATGTCACTCTCCAGCCCTCCAATTATCTCCACACAAAAAATCACGCCAATCCGTCACTCCGTTTCGACGTGAAAGGACAATAAAACAAACACACTTTCACATTTATAATATTAGTATGGAAGTATGGATACTACCTTATATAGCAAATTTCAGCTTTCTAGGACTTCAGGAAGTACCCTAAGAATTTTGATGATCATAAGTGAGACAATGACGAAATCGGAGTTTTTTAGATATCAATAAAATCTAAAGTTTAAGATTAACTTAACTTAAACTTTATATGTTTAATAAATCTACTATTGACATCATATTCCGAGAATTTTGTTAATCTGGTATAACCTAAATAAAGTTATGATGGTTCAAAAAAACGACGAAGCGCGCTTCGTGAAAAGGTAGGTAGTGCCCTTGCGCTTCACTTGACTCGTCTTGGCGGAGGCACTGCTGTGCCCCTCTCAATAAGTGTGCGCGTGTGGCTGACTTAGCAGTCGGTTGAAAATAGATCGACAGTACCGACTCGGTATAGTGTGCGCACTGCGCACACACATTTTTTAACAGATCTTATTAAAATTCCGTAAGTAATCTGCGGGGGAGAGTAGGACACTTAGTCAAAATTGTTCGTTTGCAGTAATTAAGATGAATGCGGTGATTGCCTTTGTACATATTGTTTAGACTCTTAAACTCAACGTCGAATAATTGTTTTTATATATTATATTCACTTTGTCATAGTGAGAGTGCTTTAATACTTCAGCTACGAAAGCATTATCTACAAATATAGTAAGATCCCGTGAACCCCAGACCTTCGTTATTTTATAAAAGCTGAAAGTTTGTCAGCGCATGCTCCCAACACAGGTAAGAACGATGGACCATTATGAAGATCGGATTATCGTGGGTTTGGCAGGTAAACGGTACTAAAGGTGTTTAACATACCGATTTAAATTCCTTAAATAATAAAGTGTGATTTTTTGGTATTACTTTTAGAATATTATTAAAAATCACGTCATTCAATGTCAAAATCAAATAACATCGTGGCAACCTCATGCCAGACACCCTTAATGTTCATGAAATTATAATTCTACTTACGTTATAGTATAATAGCTGATTTTTATATATAATATTTGGGTAATAATTAGATGATTTTTCCTCACTAGCCAGACATTTTTGATAGTTCCAACCCCTTGCCAGACAAGCATGTAAATGTTAAAAAGAGATTCGTGATTAGAATGACTGAAAAAAATGCTAAAAACCGAGTCAGGGGATGTATGAAGAGAAATAGAACAAATCCAGTTTTTTTTTAATTTTGTTTTTCTGTCTGTTTGTGTGTTTGTACGGGATAATCTCCGTAACTGTAGGACCGATTCAAATGAATTTTTACATGGTCGTACCTTATATCCCCGGACAACATTTTAGATATTTTTCATCCCAGAAAATTAAACAGTTCCCGTAGGATAGTTAAAAAACTATAGTAACTTATACAGCTTAGTAAACAAAAACAACTGATTGGATTTTAATGAAACTTTACAACAATATAGTTCATACATTAGAATAGCAAATAGACTACTTTTTATCCGGTCAAATGTACGGTTCCCGTGGGATAGATTTATTGTTGTTTGTCTAGAGGCGAACCCGAACGAAGCGAGACTGAGCCGCTAGTACATTATAAATATTGAAAATTAGTAAATAAGAATAACTATAAATTGATACTGATCTAAACTGTTTGTAATGCTTTTAATTTATACATACAACGCAAGCTATATATTATGTATATTGTTTTTCTTTTTATATATATATATATATATATATATATATATATATAATAGTAAAATGTTTATCTTACATATACGTTTATGTAAATTAGAATACATGGAAGATTTTATTTTTGTTTTTTGTGTAAATTACAAAAAATAATCTACTAAACAACATACGACGTAAGTACTTAGATCATTGTTTTGTTACAGTAGGTATATTCGTAATTGAAATTCGAAAGCAAGCATTTTGATATCAACTTTTTAAAAAAACTGTTAATACCTCTGTCTCAATTTAGCCTAATCTCCTGTACATATATTTTATGTGTAAACCTATCGTAGGCTTTGTAACTTAATATAATTAACTTAAAATAGCAGTTGTCATTATATTTCTCGTATCAAGGCAATACGTAATACTGAACTTGGCCTAGTAAGAGCGGACCGGTTGGAAGGCTGTGAAATGGACGCAATAACGCTAATATTGTTTCTTGCAACGCCCCATTTACAACATAACGTTGTGAGGAAATTATTAGTTAATTTAGTAAGTATGGTCTTTTAAAAATATATTCCTAGCTCACTACGATTGGTTTTGTAAACAAAACTCATTGATTTATTGTCTAAAAAATATTTTAGACAATGAATCAATTTGGAAATAATGGCGAATTAATATTCTCTAGAGACAAGTGTCTTCGTATTTGGAGGCTTTTGCTGGATAAATATTGAAACACTTGGTAAAACAAACTATAAACATAAGTAACTTACCGCATTATTTGGAGAATCTGCCGAAGTAATTGAAGAGGTGGACAGTTCTCCCTCGTCAATTCCCTGTAACCAAAATAGGATTTTTAGGATAACCATTGAGTGTAAACATTATTATTATCTGTTTATTTGACTTTGATGACAAAATATAAATATTTAAGGCATCCTCTTTTATCATATTTAGGGTTCTGTACCTCAAAAGATAAAAAAGAAACCCTTATAAGATCACTCTCTTGTACGTCTGGCCGTGAGACACCACCGATTTTCTCAAGTAGGGGTGGACCTAGCAAGTTGAAATTTATACCATATACTGAGGTCTATAGTCCCTATTAGGTGTGTAAAAATCAAGGTCCTGAGTCAACACGATAAAATGATATGGGCAAATTTATATTTTCTTGAAAACTTGTAAGTACCAAAATTTACCTTAATTTTCAACTTTTTTTATTTTTCGGAATCTTAACTTTACTTGTGCTGTAAGACCTTGCTTTTAACCAAAATTGACAATTCTAGGTCATCCAAAAGTACCCTATAGGTTTTGGGTCGATAACCTATATAGTAGTTTCCGTTGACCTAGAATCACGAAATTTGGCAAAAAGCAAGATCTTATAGCACAAATAAAGGAAAAAGTCCAAAAAAAATGTTGAAGATTAAAGTTAAATAGATTTCCTACAAATTTGTATGGAACCCTCGGTGGGCGAGTCCGACTCGCACTTGTCCGTAATTTTTAGGTTATTAATAATGCTTCCAAAACATATAAATAATATATAAAACACGCGTTATAGTCGTTATATAATACATTAAAAATCAAATAAGTCGCAATGCCAAATTTGTTTGAACAAGAACATGAATTATCAATCATAATTATAAATACATACATATATGGTAGGTCAAAGTTGTTTAGTAAAATATTTATGAATTTGTAAGTACCTTTTCGTTACAGAAAATAAATTCAAATCCAATTCGCTCCGAAATAACACAACACACGGACGGGCGACGTACAAGTTAAGTCATCGTCTGGCTGTTTTCTTACGACGACGATTCTTACGCAAAACAGTAAGCGGGGGGCTTACATAATGCGACCTACTGGCACAGTGACTCTGTAAGTGCATGCGCTTGCACCGAATGTAATCTAATTCTTTTATTGTAATAAAGGCATTTACTGGAAACGCTCAATTTGTATGTCATTTTGTCAGTCAATTTGTTAATAGAAAACTTCTAAAAAATATGTATTTATTAGCTGAAAGTAAATTTTTTTTTTCTGTAGATACGTAACTCGTCAAACAACTTCAAAAAAAATCGCAAATTAATCAGTGTTACACGTGTTAATTTCATAATATAAAGGTCTAAAAAATAGGACGCTACTTTGTCTCTGATATATTATTACAAGCACTAACTTTACACTGTTAGAAATCTTAAACTTGATTACGCGATTTTCGCTGTGAAAGACAAATTAAAATAAAATCTACGAAAAATGGACTTATTATTTATTCGTAGGATAAAATAATATATATTTTGCAGGTGTAAAACAAAGTCGGCATTCGGAACCAATATTATATACTTACTATATGTATTTAAATTCTAATAGTGAAATAAATCTTTTATTATTACAGAAACGCAGTTAAGTCTTTATTTTTCAAATAAGATAATAAAAATTACACTTACAATAAAAAATTACACTTACAATAAAATATTAACTCACCTGTAATAATAAAAGAAACAACATTTAAAGCATCTATTTCAATCTAAATAACAATAAAGTAATAATTTAAACTCTTCGAGGAAAATTTTGTAAATACTTATTATATCAATTATTTTATTAAATGTCAAAGTTAACAAACTAAAAAAAAAGTAAATTTGGAATCAATCAAAAAGTATTTATGTAAATAAAATAAACTTAAAAAAAAGCACTTGCATATGAAGTGGTTTTCTTTACATCTCTCCCCCTAGAAAGGAACAATTACAAGTGACAATGTACGTAATTGTTCATTTACTAACGAACACTGGAGACAATTTTGTAATGTGGTAGAAATTTGATTCCGTTTTTTTGTGTCCGGTATCAACTTCGTAGATTGAATTGGAAATCTTCTTCAGAATTCTATATGGTCCAATCCTCAATTCATCCATTTTCTTTCTATTTAGTCGATTTCCGTTTTCCACATAGACCATGTCTCTTACTTCCAATTTATATTCTTCCCTATGCAGGTCGAATATTTTTTTATTATAATTGTAAGATTTTATTATGTTTTTAAGAGCTAGTTTTCGATCTCTTTTCAGATCTTCTCTTGTACATTTTGTCTTCAATTCTAGTGGTAAGATATTCACATTTTCACCTTCCAAAGATCATATCAATAGTATAACTTTGTGTCACATTTTTTATTAATTTAATAAACTCACTGGCGCTTTGCTTTCTTGATGTGAGAATATAAGCATACCTTGTGAAATGATCAACCAAAAGATGTAAGTATTTTTTTGTTGACCGTGATCCTCCAAAGCCACCAATGGTATCAATAGATATTATTTCAAATGGGCGGGTCGCTGAACCTAAATGTGACATTAAGCCATATTTTGATTTCCTCCTTGATTTGTTTTTTATACATATTTCACATTCATCACACATTTGTTTAATGTTTGCAATGATATTCTTTGCTGTGTAGAATGGTGTTATTTTATTTATCATCTGGGTTCTCCCAATGTGGCAGTAAGTTTCGTGAACATCTTTTATTAAAGTTTTGCTTAGTTCTTTTGATAAAACGATTTTTTTTTCTTCTTTTATATTTTTTGTAATAAATTTCATTGTCCAATATAGTTTTCCATTTTGTACGTTTAGATTCGTATGCTGGTCATTTTTAATATCTTCCAGGCTTATTAAATTTACTACTTTTAAAAATCGTCAGTATTGTCATAGGGTTCTAGAACTGGATTTCGGCTTAAACAGTCTGCTTCTTGGTTTGATATTCCTGGGTTATATTTTATTGTAAAGTTATATTGAGATAAATAATACATCAAATCTCCTAGTTCCACATCAGTTCTAGCCTTGATATTCATATTTTCTAATGGTTTATGGTCGAGTATACCGTAAATTGTTTTCCCATAAGCCAGTGCTGCCAATATTTAACAGCTTCTTTTATTGCTAGACATTCTAGATATATTGCCTTTTTCTTTTTTTGAGCTTCAGTTAATTTTCTTGAAGAATAAGCAACTGGCTTACTTTCCCCGTTTATATTTTCTTGTTTCAACACTGCTCCCACACCTTTGATACTTGCATCTGTGTAAATGCTTATTGGTAGTTCAGGGTCAAAGATATTCAGAATTGGTTTTGAACATAGCAATTCTTTTATTTTTTCAAATGATGCCTGACATTCTGTGGACCATATGAATTTCACATCTTTCCGTAATAAATTATGTAACGGATGCAGGATAATTGCACTGTGTGGTACAAATTTATGATGAAAATTTACTTTTCCTAGGAACTGATTTATATTCTTTGGAAAATGGTTGGAGCGGTTTTTAATCCAAATGGGAGACACGTCCATTGAAAATGGCCTTCTTGTGTCACAAATGCAGTTTTGTATCTGTCTTCAATTTTTAAAGTAATTGACCAAAATGCTGAATTTATATCAAAAGTAGAAAAATATTTTACAGTTTACAGTTTTTACCATTAAATCCTCAATTAACGGAAAAGATTGTGATTGAGGGACAACAATTTTGTTTAAATTCTCTAAAATCTATGCATAATCTTGTTTTTTTTTTCATCTTCTTTTTTATATGCCAGAGTTGGTGGAGCAGCAAAAGGGCTATAAGATTCTTCAATCAAATTTTTCCTTAATAATTTGATTTTCTATTTCTTTTCTATCTTCGATTGTGCATCGGTATGGACGTTTGTAACAGTATTTATCCACCATTAGATCAATATGAGCTTCATAATCTCGTACTGTACCGATGTCACATTTATCTTTAGCGAATACAGGTTTGTATTTTTCTATCAACTTATCAATTTCTGATTGTTGACATAAATCTAGATGGTTTACTAACATTTCGAATCTATCCGAGTGTATATGTTCGTTGAAATTTATTTCACATTTGTTTATGTGTTTTCTTTCTTCTTTTAATACTTCTTCATTTTTGTCACCTAGTACATCAGGAATTTCGACATTTGTTAAGTTAGAAGTATCAGTTTTAAGTTTTTGTTTTTCATATCCTCTTCATTTAAGATTACCTCTTTTTCTTTTGGATTGTAATATTGTATGATCTTTAATTCTTCATTTTGTATTAATTTGAAATTTTTGATACAATCCAAACCAATTAGAAAATCGTGATTAAAATTTTCATTATCTACTACAAAAATATCCATAATTCTTTCAATATTGTAGATCTTAATTTTTAGTGTTACCATACCCTTTGTTTTCTTCTCACCATTAATAGTCCTCAAGTTTGCTATTTGAATATCCCTTGTATTTTCTTTTGGCTGTATCTTTAATAATTTTGCATTTATTAATGACACATTTGATCCTGAATCATAAATTCCAGAAACTTTCAAAGTATCATTTAATAGTAACTTAACTTCTATTAATGGTCGCACATCTAGTTTTTTGGATTCTTCTCATTAAGTTCAACTTCCAACCTGAGTTATTTACTATTTTTACAATTGCCTTGTTATTTTTCCCTTTAAACCAACAACTTTCTTCAGGATGGTAACGTTTCCCTTCTTCCTCGTTGATACAAATTTGGCATGGCTTCTTTTCTTCAGTTTTATGGAACTTATTGTCAGGATAAAAAGTATTTTTTTTTGTAGTTCTTCTTCTTGTCAACCAGATATTCTATTTCAAATTTTGCTATTTCATTGTAGAGGTCTTTCGTTTCTTGTAATGTTCCTCTGTTAATTTTATCAGACAGATAATTGAGTAAACCAAAAGCTATAAGGTCTATAAGTGTCCCAGTGTCAATTAATTTTCTTACTTCTAGTAGCAATTTTTCTTTTTTAAAGCATACTCAAGTAGTGAACCTGTTTGGTATTTAAAGGCAAGAGCATATCTAATGGATGACCATCCTTTATTAGCAAACATGTCACAAAAATCTTTCTCTTTTTATTAGAATGTTGCTGTACCAATCAACACTAGAATATTCCAAATTTTTTTTTAATATTTCAATTTTCTTTTTGTCTTCATCAATTTGGAAACATTCACATTCTTTGTTAAATTTCTGAATCCACTGGTAAGCATTCGAATTTCTGCCAGTAAATTTCTCAATCATGAAGTCTTTTGCAATAACTCCTAAATTTTCAGTCTCAGATTTTGTTTGTTTTCTTCAAGAAATTTCTCTAATAGTTTTTCCAACGTCTGATTTGAGCTACTGGCTATAGATTCTCCAATATTTGTTTTTTCTAAATTTTCTTCTAGGTAAAAATCATTAAACTGTAAATTTTGTTCTTCATCCAAATAAATTTTTGATATATCATCTGTTAAGGTTATCCATATTTTCCTAGTTTGATATCTTTTATTTAATGATTTTTTGACTTTGACATAGTGTTGTTTTTATAATTTCTTGGTGTTGTGCAGTTATTTTAATGTATGTAGGACTTAATCTTCTTAATAGAAATTATTGACTTACATCATCTTTTATGATTATATATATTACTTAACAAATTGTTTAATTTATTATAAATAATAACTATTATTACATTCACTTTAAAAAATCTCCTCTTTTTCAATATAAATATCAGCATTATTTTAATGAAAAAAACTAATGACAGTTATAAATGTACCAAACTTTTATTTGAAGCTATTCTCTTTTTTGAAGGTATTACTGAATTTTATTTCCATCATAAATCTTAATTATATTACTATTTTACTTGATGTAATTTATAACTCTTATCTCAGCTAGATGATTAGCCTTATTTTATTTAATTCATAACAATATATTTATATTGTTGTAATTAAGTATAGTAAGAAATCAAGTCATGTTATTAGATAAGAAAAATAGTTGTTAGCTTCATATTTAAATTATAAAATATTATTAAAATAAAGCACAGCAGCAAACATTATCTCTGTAGATTTCCAAAATTATTTAATTAGTTTTCGTTAAATCTTATTTTTGTAAGTCATAAAGACCTAGTAATTGTAGTTAAAGAATTGTTTATAAAGTTTAGAAGAGGGAAAGTATTCAATAAATAAATAGTTATTTACATTCAAAGTACAGTTAAACAGTATGTTTCTTTTTAACTATTTAGATATTAATAACAAGAATGCAAAACATGTAAAAATATAATACTCTTTAAATTATTTAAGTAAAAAAACTATGTAAATGAATTGTTTTGTATTAAAAAGACACAAAGGCTATTTATAAATCAATCAGATGATCTTTGATAAAAGGCTTTCAAGCACACCAAAAGAAACAATACACTTGTCAATGTTGCATGGGGCATAGAGAAAATTTGCTAATCACTAGTAAAAAGAGACTCCCATTATGATCTGATTAAGGCAAGTTTTAAGAACCTCATGTTTAATTTTTTATGTTTCCTTTAAATAATTTAATTTGCAATTACCTCTACTCTTTTTAATTGCCACCTTTTTGTAATATGTATTTATTTTTTTCAAATTAGCATAACAACAATGCTATCTAATATCCAATAAAAATATACAGAATGATTTTATAGCTTCATTTAAAGTTACTAGGTACTACAAGGCACTTTCCAACTAAATTTCACTATAATTTAGTCATCAACACTACACAAAATATGTATTGTCATCTATTTCTTCACATTATATAATTACTTACGTAATATTTACAAATCAAGGATAATATCATTTTAAATAAAAATGGAACATAATTACATATTAATAGAACAAATTGAAAATTGATTTCACATAAAAGGTGAACTTATAATAACCGGCTTTATCCACCCGGCAAATTTAAAAAATATTACTATTACTAATAGACAAATATACACCTACCTCGTCCTCGTAGGATGAAGATTCTGAATGATCTAAAGGAGCGTGCCACATATTTTTATAAAAAAGTTTAGTACTGAGATGCAATACACAGAAACTAAAAATAACTTGTAGTAAATTCACAAGCGCTTGCCGCCATGTGCCTCGCTCACATAAAATTAATACAATGAATTATGTAGTATGTACCTATTACAACACAGTAAACGTATAGTTTATCTTTTTAAATGTAGCATTATACTCTATGAGTTTATCTGACAAGTGACAATTTTAAAACAAAATGACAATTGACAATTTATTGAAGTGTTACTATATTTACGTTTGTAAAACAATAATTTATATTATTATTACGCAAATCACCCACTTGTGAAAGGCGAAAAAATCGTTATGAGGCCAAAATAATATTTAATAATTTTTTTTCGCTTGAAGTTTTCTGTTTATGCGGGAAAGTTGACCATATCTTAAAATTTTTATGCTTACATAAAGCCTTTAAATTTTATTCTAGACCGCTGAAAGAAATAGAAAGAATTAAACTATTTGTGGGAGAGGCTAGTGGCTAACAGAAATAGTTTCTTCAGTAAGGAAATAGCAATATTAGATTATAATATGTATACAATTTGTGTATTTCTTAGTTGTCTTCACATACTTTAAAGAAATGCTACGCATGTTGTCCCACAAGAAAGTTAATTTTTTTTTATAAAGGTATGAGTAATAATCTACGAATAAATAATAATTCAGGAAATGTAAATGCGTTAAAAAAATGACCCAACAAAAGTCGTGTCCTAGTAGGCGGTGCTTAAAAGTCGCGTCCAGCGCGTCGTCAGCACTGATGTAAAAGTTCCCGATTCATCGGGAGATCCACTGAATTTGGTTATTGTTACCCGATTAACCGTTTTAACGAACGTATCTCCTGATTTTTTGCATTTTCAACTAATGTTAAATAATATTGATATATAAAATGGAAAATAAGGTTATGGAATCATAAATAACAGAAACTAAAACGGCTGGTACCAAATTCATAGCCACTTCTTTTTAATTAACAATGAAACTGTTTTACAGCAAAGAAATAACAACCACTAACTAATTAAATCAAAGCTAATGCGTTTCCTAACTAGATAACAAAACATATTTTCAGAAAGTCAAACTGTGACTTGTCAGTAATAAAAACTTAAAAAAACTGACTTCCAGGCACTAAAATGTAAAAAATAACTAAACAGGGGTTTTCATTTAGAATAGATACCTAATCAGATTTTTTTGAAGTCGGTGCCAGCTGACGCAAAGAAAATCTAATATATTTTGATACGTAAAATACATATACCTTAAAATATTGTCCGCTACATCTGTGAATCATCATATGCCAGCATGTTTTGTGAAGTGGTACAGGAGCCATGCAACATTAAAATATCCAGGAATCACTTTTCACTAGTAAGTAGTAGCAAAATTATAATTATATGTATTAAAAGATGTTCAAATGACAAATACGTTGTCAAACTGTGGTGGCCAATACTATGCAAATTGAATTTAATCAATTTTTGACCTTATTTAGAAAGTATTTTTTTTTACTTCTTAATGAATTATAGTTATTTTATAATGGTAATGTATTTTGCTTATTTTTTTTAAAATACCACAGTACTGGTTTGTACAGTAAGTACCCTCTGTCTTACTATTAAAATAATTACGTTAGTATATCAAATCTGAAATTAAGCTGTTTTTTACGCAGAGGATTCGTCCCGAAAAAACGTCGAAATCTTTAAAAGATAATACAGAAAATGAATAAATAAATAATATTCAACGATTGCAGTTACATATAATGTAGGTTCGGCTTTTTTGACATATGGAAATCCGTACTAATATTATAAATATGAAAGTGTGTTTGTTTCTCCTTCTTTCACGTCAAAATAGATTGACGGATTGGCGTGATTTTTTGTGTGGAGATAGTTGGAGGGCTGAAGAGTGACTTAGGCTACTTTTTACCACTAGAAGTTATCTCATTCCAACGGAAAAACACTTTAACAGCTGGAAAATCGAAAAGTTCAGAACTGGTTATTTTGTATGAGAATCACTACTTCGGATTACTTTCAATAAAGACTAATGCTGCTTAAATACCGGCCCAACGATTCGTTGGTCTTCGAAGTTCGTCCAAATACATTTAGTGGTCGAGCAAAGGATCGTTTGGCACCAGATTCCGGCTTGCACTCGCAATTTGATCATGGGCGACGACAAAATAATTATAATTGCTAGTTTTATATACTATTCGCATTGCCCGCGGCTCCGCCCGCGTTCAGATAACCAAAAACCAAATTCTTAGGTTTACATATTAGAATACACTTACAATGCAGTTTTTGTATTTTTTTGAGAAATGAGATATTTTCCCGCGGTAAAAAGTATTCTATATGTTGACCCGGATAACCAGCTATTATCATACCAAATTTCATCAAAATCTGTCCAGTGGTTTTCTCGTGATGCGGTAACAGACAGACAGACTGACAAAAATTCTAAAAATTAAAGATTCGGGCTCTATCGATAATAATGTCTATTTCAATTAGATTTTCCAAAAAATATTTAATGTACAGATTCGACTCAGTTAGAATTTTATTATATGTATAGATAACGAGTTAGCAAGGACAAGAAAAATTTAACAAAAGCGAAGATGGTGGACAACCACATATTTTAAGGATAGAAATGTCTATGGTGGAAGTAAAATGATTACAGACTTACAAGTAGAAAAAGAATACCGTTTATATGACAACTTTAGCAGAATGTCTTCTCAAGATTTTGAATGATTGTTGGATAGTATTGGACCAGAAAAAATAACAAAAAAAGACACAAATTATCGTAAAGCAATCCGTTCGTTCGTTAGTCTTCGGTAACTATCCACAATGAGTTCGATCTAATGGCTCAATTTCTTTGATGTTATCGCCACACTTCAGATGCTCGTTGGCGTTCATTAATGCTGGGTACACACCGACTCAACGAACGCCAACGAAGGATATTCAGCGTTGGCTACCGCACGTTTGTTGGCCTTCGAAAGTACGTCCAAATACATTTAGTGGTAGAGCAAAGGATAGTTGGCACCAGATTCCGGCTTGCACTCGCAATTTGATCTTGGACGACGACGAAATAATTATAATTGCTAGTTTTATATACCATAACGAGTTAACAATGAAAAGAAAAATTAAACGAATCATCATTACTCCACTCTTTGTTTTTCTCCATAATTGACGTATACGGCGGGAAATATAGGTATATTAGATTAGACGTCTGCACCCTACGCTCTCGCTTCATAGGAATCGTTCGTTTGGTAGCCATCCACACAAAGTTCGATCTAATGGCTCGATTCCTTTGATGTTACCACCACGCTTCAGATCGCAGGCACATGCCAACGAACGATCGTTGGCGTTCACTAAATAGTCCAGACAGGACCAAAAAACCCATTCGTTGGCGTTCGTTGGGTCGCTGTGTACCCAGCATTAGTTGTCCAAATAGGGCCAACGAAACCCATTCGTTGGCGTTCGTTGGGTTGGTGTGTACGCGTCATAAAATAAAGACCATTCTAAGCGGACCCGAGACGATCAATCAATCAGTCAATTTTACGTTAATATCGATTGCCATTGATCGTTTACAAGTATAATTGCAGCAATAGTCACGTGATTGAAAGCAATTGATGGAAATATTGATTGATGATCATTGACAAGAGCCATTGAAGTTGCCAATTGATCGTTTACTGAGTCATTGAATCCGTCAATCGTTTCCGTCATTCAGCTGCGTAGCTGCCCTCAGATTAAAGAGACTACTACCATTTTATTAAAAAGGAGTTAATTCTATAGTACATAATAGAATTAAATTATAATATAGTCTTATTATTAACCTTATTTTCTTCATCATTCATTTATAGTTTAAATCCACGTTATATATGCTAAATTTCAAAATTACCGCTCAAACTCACTCGTGTCTTCCTCACAATACGTGGCACTGGCAGATTTATTACGTCTGTTATCGCAACTCTAAGCCACTAAACAACAAAAAAAGAAGACGATTGACGAAGATAACTGTTTCTGTGAAGGTAACTTTTCGGGTAATTGCATTGAGCAGGGTAACAGCGGGTATTTTAGTTTAGCTGGCAACATTTATCATTATCATAATATTAGCATGTTCATAATTTAAAAAAAACAATTAAAGAGCTCATCGAAACACCTTGAACACATAATGTTGTTGCAATATTGGCCGTGCGGGAAGTTATCCGTAAAGCAAAAGGTATCGTGGAATACCAGCCCAGTGTTCAAATGTTGCAAGCCAAAATATGGTCTTCTGACTCTACTAAGCCAAGTACCAGCGGAAATTGATTAATTTGATATTTTAAGTTTTTTGTTTAATGTTTGATTCAATAATTTAAAGCTGTTTAATTGAGAATTGATTACAATGCCTTCTTTTTTAAAATTATTTCTTTATTTTATTCTATACAAAACATGCATTAATTATTAAAAAAAAAACACTATTTTCACGAGATAAACCGGGTATTTTGAGGTTCATTGGTCGAGTAAATAAACATCTGCTAGCTGGCAGCCCTGACCACAGAGTATATTTAACATTGAAGACTGCGAAGTGCAAAGTGCTCTCGGCTCTTGCCTCTCATTTATTCAGTATTCACTATTACCAATGTACTCTGTGTTCACTATTCACTAATCGTTATTGAATGTCTAATGTCTTTTGAGAACAAGTTTACATAGAAGTGATTAGTGCTTATTTTTTATTTTCCTAGAAATTACTGTTTATCATAGTATCCACAGTTGTCTACGATGACATAATTGATTATTGTATCTGAAAAATATAATATGTGATGTGTCTCGACTTCTTGATTAACTGAATCCTGTAGTTAAAAACCAAAGGCACCATGGATGAAGACGGGGATGATAAGGATGACTCAAAAAGGTACCTGAATACATTAATTTTAGCATCAGATTAAAGTAACCATGAAAGTAGAGTAGAACTGTATTTTGTGCACATTCAAGTTTATATTTACTTGAGACATTACAATAAGTATATTGAGTTTATATATGTTGTAAAAGTTCATGCATAAATCCTACCTCATAATATAATGTGTTCTCATGAATAAGTATTATCAGTCATCATTTGTTTATTGCATAGTTTTTATTATTTCATCTTCGCAGTTAAATAGCAATTAAATTAAAGTTTTTTCAAACAAAATTGCTTATCTCTCATAATATGCTTTAGAATATTAAAATTACCTAGTATTTTTTAATTTGTAATTTGTAAATATAAAATAAAAATGAACATTTAGCTGCTGTTGCATATAAAGATTATAGTTCCTGGAGAAGTGATTTAAATTTTTGAAAAGGGGGTAATCGAGAGCCTAAAGTGAAATAAAAATAAATAGCAAATGTAGGAGATAAAAACTGGTCTCTACTATAAGTCTATACTTTAGAATAGTAAAAAAAGGATCTAGAATAAACAATTTTTTTCTAAGCTATGAAATACAAAATTGAACCTAAGCAATTTGATAGTAATAAGATAAACTAAAATAATAAATAAATAAAATAATTACTAAAGGTGTATACCAATACACCTTTAGTAAAATAAAAATTAATATTGTCTATTAATTTTAAAATAAAGAAATACAACCAAAACCTATTCATTACAAAGTTTGTGTGTAAATAACACGTAGCTTGAATTTAACAAACAGTTGAGTTTAATAGTAAAAAAAAAACTTAAGATATTTAAGAGAAATCCAAGTGAGTTGGAATTTAACTTAAAGTGCTGTAGTAGGTGTAGTAATTTAAAGTAAGAGTTCTCATCTTCCATTACCAAATGGGATATGTTACTTTGTTTGGATTTAATCGATATTGAATCACTATAGGTAGTAAGGATGTTAAAGTTTGTTGTATTTTAAAGTATAAATAAAAAATCATTTGTAATTGCTTACATTGGGCAAAATAGAGAAGCAAATATTGTAACTTTATCCCTCCTTAAGTCTGTCTCTTATTTTCCAGTGCCAGGTATTTGCTGCAAAAAAATATAAATATACTTTTTCTTTATAAATGACATTTTTAGAACAATATTTTGAGGTATGATTTGAATTTACTCAACTAAATTGTATACATCTGCTAAACTAATCATATAAAGACCATTTAAACTTACAAAAAGAAAAAAATTCTACTCATTTAATATATAATATTATCTAACCATTTAATATACATCTAAAATTTTAAACCCTTAATACCTCAACGATCGTGGACACACCAGCTTTACAGTTAACAATAGATTTCTTAGAAATATAATGAATTTCTTAGAAATTTACCTGAAGGTGTTAAACAGACTTCAATGATAAGATAGCCTATCCCACAGTTATAAAAATTAATTTCATGATTTTAAGAGCTTTATGTAAATTGAGCTCCATTTCTCACTATCTTTGTAATTTTGATAACACAGTTATAGAAAGTAAAACAGTCAATTCTGCTTTCTATATAACTGCTTGATTTGGTGTCTTAAAAATTGTAAATAATGTTTTCTTTTGTGTATGATACACAAAAGAAAAATAATTGTAATAATCATGATAATCGTATTTTACTTTGTAAATAATTAATTATAATTTACCCAGAATACTTTGTTCTAAATTGCTAAAAAGAAACAACAACATACCTTTTCTCTTCTTTATAAACAAAAAGACGAGATTATGTTGAATATAGTTTATTAAAAATAAATATTTAAATATTATATAGAATTTAATAAATAGTGAAAAATGGCTGTTGTGTATACAGGCTAATCAAACATAAATGAAAAAATACAACTTGTGCACCATCTATTCTTATTACCTTTTCAATTATAGTTCATGGTATTTCAGCTTGATGGATTGGTTAAGAATAAAGTGCATTGAAAATATTTTTTATAATCTTAAATAATTTACATTTTTCCAGGAGAACTCGGAATTTGAGCGAAAAGAAAAGAAGAGATCAGTTCAATATGCTACTCAATGAACTTGGGTCTATGGTTTCTTCAAACAATAGAAAGATGGATAAGTCAACAGTCCTGAAGTCTACTATATCTTTTTTGAAAAATCATAATGGTTAAACATTTATATTATTTGAGTTCCATTATCTTGAATATATGAAGAATATCGATATATTAATATTAAATACAACAATTACAGAAATAACTGTACGCTCGAGAGCTCATGATGTGCAAGAAGATTGGAAACCAGCTTTTTTGTCAAACGAAGAATTTACTTACTTGGTATTAGAGTCACTTGAGGGATTTGTTATGGTATTTTCTGCCGCGGGCCATATTTATTATGTATCTGAGAGTGTGACATCATTATTAGGACATAATGCGGTAATCAATATATTAATTTAAGATCAATATTGTAATATATTTTTTCAATTTTAATAACAGAATAATATATATAATCCATATTTTCAGAATGAATTAGTGAACAAAAGTATTTACGATTTAACATTTGAAAGTGATCGCTCCAATTTGTATGGGTTGTTGCAAAATCCACCTAATGTGATCCATCCAGCGCAACCTCTTAATTCAGGTTTGTTAAATACTATTATATATTTAAGGAGAAAGTATTTGTGTGTGTGTTGAATTACTAATTATAAATATTATAATAATAATTAATAAGCAGCTCCTGCAATTGCGGTTTTATTATAAAAACAAAATATGCGATTTGGAAAGTTATTAAAAAAAGTGATGTCATAAAATATGTTTATGATGATATTTTTACTATTTCATAATTTCAAAACAGGTGCATCACAATTATAGTTTATTTTATAGAATAACTAGTTACCCACTCTCGTTTTGCTCAGCTCGCATCACTGGAAGTGATTATTTTTTCCGACTTAATTCATCAAATATTATAATATCAGGAGATTATTTTTGTAATATGCTTATAAATTATGGCTGTCCTAGAAAATCCCTCTTTTTACTGGTAAAACCACATGAAAATCCGTATAGCAGTTTTTGAGATTAGTCAATCTCAAAAACGCCTGTCAAGTGTAAGATGATGCGTCCTCCACGCCTTGGAAAATTGTGTGTTCTATTCCTTGCATGAGAGGAATGTCTAATATATATGAATGTATAATATATATATATATGTCTAATATATATATATATATATATATATATATATATATATATATATTAAACAAATTTATATCAAGTGGGGTTGTATTAAATTTATTTATGCTAAAATAGTTTTCATATATTATTATGATTTTAGCTATGTAATACTGCTCTGCGAAATATGCCTAATTCTTATTAGAACTAAATAAATGAATTATTTTACTCTTTGCGATGTAGCACTATTTATCTTTTTTTAAGTACCTAATATGCTAATTGCTAGTTTTAATTAACTATGCGTTTTTTAAAATGTATTTTATTTGTTATATAAGTATAAAAACGAATATTTGTCGAGTTGGAAATAGAATAGGATGGTAGCACATCCATTTATTTCATAGCTTGTTATGCTACATTAGCACACTAGGTCTATGTTTCATAATTTTTATTGTAAAGAAATCATACAATAATAAATAGACAATAATAATGATTTTAAAATTAACTAGAAATAAATAAAAAAATATGGTATATGTAGAAACATAATAAACACTATTTTATATTAATATTAATATTTAATATTGCAAATGCGAAAGGAATATCATACTTTTATCATTATTAGTATTCGCTAAACTAAAATGCTATTTTATATAATTTTTTAAATGAAAGCTTGGCGAATTTGAGGTACCTTATTAGTGTGGTCGCAGACCACGACATAGGTGCCGGATTTTACTGCAAATCTTTGCTGCGATTGCGATACGAAATAGCTAATCTATACATATAATAAAATTCTCACTGAGTCGAATCTGTTCATTAAATATTTTTTGGAAAATCTTATTGTAATATTCATTATTATCGATACAAAGGCCGAATCAATAGTTTTTATATTTTTGCCTGTCTGTCTGGTAACGCATCACGAGAGAACCACTGGACCGATTTGATGATGATAAAATTTGGTATGATGATGGCTGATTATCCGACATAGTTACTTTTTATTGCCGGAAAATATTTCATCTCTGAGAAATTTATACTAAACGTTAAAACGTAATGAGGGGCGAAACTGAGTCGCCAGTAAATTTAAAAAATTATAGCTATCAAGTTTTTCTATTCATAAATCAACGTTAAATTCGGTAATGAATAGATCGCATAGTGGGTTTCCTTCTCCGTCACATTCAATTCTATACAATATGGCATTTTGCTGGGCTACAATTTAGGGAAGGATATTTTTTTAATTTATTATAAATATATGGTAAAGTCAAAGTAGGTATATGACGTCTTCACTTAATTTTAACTTACACATACGAGTTCTTTACAATTAACTAGTTAACTGTTCTTGTCGTTATTTGTTATGTGTTGACCACTGTCTTAGGAAGTTGGGATGTTTAAAGCATGCTTCAGACGTGCCATTTTTAATTACCGACGCAAAGAGAGGGGTCTTATAAGTTTGACTGCTATGTCTATCTATCTGTGGCATCGTAGCTCTTAAACGAGCGAACTGATTTGGATGCGGTTTGTTTTTATTTGAAAGCTAGATTCTTGGCGATAGTTCTTAGACATGTTTTGTCAAAATCAGTGCAACCATTTACTAGATATGAGGGATGAAAGTGGGTATAAAAAATCAAATATTTTCAAATATACCCAAGCGAGGTATCAAATGAAAGCGCATAATGTGTACATTTTAATTAGTCATGTTTTATCAAAAACGGTTCAACTATTATAGAAATGGGGGTTAAAGTGGTGATGAACAATCGAATATTTTCAAATATACCCAAGTGGTATAAAATGAAAGGACATTATGTGTTTATTTAATCCCCGACGCAAAAAGACATAAGTTTGACGTGACTGTTTGTTTGTGTGTATCTGTGTGTCTGTTAGTGGCAACGTAGCTCCTAAATAAATGGACCGATTTTGATTTTTTGTTTGAAAGCTGACGTGATCGAGATGGTTCTTAGCTATAATTTATGAAGATCTGTTTAAGCGTTTGATGATCATCACTCATTTCTTACTTGGCAATAGGATCTAAAAAGTTTTCACAGATCCGATTGATTTGTTTGATGTACTGTTACTTTGGTGGTATTTCCAAGACATGCTAACCTTGAGTACCTTGGGCTCATAAAAATAATCTCAATGAGAGTTATCTCTTAGAATTAGTGTTCGCGAGTAATTTAAAAAGAGTGAAATAAAAATAAAATTATAAATTTTTAAGTAACCCTCGACACAAAAAAATCCTCTAAAAAGTAAAAAAATAAAATTTCTCTCTTGGCCTTTTAAATTCATTAAAAGTACCCATTAATATTTTGATGACGAGCATCGCTGAGGATTTTTTATTTTTGTAATTGAAATGCACGCATCAGGTGTATTAAACTTATAATAAATTGTATTATTGTTGCATCGTCATTTTGGTACGTTTATATCGATGGTTATTACATATTTTAATTCTGATATTGTAGGTAAATTCTTCTCCCTGCCTATTTCCCAATCACTTGGGGTCGGCGCAGTACATCTTCTGTACTGCTGAAAGGATTTAACAAAAGTTTTACGACCGGCCGCCTGCCTGACGTCAACCCTCCTTGGGAATGTTTTTTTAAATATCATTTTCCTTAATAGGACCGTCAATGTCAAATTAAGAGTTTCACCGTTATAACAAAACACGTGTTCTTCAAGGTTAAACGTTCTTCGAGTGCCGAAAGTCCATCTCAATTGTCAACAATGTTTTGTGGCTTGAAAGGGATTTTATTCATTAAGATGAAACCATAAATGCAGCATCTTACACAACTACTATTCGCTATTTTATGAAAGCAATTAAAAGAAAAAAATAAAACCAGGAAAGTAGATTAGCATGTTGTTTCTTCATACAATGTTACTGTCAAGCAGAATTTTTACAAAAAAATCTGATTAGAATTTAATATTATAGAAATCAATTAAGCCCAAAGTTGAAGTAGATAAACGAAAAAACAATATTATCATTTCGTAATTTGTAGGTATGTTCCTCTCTAAATAAAAACAGGAAAGGTTTAACTTTAGTCCTAGATGCATTTCGCATTTGTGATATTACGGAAGATTTCAAAGAGGGGCACTTTCACAAAAATATCATCATACTGTTAATGAAAACCGTACTGAATATATTTTTTGGAATTAGCCCGAATTAATGTCAGCGCAGCGAGAGACGTTTATTTATAATATGTAGTGATTAGTATTTCAATCTTTTTTCCCTTTTCCTATTCTCTGACATTCCGCGAACTTTTTGGTATTCCGTCGTATTATAATGTAATAATAATGACCGACAAAACAATGTTTTTAGATTAAAATAAAATAGTATTAAGGTTGCATTGTCTATTTTCCATGTTTTGATTATTTTGTATTGTAATCAATAAGTAAATTGTATAAAATTATGTTTATTTATAAAATATACTTTTTCGTTTTAGAAAATGAGATACAATTCCAATGCCACCTTCAAAGAGGAGCTTTAGATTTCCGAGATGAGATTACATATGAATTGGTTCAATTTAGCGGCCATTTTCGTAAGTATTAAAATAATAAAATATTTAAAAATTTGATATGGACCATTTGAATTATAATAAAATAAAATATATAATATTTATAATGGGTAAAAAATAAAAATACTTAAATTCTATTTCATTTACAATACTCGTATAAGTGTAAAAATATCCCCAGGAATAAAATTATGGATTAATTGTTTTTTTATTATGATTGTGAAGACATCATAATTTTTCTATCTTTCATCTAAGCAAAGGGATTTATAATATACGGTGATTGTTAGTAGTTGTTTTTATAAATAACTAGTGACTCACCCTCGCTCCGCTCGGGTTATGCCTAGGTACGTTTTAACGTTTAGTATAGATTTTTCAGAGATGAGATATTTTCCCGCAGTAAAAAGTATCCTATATGTTGACCAGGATAACTGGCTATCATCGTAACAAATTTTATCATAATCTGTCCAGTGGTTTTCTCGAGATGCGTTCCTAGATGGACAGACAAAAATTCTAAATACTATAGATTCGGCCTCTAATCTATCGATAATAATGATACAGAGATCAATAAGCTTTTCCAAATAATATTTAATGTACAGATTTGACTCAGAATTTTTATTATATCTATTCTTCTATATAAATAAAAATGAATGTAAGCGCATAACTCAAGAATGGCTGTACCAATACGCCAAAAATTTTTTCGTATGTTCCTTAAGGTCCACGGAGGGTTTTAATAAAGAAAAAAAAGGAAAAATTAACGAAAAAAATAAATTAAAATTTATATGGCTAATGCTGGCTAATAACTATTTATATCTATTTAAAACGTACCTAGCGACGAACCCGGGCGAAGAGAGAATTTATTAATATTTATTTTATATGCGATACTTTACATATACGAACAGAACAAATTCCTAAACATTCCAGGTACTAACATGGAGCAGAATGAAAATAGTGACGTTACATATCCACCAGATGATTCGAGGTAAGATATTGAAGCACAATATCGTTTATAAGCGTATTTAAATATATGTACATATAAAAATGTAAAGTAAATACATGATCGAACAAATTTTTTTTGAATAAGATTCACTAGAATTCCTGAAGTTTATTAATATAGTTAAATTTTAGTAAAACCAAAATCAGTCTTCAGTAAGAAAATTAAACACATATTAATTTTTTTTTGATTAAAAATATTTTTAAAGTTATATTTATAAAATTTCTATATAATAACTTATCTAAAGATGAAGTGAGGCGTTTTCTCGAGCAGAAGACCTTGCTTAAATTATTATTATTATTTATTAGTTATACTATTATTATTATATAGTATCCCAGCGACTTACCTACACTTCGCTCGGGACAGTCCTGTTTAGACACGTTTTATATAGATAAAAATAGTTATTGTCAGCGTACTTTAGGAGATAGACACATGCTATCTCGGACTTTTGTGTTTTGTTTTTGTGCAAATACACCGTCTAGCCTGCCATTTCTGAGTGTGAGTCTGGCAAAGAAAGCTCAAGGTTAAGTTCTTGGTGAACTGAAAAAAATATTAAATTATGATGCATCACATTCGTAGCACTCGCGTAAGGTATTTTTTAACACTAGCCTTCAAATAATATTTTTGATCGACTTCGATATAAAGAAATTATTCATTTGTGCTTTTTCGTGTATGGTACGATATTTTCGTCAATTGTGATTAGATTTTTAAGATTATATTTTTAAACAAAAAAGTTATAGGTTTGTAGGTGGTCACAGATAAATTAAAGAAAAATCCACACCTAATGGTGAATTTCTTCTTGAGCCTTTAAGATGATAAGTTTGTCAAGTTGAGTGTATGTTTTAAAAAGTTCCTAATTATTTAATACTTTCTTGGATTTCGTGACTATTTGACGTTTTAAACGGGAGAGACTTTCCCGTGACTGCTGTAAAGCATTCGAATCGTAGTGGACCAAAAATCAAAATAAATCTACGAATAAAACCGAAAAGGGTTTTATTTAAAAAGTAATTATGTATTTATTACTGTAGGTTACTATTCGTGTGCACGGGCCGGCTCTGCACGCCTCAGTTGATACGAGACGTGTCGCTAGTAGATTCTAGCCAGAACGAGTTCACATCGCGGCATAGTTTAGAGTGGAAGTTCTTATTCCTGGATCACCGCGCTCCACCCATCATCGGATACTTGCCCTTTGAAGTGCTTGGCACTTCTGGATACGATTATTATCACTTCGATGATTTGGAAAAAGTTGTTACTTGCCATGAAGCTCGTAAGCTCTTTTGGTCTTTTTATCTATTTTTGAATATTTAGCGTATTAGATATACATATTTTAAGTAACGCTTAAGTTTGACAATGCCGGGATATAATGTATGCTATAATAGTAATGCAAATAAATAATATAAAGACCGAAGTAAGATTAATACTGTATAAATACTTGTAAACTATACATATAATATATATTTTACTTAAATAATGATATTTGACACTAATATGTAATTTGTGATTGATTGAAAGTAAATTATAATATTTGTTCATTTTTAGTAATGCAAAAAGGTGAGCTAACGTCGTGCTGCTACAGGTTTCTTACAAAAGGGCAGCAATGGATTTGGTTGCAAACCAGATTCTATATTACTTATCACCAGTGGAACTCGAAGCCTGAATTCGTTGTGTGCACACATCGAGTTGTAAAGTAAGTTGGTTTTATAATTAAAAATAAAAATAACAACAATTCTCACTACTGTCTTGCAAGTGATAAGGGTTTCCTTCCTTTATTTAAAGTTCTCTGTTTGCGCCATCTATTGATAAATTCTGAATAAGTAATAATAACATTAAAATTGAATTATTCATTATAGCTTTAGCTTTGCCAAATATAGCAAAATTTATCATAGAAAACTTAAAAATTAAATGAATAAGGAATATATTAAGAGTAAAGTCAAATCTAAAGTTCAACGTAGCTCTTAGAATATTATATCAGAAGTTACCTGCGTGAAGTTTTTCCTATTTAATAAAGTTCACTGATAATGTTATATAAATAATGATATGGTACGCATAAAATGATTTGCTCCGGTTGATTATTTTAAAAATCAAATATTAGCAATTAATAAATGTAGTGTGTAGGTACAAATGCACATATATATTTAAATACTGGTGGCCGGTGCACTACAAAAAGAGGAAATTTGCTATTTTATTTGATGAGCAAATTAATAAAAGTATTTTGAAACGAAATGATGGATATTTTATTGAAGTTATACTGCTTTTGGCACGATTGGAAAAAAATATGAGAGTAATAATTTTTGATGCGCGCGTCATGATGAAGTTAGCTGAAAGCAACATGGTGAAGTTACCTGCATTTCTTTTACAAACAGAGGGTTGTGACATACGGGATGAATTCTTTAGCTATTTTTGTTTTGTTACGCCAAAATAGTATAACTACTTGTGTGCGTAAATACGTAGTACACACACGTTTTTTTGTGTAACCGCAACATGCTCTTTTTCCGTTTAATGTTTTGATAATTTAATGATAAAAATCAATATTTCCAGCTTTGCCGATATAGATAAAAGCACAAAACAGGAAAATGGTGAAACTGACGTGAATAATGAATCAGAGCTGAACGGAAATACCATGAAGGAGAATTCATCTGAAGATGCTTTAGTCTCCATGTCGCCTTCTTACTTGTCTGAGGCTAGTGATGCCTTTGGTAACTCCTATCAGTCTTTATCTCAGGCAAGTGTACTTTTAATGTTTCTGTACCTAACCTTATTAATATGGCTAAATAAACAATTAAGTAAACGCATCACATTAGAATGGCTTGACCGATTTGGCTTTTTAAGTGCGACAATAGTCCAAAAAAATGTAGTTAATATTGAACATTTCTTACTATTCTATATAATTTTTATATGACCTCAAAGGTCTTAAATAGCTAGGATAGGACAACGTCTGCCGGACTAACTATCTTATACATATAAATAAAATGAAGGCATAAGCACATTAATTGAAAACGGGGCAACATAAATAGTCTGGAATTAGTCAGAAAAAATATATATTGATGGGTGCAGTTTAGTATATGGGACACAACAGCTTCTGGAGGAGTGAGCTATATTTTTGAATCCGCTATTGATGATAAGGAAAAATCCCATAAGGAAGTTAACAAGACCGAAGTTAAGGAGACTTTAAAATATTATGTCATTTGCTGTTATTGTGACACTTCCCATTGTTCTGATAATTTTATGTCCGACACAAATCAATTATATATCATAGTAGAGTATCTGGGTTTGAAATAAAAAAGACCTAACGAGAAAGACGGCTAGCCTTCTCACGTATCATGATCCAAATCTCATCTGTCTCCTAATTGTATACTTAAAATTGCAAATATGAAATAAATAATCTACTTAAGTTTCAAAAATAGTCAACTTACATATTAATTATAGTTTATTATTTTAGCTTGCTTTTTATATTTTAATTCAATATAATCCTCAGCCGGCATCAGTGAAATCAACAGCAACGTCAGCGGGTAGTACAGGAGCCACCATCGCATCAATTGGGACTTCGACTACGGCCGCAGTCTCCTGGCCTACGAGAGCTTCTCACGCTCGATACGTAGCGGGTTCTGATTCTAACTCCATGTCTGGCGACTCTAGGTCGTCTCAACGGAACAACTCGCAAGAGGTATAAGAGTATTATTATAGGTGGACATTCTCTATGAGTATTAAGTAGTCACATGCTGTGATTTTTTTTCTATTATTTTTTGTCTATGTCTATAATAAAATTGTCATAAAGCCGAATCCGTACATTATTTTTTTTTTAGAAAATCGGGAAAAAGTGGGAAAGTATTTTATTTTTGAGAAAAAATACAAAAACTGGTTGGAGTAAAAACACCCAAACTATAAATATTTGAGCAAGATAATTTACAAAATAATGCAAAAATAATTATAAATAGCTTCACATGAAAAAAACTATATTAATAGGCGAGATTTTATTCGTTTAATTTACTCCAAAAATATTTATTTATGTATTATTAAGGTATTCGTCAATTATAGATGTCGCCATGTGTTTTTAAAAGGATTTTATGTTTTATGTTTAACAATTAACTTTATTAACCAACTTCTGTGTAACTTAACCAGTAAATGACTTATCAGTAGTTCTTCTGTTTCAACGCTATTCGGTTGTTCTTTAGTCAGCAAGTTAGATACTTAAGTGTTTCAATTTACGGTGAACCCATGTTTTAAGGCCATAAATGTAACAGTATAGGCATTTATGACCATTTACATTAAAGGTAGGTCTGCTAGAGTAGTAAGATACGCCAACTATCTCTATATGCTTTAAGTGTAGGCACTGATACGTATAAAGATTATTTTTGATTACTTCATGTTAATTGTGTGTATCTTTGTAGATCAAAAAATGGTATAAACACAAATTTTAAACAAAATTATATAATATTTTTCATATTGTTTAATATTTTCTTTATATAAAGACTAAAATATAGATTTCTATTTATTCATTTTGTATTTATGACTTAATGCAGCTCGGATTTTCTTCATTCGCAGCCACGTCTCAACAACTGATGGTACTTAACAATTTATTTACTACTAACAAAACACATCTATTATCGCTTGTTTTGGTACTGTTTACAGAACTGTATACTTACATGATTTTTTTGTTATGAAATTTAAATATTTAACACCTCCAGGTAAATTTATAAGAAATTAATTAAAGTTCTAAGAAATCTATTGTTAACTGTAACGCCGGCGTGTCCGCGGTCGTGGAGGGATTAAGATAATGTTAATAATAAAAAATATTGTATTATAGCCACATCGAGTTTCCGAAACATTATTAGTGCCGCAACACGGTATAGGCGCTCAGTACTTAGAGCCCTCGCCGTATGTCAGCGCCGTGGGAGTGCCGGCAGTACTTCCCCTGTCACTCCCTGCCTTGCCGGTCCTAGTGTCCCCCGACCAAGCCCAATTGCAGGTGAGCACATGTTAAGGTAGCGAATATGTATTGTATGAATTTATTCAGCCTTTTTTAATATCCCACTGCTGGGCACGGGCCCCCATTCAGTACTAGAGGATCAGGCCATAGTCCACCACGCTGGCCAAGTGCGGGTTAGCGGACTTCACATGTGTTTTGAAAACTTGCTAGGTTCTCTCAGTCATGCAGATTTCCTCACGATGTTTTCCTTCACCGTTAAGGCAAGTGGTAATCATGTTGGAAATGATTCGCACATGAAAATATCAGGTGCGAGACCCGAGATTTGAACTCGCTTCACTCGGTTTCCCAATTATATTTAGCTTATTATGTACATAACGTTTAGAATTTTCTTAGTTTAGACTATAATTTCTGCCCACGGCTTTTCCCACCTGATTAGTGTCTCTGTTTTATTTCTTTTCTTGAAACATTCAAGGGCAGCGCCATCTATCGATAGGTTCAGAACTAAAGTGTAATTATTATCCCATGAGAACACATTAGGTGGATAACAAATGTTGTAATTAATCCATTACAAAGTCTGTCTACTAAATATTCGTGATTGAGCTACACACATTCAAATAATTTTACAATTTTTCAAAGGTATTAAACTAGCAACTTACATTCGCGTCACTCGAGTGAGATCGATGCCTAACAATATTATAGATACTCCAGGATATTCTATTTGTTTACTTTTCATTCAAGTTCGTCAAGTCGTTTCAGTGTAGCATTTATTATCAAAGTCCGGTAATACATTATTTACACGTTCGCACATTTATGTTAGTCAATATATAACTATAGGGTATAACCTTAACAAATACTAACCTTACGATATTTAAGTTAGCTTGTTAGATCGATCAATAAAGCACTAGATACACAATCCCATGCAAAGTTCTTTAAAAACTGTCACAAATTGTGTTTAGGTAATTATTCTAATTGAAATAAATATACAAGAATGTAAATTGAACTTTAAATGCAACGCTTAAAGTTGTTTTCACAAAAAAAAAGAATTAAAAGCGCGCTCAGATGTTCAAATGAGCGCTCATTCAGTGAGAATATTTTTTGTCGTTGATTGTGTATTTAGTATTTTTTGATCTATGGGTTGTTAGAGCTTTTTTATTTTGATTGATTTGATGATGCGAGTACACATACATACAAATATTCGCATTATAATGAGTAATCCCATAATATATTATTTATGTTATTGCTAGAAGTAGGTAAAATTGAGGTGTTAGGAACTTTATTATTTACACGTTCACATGTTTTCGTTACTCATTATATAAACAGATTAGCGAATCCACCTCGCTTCGCTCGGGTTCGTCTCTAGTCTGCTTCCCAATACAAACTTTCATCCCCATTTTCACCTCCTCAAGGGATGATTTCTGGGATAAAAGTATCCTATTCCTTCCCAGGGTCTCAAAGTATCTTCTTATCAAATTTAATCTAAATCGGTTCAGTAGATCAGAGATTACCTCCTACAACGTCACAAACTCACAATTCCCAAAGTCACAATATCACAAACTTTACTTCTTTATAATATTAGTCTAAATGAGCATAGGATATTTAAATTAGGCTGTAAGATCATATTGTTTGCGATGATGCGAGTTAGTGGCCGTGGCAGGAGCAGTTGCAGCGCACTCACCGCGAGCTGCAGCAGATGATTGTCCGACAGCAGGAGGAGCTTCGGCAAGTCAAGGAGCAACTACTACTGGCCCGACTTGGAATACTACAACCTCTTATGAATGTAAGTACTTATATTCGCAGAACTTCAACATGTTGGCTTTTTATAATTGTAATCTAAGCTAAAAATAACTCACATAGTTATTACATAGTATGATAATCCCTGTTCATTAATTTTAATATTAATGTTGTCAAATGCAAGGGTTGTCATAAATATCAATTTTCATATAATATGTTACAATTATATCCGTTAACCCTAAAGTCCTAAGTGTCATAAAAAAGTAAGTTTTACAGTCTAGAATCTTGATGATTCTGTTAGTAAATTGAGGTTATATGTAATACAGTCTTACATATATTTTTAGTTTTCTATTAACAATGTCTATCGTAAATAATATAAAATAAAAATAAAATATTGTGTGAAGCAGTCAGAGAAAATAAAAAATATTTTTTTTACAAATCACTTTATATCACCGATTTATATCATACACTAGCATTGTCCGCGGCTCCGCCCGCGTTCAAATGACCAAAAACCAATTTCTTAGCTTTTACATATTAGTATACTCTTATAATGCAGTTTTTGTTACATATTACTTGTAGTAGTACTCTTACATTGTAGTTTTTGTATTTTTTCTCAGAAATGAGATATTTTCCCGTGATAAAAAGTATACTATATGTTTACCCGGATAACTAGCTATCATCATACCAAATTTCATCAAAATCTGTCCAGTGGTTTTCTCGTGATGCGGTAACAGACAGACAGACAGACAAAAATTCTAAAAACTATAGATTCGGAATCTGTATCGATAATAATGTCTATTTCAATTAGATTTTCCAAAAAATATTCAATGTACAGGTTCGATTTATTTACAATTTTATTACAAGTATAGATAATATAACTATTAAGTTTTAAATCTATACCCCTAACAATTATTTAACAACACTTAAACGGAATAATAAGAATGCAGAATGCAGAACAATAAATTTCAATCCCGAGCAAGACATTTATATATCCCACGCAATCCCCATCCACTCTCCTCTACTCTACTCACACTTCACATCGCTATACTAGCGCCTCCTCTCCAACACCCGCTCCTCACTTCACTTTACTCGTTACAATTGTTAAGTAAATTTACTTTGGTGAGATTTACAAATAGGTATCTATTATTTTCAGGTGCAAGATCCATATGCTAATCCAGAGGAAATTCAACCTAATCAGCGTATACTCCCACAAATATTGTACGAGGGAACCTCCCGGCCTATGTACCAGCCTCTAACACAGGCCCCGCCCACCGGACCCGAAAACCAACATCAAATGCCACCACAGTAAAAAATATGTTGTCCTGATTTGTCCTTATAACAATATATGTTACTGACAGTTTTTATATGCCACCGCATATAAAAATATGTATTTTCTGTTTTTGTCAGTTTAATATGTGTGGTTTTACTCCCAAATACTGGAATTTTTTTGTATGCCGACTCAGTAAAACGATTGTGTTAACCTAAGGTTACGCTCTTTATAATGAAGTATGTGTTAAGTATTGCGGTGTTATTTTATAGTTATACTATAAATAAGTTATCAGCGGATTTTCCAAAAAGGCGAAGTTTCTTAGACTTTCGAGAAGAGCATGTTTAAATAACTGCTAGTTACCTGATTTCTCTTGTCCCAAAACGATTCTGAAAGGAAATTCATATTTCCTTTACTTTACCGGACCTATATTGATAATATATAACTCTCTCGTTACTACAGTATCCAGCGGCTAAACGCACTTATTACTAGAGCGAACGGGTCAAAAAACGTGCCACATTACGATGTTGTCTCCTGCACTATATGTGCATACGAACTATCGACTGTATGCAGGCCGGATCTCATTAACTAAGATTATTATACTTCCTTGTATGCACAAATGTAGTGTTTAATCTATTAAATAATAATATATCTAATCTAATCACCATATGTATCTAATTATCACTCTAGCTGTTAGGGATACCATTTTATGCCATAATCTACGTGCAATACTACTACTGTGTAATATGGTTATTACGTGCACTTTTATATATAACGTCCTATTAAAGTAGGTAAATGTCGATACTTTTTCGATGAAATTTATGAAGTTTTGTATGTTTGCGATAGTATCATATAAATAATATTATAACTGCAGAGCTAACCAGCTAGCCTATGGATATGAGAAATAGTGTTATATAACGGGCCTAAAACAGTGCAATTAATATAAAGTAAAATTACAAATAATATACATACACTTGAAAAAGATAAAATACGTACATATGTTGGTAGATATACAATAACTTATATATTATACATACTATATATCATTAAATATATGTATACGTACATATCAAAATATAAAAATATATATAATAGTATATAATCCTCGCCAAACTTTTTGGCCACCTTGAAATGTCGCCCTGAATTTGTATCAGAAGGTTCTTTCTAGTTTTTTTTTAAGTTATAGAGCGGCTTTGTTGGTTGTGTTTAGGAAGTTTGTTCCAGAGCAGAGTAGCATACACTGAGAAAGAATGCGAAAAAAATTGTTACCCTTTATTATGTCTAGTATCGACGTAGCACAAGACTGGAACAAGGGTGTAGGTAGAATTTGGATACGAGAACGAATGTAGGGAGTAGAATTTGGGTTATTTAAAATATTGAGGAGGAACGAAAGGGTGTGCATATCACGGCGAAATCGGATTAGGAGCCGTTTTAGTTGAGCACGAAAGTTTGATATATATGATCTTAAACCGTATTCTAAAACTAGACAATATTTTATTTTAATTATCACCTGAATAATTTATTAAATCTAAATAATGTACTTAAATTAATTCAATTAATTAAATTATTTAACTGTAATGAATTCGTGCTCATTTGGTGTCAGCCATGTTTGGACATATTTAATAAATTATGTAATAGATAATTAATTTGTTCAAAGACAAAAAAAGTGTCACATACTCGTATATTTACAAGTATCGTATATATCCAAATATATATTTAGTTATGTGGCCGTGATATTTAAATTAAAAGCAATTTAACAATAATATAATATGAAGCGCTGTATGCGTTCAAAGATCTCAAGAAATATGGAAATAGCAAGTACGATGGATGCGGTTTAACTTTTTACATATAACAAGTTACCATTTTACTTTAAGTATTGATGAATATGAATTTTTTGATATAATGTCGCGTTAAGTTAAACGATTTTCTTTGAATATACTTGAGCTTTACATGCTTGATAAATATAAAATTTATAGGGATATTAAGAACGTTTTTAAATCACCAGTAATACATTTTAGCTGAAGCATTTCATGAAATAAAAATGTAAGACATTTTTTTATTTTTTTTTTATAATACTAACCTGAAGCTAATATCGGTTTAGCTTAGAAATATAATAATTGTTCATGGCTCGATTACAATCCCAGTTTTTAAATTTCTTTCTCGGCACCAAACATTTAAGTGTACCTTGTGTGTCTTGGAATTCTTGATGACCTTAGTCCATAGATATGATATTATCAGTATTACCGATCAAATGCTTACAAAATAATTACTTACAAAATACAAACTGACGTACATACATCCCAAATAGAAAAACGTTAATTAGAAATGAGAAAATATAATTGTCGTTTTTGTTGCTATCTCAGTAATAAACAACCAAATAACCTTTGCGCCAACTAGACATAGTTATACCTATGTACGTGAATAGAATTTTGATCTAAATCTGCAGAAATTTTAGCTTGGTATTGCGTAAAGTAGCTTTGATTTTGCGTAGTAGCATAGAAGATTCATAGCAGTTATATCTAAAACAGAATATTAAGTTTATCTACAATAGTTTATTTATGGTGGCGTTTGGAGTTTTAAGTATATAAATTATCTTTTTATTATCATTTACTTTTTACTATATAAACTATTTTGAACGAAATTTTGTGCAATTATAGAACTGTAATGCTTATGTAAGATACTTAAATATTTATATTTTAAAAGAATAAAACAAAAATATATTGATCTAGATTTCGTTTTTATTTAGTTACATTTAATAAATGGAAATAAATATCTTTCAATTTCCATTGATTTTTTAAATTTTGAACGGCGCTAGTCCATATTTGTTCAAATTAATATTTATTTAATTTTTTTTGTTACCACTATTGTTGGTTAATGATTTGGCTTTAAACGGTTAAAAATCAATATTTTTATTATTTTGTTAATATATACATATAATTATGGCTCAATTTGATATCATTAAAAAATTTACTTTTTAAGTTTATTATTATTGTTAGAAATTCCGCATTGCTATTTTGTTAGAACTGCGTGACGAAAATAACTATTACAATCTACTGTTTAAGTTAAGCAATATCGCATTTACTACATATTTGTGGCATATTAAGTATATTGCATTTTCGCGAACAGTTTTATTCGGCGAAAAAGTACACAATAATCGTACCTTATTAAAATTAAAGTGTATTAATGGTTCTGTGGCAATTATAGGTTTAGACTTTAGTACAAGTACTTATTGAAGTGTCGATCACTTTTTGAAGAAGTGAAACGAGTGAGATGGCAATCATTAGAATTATTATAGTAGTGGTATGGTACTGATGGTTACTTGTGTTATTTATTATATAGGATATTAAAGCAATTATTGCACTATAGTGTTGATATTATGATTCGGGAGATACAATTTCACTTTTAGACACAAAAAACAAGAGTCAGTGGAAATATCAGTTGTGGGCCTGGCAAAAGTGCAAGACAAAATGTTATTAAAATTATTTTTCTATTCATTCTATTATTAGCACAATTAATAATTAAATTTAATAATAATAATAATAATAGATAAAAAGCTTAGCCATATTAGATGATCCAACGACTACCTGAAGAAAATAGCTGGTGGTAGGAATTAAACGTTTGGAAATGATTTTATCAGTTTCAATGGTACCTCCCAGAACATTATTCTTCCTATGTGTCAAACTTGTAATATTGTTTGGTTGTTTATTTTTATGAAAACTTTAAAAGATTACCATGTATTTTTTAATATGATAATTTAAATAATAATATTCATATATTGATATGCGAAAGCGTACATATGTTTTGTTTGATTCTATTTGTTAATATACGTCTGGATATATCTATTTATTGTTTCTTAGAAGTCTTGTATATTTTTTAGAATTATTTTGTTGTTTTCTAGTACTTGATACTATACATTAGGGTTTTATATTTAGATAGACGTGGCGTTCGTAATATTTATAACATTAGACCAGTATTGACAAAACAATTACCAAATTATTTGTGAGTGGTAACATATCCTAAAGTATTTTTGTACTAACACTAGGTTAATCAAAAACTTGATTATACATTTGTTTATTACATACAAAAAGATAAGTAAATTTTATTTCCTATCTAGTTTGATTCACGTTAACATATTGCCAGTGTCCAGTGCTCCACAAAGATTAGGGCATAAAATATATAATATAGTAGATTGATGTAATAATTTAAGTAAATATTCATTATTGGATTATTAGATTTACTTATTAGATGTGAGTAAATGATCTATATATTTGATGTGCAATTTTCTACAAGTTATCGGTGTATGCCACTTACAATATATGTACCTACCTATATTATCTGTTTTAAAATTAGGTGTCTATAATAGGATTTATCATAAATGTGTTGATAAAATGTATTAAGCATTTGAATTCTATATTCGTGGTAAAATATATTTTTGAAATTTAGAAAGACTCGTTTTTAAATAATATTATTTGTTATTTCCAATATTTAAGGATAGAATACTTTAATGTCCATTGTCTTATATTATTTTCACGTAAAAGGTGATGTGTGTGGTGAAAAATGAAACTCATGTGGTATTACATAAAAAGGTAAATACATAATATCTTCATGATATTCCTTACGTATATAAAAACACTTTAAATTGGGAGATATAATAAATAAAATCATATTAAAAAGTCTTGCACAATAGTAATGTAATGATAATATTATTATTGTACACTTATAATATTAAAATTCACATCCTATCAAAATCAATTCTGCTGTTATAATTTAATCTAATGAGGGCCAAAATTTTGAGATATTTAGAATTTTGTACATATCATATATATAGAACGAGGCATAGGCAAATCGAATATATTTTAGATCGCTGTTTAAATCTTTCTTTTTTTCAATATTTGCTGTATATTTTCAACTGAAGATATATTATTAAATTCTGTGGTTAATGGGCGGGAATTTTTTTTTGGCAATTAGAAATTTATCAATCAATATCGCTATATACCTAAGTAGGTATCATGTAAAAATGTAACTGATTTAAAGTGCTATTCATTTTATTTTACTTTTGCATTGTTTTATAACTTCTTAATAGTGCGCTTTTTTTAGGATTCCGTAGTCAACAAGGAACCCTTATAGTTTCGCCATGTCCGCCCGTTCGTCCGTTTGTCCGCAGCTTAGCTCAGAGACTTAGTAGTAGAAAGCTGTAATTTGGCATGGATAATGGATATACATATTATAGTCGCGCCGACCAAAAATGACGGCAAAGTCGCGCGTGGTAAAAAAGTCTTCTTGGTCCAAAATATTGTGATGGGCAACTACGGAACCCTACATTGCGCGTGGTCCGACACGCACTTGGCCGGTTTTTTACATTATTGTGATATAGTTATTATTTCGGATGTTGCATACATTCTTTCATATTATTATTGTGTAATACATTGGTTTAAGTATAAGAATTTTTAAAGAGTGTGTGGTTTTGAGTGAGTAATAATGATGGTTGGTGCTCTTAACGTATTTGAATGTATTTAATGGATATTGTCTTTTTATATTTTTAAGTAGAAAATAATTTCATAGTTTAAATAAATTTTGGCAGTAAGTTTGCTGTCGTCTACCTTTTTATCCCATATATAAATATTATAAATACAGAAAGTTTGGATGGACGTTTGTTACTCAATCACGTCAGAACGGCTGAACGAATTTGATGAAATTTGGTATAGAGATAGATTATAGCCTGGAATAACACATAGGTTACTTTTATCCCAGAAAAATGCACGGTTCCCGTGAGATACATTTGTTTCTGTTTTTCATGTATAAAATACATTTTTAAAAGAGATTTTTGTAGTAATATCTTTAAATAAAACTATCTTTTCGGATTATTTCGCTGATTTATTTTGATTTTTGGTTCCCGACGTTTCGAATGCTTTACAGCATCCATGGTCACGGGAGAGACTGAGGTGTTACATGTTTTGAATGTATAGTTGTTACAGACAGCCTACCCACAATTAACAAAATGAAAATTGCACCAATTACATTACAATATTTTTTAACTTTAAACATTTTCATAATTTTAATTATAATTGAATATGGAATATTATTTATTTAATTTTTGCTATTATTCTTATAATAATTCCAATTTTAAAAATATTTATTAGTAATCTATAAATAGTGTTGCCATTATTATATTTATAACCATAAAGAAAAATATAAAATATAGTATTAATTATTTAAGCCATATAATTGTTCTATGTGTAATTTAAAAAGTTAAAATTAATTAAGGATAATAATTTTAATTTAGTTTGCTATTATTTAAAAACAACTTACTAAGCAACACTATTACTATATACTTTTACAAATGAAAAATATTAATCTGATATGCTGTCATTTTGATCTACACAGTAAGAACTTACTACATCTACCTGTCTAGTTAGGTGTAGGTAAAATAAATCCGCGAAATAATCCGAAAAGATAGTTTTATTTAAAAATGTCAAACATTCGCGTAAATCTAAGAAAGTATTATTAATATCTTTTGAAAAAATGAAGGAGTATGTCATGATATTTACAATCATTTTGTATATATATTTTTGTATAATGTATTTTTTTTAAATAAAAAGGCTAAGGTCCTTAGGTCTTTTAACCATGGAACTGAAAAGTGGGTGACATCAGAAATATACATCTGTTAGTAGTAGTTTTAAACATTCACAAAATGGGTGATTCTATTTTACAATTTGTTGTTTTATTGATGCAGCAATAAGTGGAAAAATTTGGGGTACACATTAGAGCGGCAATATAATACGATTATCTGCTACACATGCAAGTTATGTAAGGCACTATTAAAACAATTGAATTATTTCGCGCTTTTTCTCAGGATGATCAAGCCTGATGAGATAATAGAATCATTTACAAAATCGGCGTAAATTTTGAGAAATGACCTTATTCACATAGTTGCTTTTGAGCTCTCTTTTGATTAAATTAGATAAAAATCGAACAAGTACGCGTGATTTCTTGTTTGGCGTCTGCAGACATTAGTCAGATATACTCACTGCTATCACTTGACTACATAATAAATATGCTTAATCATGTATATTAAGACATTGCCTATTATTGCTTTCGTTTTATCGCCATCGTTGAGAACTTGCTCACTTAAATCCACAGACATTTTACTTTTCGTAGGTTGATATTTTGTACCCATACAGATTGTATGTAAATTTTACTTAAATTATTAATTGTTAAATTAATAGATAAATTTTGAAACATTAAATTAATTGCTTGCCATATTGTTATATATTTTTTAAGAAAAGCCAAATAGTGCACCATTGATTTTACTTTACTTTTAATTTGCTGGCGACCAAAAATAGGTATCGCAATGAACAATTATTCAAAATTAAATATTTTTATAGGGGAATGATTTGAAGACATAAAAACCGATACATTTAATACTGTACCTACTTCATTTAATTAATTATTATAAAAATATTACTTATATTTATGACCCAGAATCATTCAGATATTGCATTCCCATTAATTTATTATAGTGACTTTAAACTTTGATCACCAGTTTATTTCATTTGTATAGACAATGTACATGTAGAGCAGTTGGATAATTAAAAAAAATATATTTTTATCCTCAATTTTTAGAGATGTATGTACTTCTTAAAAATATATTGTAATACATTAATGTTTTTAATTATTAAATGTTAGCGTAATTTGGACTTATTAGTTTTTGTTATTTACGATAATGTTGAGGTTTTTAAAAGGGTGTCAGTTTAAAATGTTCTAGCCCAAAAGTGGTTTATGAAAATAAAAATATTATATACCTATACCTATTTTTTGTTATTATTGTAATTTTATCTAAGATAGTAATCTAAATGTGAAATTTACGAAGGAACTTAAACTAATATTTATTTAATCATTTTCATATGTTAACCGTTTTTAAGCTGACACATTTGTAATTATATACTTTTTATTTCTATAAACATGTGATGTTAATGTAAGTAGTTGAGAATACCCTCTAACTACAAAAATTTTTTGACCAAAATTAAACGTCGTTTGTAAATTAACTATAAATTGTGGATGTAAAGAAAACAAGAAAACAAAATAAAAACATTGTAATTTATTTATTCTCCTTATATTTTATACTTTAGCATCAGAAATTGTTTACATACTAATTAACATTATAGTAGTTACTTGTGCTCTATAATTATTATAAAAATATATTTAGTAAATATACTTGAATATTAAATTTCAAGCCATTTTTTGTCCTTTACACATACGCCAGTAATAGCCCTTCAAGTTGATTAACTCACTGTGCGTTCCTCTCTCGATGATCTTACCTACAATATTAAATTGAACATAAATAAAAAAAACTCATGCATACATCAAATGGTAGGTACTTTACAAAGTCACGGCCATGGGTAAACATCGATTTTTATCGTCGTTACAAATAACGAAATAATAAAACGAAAAAAAGACGATCTAAGTCTTACGTACCTTTATCTAAAACGCATATAATATCTGCATCTTTAACAGTAGAGAGTCTATGGGCTATGGTGATACATGTTCTTCCCTTTGCAGCCTTTTCTAGTGCCTCTGTGACTGCCTGAAATGTATCAATTTAATTATATTTTGGCTATTTTTACCCGACTGCGGCAAAACACATTTTTTTTAAATTATATTTTGATAATAATTTATTCATACACTTTTTACAAATTAACATAAATAGATATAAATGATGAAGAGATAAATTAGCTCAGATATTTAATTTGAAACCTCGTGAGCTAGGTTAAAAACTATGTTTCAGGTTACGGTTTAACAATGTATTTCTTAATGGGACAAAAATGAAACATGACTTATATGTAACAGGACTAGTATGATTTTTTTTTGTTTTGAAATGGGCGTACTCTTGACATTCATCTTAGTTGGAAGGCATAGATAAGGTCTACGATGGAGCGAGTTTGCTCAGAAGGAGCCTGTTAACACGCCCCTTAAAGAATTTTAGGTTATACGCACTAGAAAAACCAGACGTAGGGAGGGCATTCCACTTCTTGGCTGTGCGCATTATAAAAGAAGACTAATGGTGCGAGTGGTCGGAATGTCAACCAAGAAACGATGGTATCCTGCAGTACGTCTGGTGTTCCGAAGAATGGCGACGGCGGTATGAGACCATAGAGCTCGTGAGCACACTCCCCGAAGTACAGTCCGTAGAAGACCGACAGACAAGCAGCTCGGCGACGGAGTGTTAAGCTGTGAAGCTTAGTTTTCACGAGCTTTTCGTCGCCGATTAGCTTTTTGGGTCTGCGTTCCACCGAGTCAAGTGCGGTAAGTTACTACTTTGTAGAGCCATCCTATAGGTGACTGCAATACTCCATGTATGATCAGACTTGATCTTTGTATAATGTGAGAAGATTTCCAGGCGTGAAGTATCGTGTAATCTTTTTAGGGATATCCAATTTTTTGAACGCAGTCTATGCTTTCCACTCGATTTTTTCGCCAAAATTAGGATTTGCACTTAAATAAAACTTAAAGCTTACATTAGTAACTAGACTTACATAAACATTATTATAATAAGTATCGAAAAATGTAAGGAAATCAAATGCCGGACTATGTGAAAAGGTAATGATAGTCTTCTTTGTATACATATAAAAATTATACAGATATAAAAATGTCAGTCTCTTACTCTTTCACTATTGGCGTCTAAGGCTGAGGTAGCTTCATCAAGTAGAAGCAGTCGCGGCGAGCGTATGAGTGCTCTTGCAATACAAATCCTTTGCTTCTGTCCCCCTGACAACTGAGCGCCGTTTGCACCTAAATTTGTGTCGTAACCCTATGGAAAAGACAATGATTAATTCAACTTAATCTTACAATGATTATGTATAATATGTCAATCTATACTTATAATAAAATCGAAGAGGTCAAATTTCTACATTAGCTTTTTTAAATTCTATGGATTTATGCTGTAACTAGCAACTCACCTTCGCTCCGCTCGGGTTCGTCCCCACGTACGTTTTAACGTTTAGTCTCATAAATACGATATTTTTCCACATTAAAAAGTATATGTTGACCCGTATTTAGTATGATGATAGCTGGTTAGCTATCATCATAGTACTCATAAAAATCCCTTCAGTGGTTTTTCCGTGATGCGGCGATGCGCGATAACAGACAGACAGATAAAAATTCTAAAAATTATAGATTCGGCCTCCGTGTCGATAATAGTGTTTATTTTAATAAGATTATCCAAAAATATTTAATGTATAGATTTGACTCAGTCAGAATTTTATTATTTGTAGAGATATCTCAAAGAATGTGTATCGGTTATAGTAAAAATTATAGAATTACGCATTAGTTTAGCTAATTTTGACTGCGAGAAGAAAAATGATTCCTTCTATATAATTAATGAAATTGTATGCATGTGATAAGAATGCCTAGTCTACATAGATTAAATTATTTAATATTTATTTATTGTAGAGCATTATAGATATTAATTACCTTGGGCAATGACACAATGAAGTTATGAATATTTGCAGCTTTGGCAGCTGCAATAATCTCGTGCATTGTTACTTTACGGTTATTGTCACCGTATGCTATGTTTTCCGCAATGGTGCGATCGAATAAGACTGGTTCTTGTTGAACTACTCCTAATTGCCTCCTTAGCCGTGGAAGTGTGACTGAAGTTCGGGTGTCCCGCCCATCTAACTCCTACAAATATATTTATAAAATTATTTATTACATAATTATATATTTTCGACGACACGTTTGGCTCAGTTTGTAGTGACCCTACTTGCTGTGCCAGCGGTTGCGGGTTCGGGTCCCGCTGGGGGCACACATTTGTGTGATGAATATGCAACGACCACTTAGCCCAATAAACACCTCACGCAAGGCGAACACTTTCAGTCAACACGTTAGACAAATACGTCTGACCGGCGAACACATTGCTTGAGACTCGTGAATTTCCGACACAAAAAATACAACAGACTCGCAACATGGCTTCCTGTACAATAAAATGGTATGGAAATAGTAGCCAAACATGTAATTTAAAAAAAAATGGGATGACTTTTCATAGGTAAGTGAATTTTAATTTCCAAATTCATTAAATGTAATTAAATCAGAGCTCAAGTTATATTGGTCGCAACGCAACTCGCGTTGATGTATTCGGACATTCTCGGATTATGCATCCCTTTCTTTTCAATGCAGTTCAATGTTCCTATACTTTTCTTTAATTACCGGCACGTGTAACTAGTGCTGTACCAGTTAAACTATAAAATTTGTCGAAATAAGTTATTTAATTATTATAAAATGCATGATTGTATTGTTACTTTTTTTTTGTTTATAATGATAATTTTAATTTTACTTCTTCTTATTATTATGTATTATTATCAATTTCTTTTGTATAATGACATTTATCTATAATAATAATTACTAGTTTTTTTTTTAATTTTTGTACTTTTAATTCATGAATATTTATATACACTAAATGTAAAGAATAAATAATTGTAATAAGTACCTATTTTTTTTAAATAAATAATAAGTTCATGTAAATAAGTAGTACTTTTATAGTTATACAGAGTGTAAGTGACAGTTTTCCGAAAACATTAACCATGGATATAACTGTAAATAAACCTTGAATAAACCTGTATAAATAATATTAAGTATTCTATTATTATTTCATTATAGTAAAGAAAACTTGTCTTAATTAAAAATATTCTTTAAAACAGAAAATTATTTTACTAAATACGATACCTACATTAATATCCCAACATATTAACATATTAATTATATAATTACGAAAAGGGGTTTCCAGCATTCCTCACCAAATAGGAATTATTTTTCCATGGAGTTGGACATCAGCCACGATAAAGTTGGTATGAAAAGATAGGTTTATTTTGAAGTAAAACTTAAACATATAAACAACGTTTTTTCCGTTCATTTGTTTGTTCAATCTGTTATTTAAAAATAATTAAAATAATTACAAAATCACCTAAGTGCGAGTTGGGCTAGTGTAGGTACCTACCCGTAGTTTGCTTAATAATTACTTTCACATTTACAAAGAACAACATTGTTCAATATTCAGTATTGAAACGAGTCTGAATAAGGAATAGGTATAAACCTCGCCAAACTTTTTGGCCGCCCTGAATTGGCGCGAGCCGCTGCGCCGAACGAACGAGGCACGCGGCATTTTTGTGTTTCATCCGCAGCGCAGGTGCCAGGTGCGAACTCGTCCAGCGTAGTGTGCGTGACTGTCTACATGAACTATATGCACACAAAACACTCGAGGAAATAATTCTTAACTACTTTGTTATTTTGTTATAATATTTATTTTGTTGTGTTTAACTTTTGTTATATGCCTTATAATTTATGAAAAGTAACCTCGGAAAGTACTTCTATTTGACATTGAAAAGTCTTTGTGGATGAAATGTATTTAATTGCCAAATGCTATTAATTGACTTTATTTATCAATATTATAATTATATTTATTAAAACTAAGTAAAAAATTATTGTATATGAAAAAGTAATAAATAACAGTATTATGTTATTTTATTAACATACCTATGTATTTATAATTGCGTTAACCATTGTCCACTCGAATGTAACTGCGCGAGGTCTTGCTAGCGCGAACTTCAGGGCGGCACAAAAAGTTTGGCGAGGATTATACATTCGGTAGGTACATTAAATAATGAGTTTTTAGTTCTCTCGCTGTTCTTTCAGTACGTCATTAGCTAAATCTCCAAGGAAATGGTTACAAATAAAGAGATTGAATAAAACCATAAGCAAGTTATAAAAAATCTATTACGAGTCCGTCCGGTCCTTCTATACAATTTGATTTGCTTAATTTTTTTTAAATGAAAGGTACTGATGTGCAGATTTGTCATGAAGTATTGGAAATAATCTAACTTTCACCGTTCACAAGTTATATTCAAACGCGATTTCCTCCTGTACGTTTCTTGTGTTTTCATAACTTTCTTTGTCCATATTTCCGGTTCAAATTGAGGTATGTACGCGGTTCGTTTTGGTCTAAGAACACTCGCTGGAACGAGCTCTCTCATTTAAGCTTTTGTCCCACTTAAATTGGTTGAGCTGGAGGGAAGCTAGATGTGAACATTCAACTTGACTTTCATATATGAGCGTTATGAACACAATGATACAGCAAACGAACACAGGTCCTCTAGTACCTACATTTTTAAAGTAATCATGGGTTTCATATGGGCATTAATCTTACTACACTACTACTAGTAAGACAAAAAAAACTTTATATAATAATGTCAGCATTTATTTACATTTTTTGTAACTCTTATTTCTCTTTCTCTTAGCCTCCTTTCTCTTTCGAACTCTTTCATTCTCAAAATATAATCATCTTTTTCGCAGTTCATGTATGCGTGTTTTTCATTATGACATTTGTATAGCAAAGGCATGTTTTTGTATCGACAAACTTGATAGTCCAAAAGGTAATGAGCGCAATAGTCCCTATACTTCTCTGGTATACGAGCAGAAACTAAGTGTTCTTCACAAGCTATCATTTCACGTTTCGGTCTGTTACATTGGAAGCCAATCTTGCTGTCAAAAGTAGGCTTGTCATCCATTTTTAAATCTAAATGTCGTGTTTTATACGTTCCCATTATTTGTCCCATATTTACAATTTTTAGTACGTACTTTCTATATTCAGATACTTGACAGCTAAAGTCAACATTTGTAAATTAAAAAAAATATTTCACATACTTGGTTGTCGTGCCAGTATAAAATAATGTTACTTGAATAAGAAGAAAAAAAAGAAATGTAAAATTAACTTACTATATTTCCACTATCTGGATCATAGAATCGTTGCATTAATTGCAGTACCGTAGACTTGCCACAGCCAGACGATCCAACTAATGCAACCGTTTTACCAGCCTCCACTTTCAGGTCTATTCCCTTCAGAATTCTCTGGTTAGGTCTAGTAGGATAGCTAAACTCTACATCTTTGATAAGAAAGTTTCCAGTTGCTATCTGTAACGTAGGTAATTTTTAAATGAAGTTAGAAAAAGGATATCATACAGAAACGACAAAAAATCTTTTACTTAAATATACATTTAAAATATATAAATAGTTTTACCCAGTCTTTTCTGTCTTTCAGGCCACTTTCAGTTTTTACTTTAGGTTCCCTGTTAATAATTGATAGAATCCTTGCTCCACAAGCTTTCGCAGAATTAAAACTAGGTGCGTAAACTAGAGACTGACCTAACATATATGCCCCATACAGCAGGGCTTCGTTAACACTAAAAATAAAAATGAATATATGTAATTATTTTTTCGTTTACCATAAGTCAAGAATAGGGAATATGCGTGTTTTTTTTATTTTTTATACAATAGCTAACATCATTATATGTATTATTCAAAAAAAAAATGCAGCTCCAAAAACCTAAAATTTAGTATATATTTTTTATATCATACCAATACGGATATATACTTATAATTAATACTGATACTTTAAACGCACATTATGATATATACAGAAAAATGACGAGTCAATTTATCGCTCTGTTAAGATAATACTTTGACGTCGTATTCGGTCTGACCAATGACGTACGTTTCAACTACTTTGAATATCCTACCTATATTTGCACATTTTTATAAAAAAAATATTAAAAAAGAAATAACATTAAAAATGTTATTATAGGCCCAATTCAAAAGCAATAAAGATTAAAAAAAAATTTTGGTCTAGTGCGAATCGGACTTGCGAGAGTTCCGTACAAATTTGTAGAAAATCTGTTTAACTTTAATTTTCAACTTTTTTATTTTTTGGAATTATTATTTTATTTGTGTAAAGCACAAATAAAAGAAAAATTCCAAAAGACCTTTCTTTTGCCAAATTTCGTGATTCTAAGGTGAACGGGAACTACCATATGGGTTTTCGACCCAAAAACTATAGGGTACTTCCGGTTGATCTAGAACTGTCAATTTTGGTTAAAAGCAAGGTCTTACAGCATAAGTAAAGGGTAAATTCCGAAAAATAAAAAAAGGTCAAAATTAAGGTAAAATAAAATAAATATTAAATAATTAATATTTAATATTAAATTTGGTATTTACAAGTTTTCGCGAAAATCTAAATTTGCCTTTATTGTGTTGACTCAGGACCTTCATTTTAATACACTTAATAGGGACTATACATATCAGTATCTGGTATAAATTTCAACTTGCTAGGTCCACCCGTTCCTGAGAAAATCGGTGGTGACCCACGGACTGACAGACGGACAGATGGACAAGAGAGTGATCTTATAAGGGTTCCTTTTTACCTTTTGAGATACGGAACCCTAAAAATCACACGCATATTTCGTATTATTTTAGTATGTACAATGTACATTGTACAGATAATAAGTACATATACTTATATAAAAATATTTAAATAAAATAACTTACAGTAATACAATTTTATATTCCAGTCCTTCATTAGCCACTAGTATGGCCCCATAGACGGTAGCGCTGCAGTACGACATAAATGGTACATATACTCCTAAACCCAAGACTAGACCTCTCCATCTTGTCTTTTTGGCGACAGCAGCACATGAGTGTTCTAAAGCCTCTTTAAACTTATTCAAGAATGTTTTTTCTACACCTAAAATCATTTAGCATTTAAATAGGTAGGTCAAAAATGTATATATACATTTTACTGTTTTGTATACTTATTTGATTTTAGAAATAAAATGTATTTACTAAAAAAATATGGTACCTAAACTTTGAACAGTCTTAATACTTATAACTGCTTCTGTTGCAATTGACGTTGCTGATTCCATAGCTGCGCGCTCGTCTGTTTGTGATTTTTGAGAAACTATTCCCTCTAGCCATATACTTCCGACCATCTGTTAATAAAGTAATTAGAATATTAATACTATGCAGTATACACGCATAAAATTTTTATAAATCGTACAATTCTTATATATTAACTAGCAGTACCCGCGGCCTCGCCCGCGTTCAAACTTCCCATCGCTAACAAAATTCACAGGATCACCCGCTGGGCTAATCTGAAGATTATATGAAAATATCAAAATCGCTCCAGCTGTTTTGGAGTCCATAAGAAACATACATACACACACCGATTTTTATTTTATTTAATTAACCGTTTAAATTTATTTATTCCTCAGAAAATGGAGACTTTTATGTAAATTTAGTGGCACACCGATTGCAGCGCCACCTACCGTGTCCATTTGTATTTTCAGACCTTGCAGGAACCCATTGAAATATACACACAAAATTTCATCTAAATCGGTCCAGTCCTTTAGGACGAGTAGGTTAACAAACACACGTACAGAAGAATTATATATAAATATAAGACTAGCGACTCACCCTCGCTCCGCTCGGGTTCGTCCCTTCTTACATTTTGACGTTTAGTATAGATTTCTTAGAGATGAGGTATTTTCTCGCAATAAAAAATATCCTATATGTTGACCCGAATAACCAGCTACCGTCACACCACATCAAAATCCCTCTAGTGGTTTGTCCTTGATGCGATCACAGACAGACAGAGAGGCAAAAATTCTAAAAACTATAGATTCGGAATCTGTATTCATAATAATTTCTATTTCAAAAAGATTTTCCAAAAAATATTTAATGTACAGATTCGGCTTAGTTACAAATTTATTATATGTATAGATGATGTCTCTTGAGTCCATACATTATTACAATGTAAATAATTACTTTGCTTGCTCTGTTGCTGAATTTAAGGACTACCTAACAGACAGATATTTGTCTTTATTAGTATCCGTACTAGAGCAATTTCAAAAAGTACAAAAATGTGTGTAAATGACAAAAATAATTACTAGAGGTAGGAAAGCAGTGCCGACAAGAGTTAGCTTCCAATTATAGCAGATGGCCATGATGAACCCAACTATTACAGAGCTCATGCCCTGCAAGATGAGACCAATTCTCAGGCCAGTAGCGCCTTGAACCTCGGCTGCGTCACTGCTTAATCTCGCGCACATTGCTCCTACTGTGTTCGAATCTTTATCAAAGAAACCTATTTCCTAAAAAATATAATATTTATTAAAAAAAAAACCAAAAAAAACTTGAAAAGAGGTATTAAAAAAATGAATGAGGTCTCGGTCCTAGGAAGTTTCTCTTGGACCACCGATATTAATCCCAATAATTAACTCTACATTCTTACCTGTCGCAGTAATGCTGAGAAATACTGTTGTCTAAGGCGTTTAGTCATCCTTAAACCAGCGTTTGTGAATGCTGAACTTTGCAGGCACATTGATAGTCCAGCAACTGCCGCCACTACGAGGAACATGCCTGAATAAAAGTCTGCTAAATATACGATTTCATTACGATCAGGCAAGATGAAAATCTGAAAGTTAGGTAAAAACATAGCTAAATACATCTTACGTGATGCTTATAATAATTACTATATAAAATAAAGAAATACGTACTCCCGACATAAATCCAAAAAGAAGTGCAAACACAGGGAAACAGGATCCTTGAAGAAATGCAGCAATTGAACCTATTACTATATAGGGCCATTCAGGGGCATTTAATTTTAAAAGTTGCCAATCACTAACTTGTTGTACTTCCTATTAAAAAAAATAACAATGTCATTTCTTTATTAAAATTATATAACACTTTGTATATCGATTAAAGTATATAAATTACGGACCTCATCATCATCTTTTTCTTCATCGGAGTCGTAATCAGCATTGTACATGAAGTTTTGAAGACCAGTGGACATAACGGACGAGATAGATCCACGCGGAGTCATCCAGTCGTGAGACTCTAAATTGTTTACGTCATTGTTATTGGGGGTACATATTAAATTATTACTTGTAACATTTATTGTATTAAAATTTTAGAAACAATATTTAGTTGAAATATTGGCAACTGTTATACCTATAATACCGGACTTTAAATTGGTGAGTTAAGTTTTCCACCGTAGCTACGAAGTGTTTTCTAATTAAAGATTAGCAGAACCCGCAGCTTCGCTCTCGTTAACACTACAAAAAGATCTAAAAAGATAGGTTTCATACAAATTTTCATCCCCTGTTTTACTCCCTTATGGGAGTAATTTCGAAAAATGCTAAAACGCGTATTTATTTAATTACATTGAAGAGCATTAATACCAAGCTTCAAGTAATTCTAATCATAAATAATTTTTTGGGTTGTATTATGGCGTGTTTTCACGTGGGAATGAGATAATCTCCCGCGGTAAAAAGTAGTTTATGTTACTCTCCAGCCTTCCAACTATCTCCACACAAATTATCACGCCAATCCGTCACTTCGTTTCGACGTGAAAGAAGGACAAACAAACAAACACGCTTTCACATTTATAATATTAAGTATGGATTTATAATAGCTTTGATTTAAGATAAACTTCTTATCTATACATATAATAAAGTAGTAGAGGTCTGTACATACAAAAAAATGCCATAAACCGAGTCAGGGGGATTGGATGAAGAGAAAAAGAACAAATCCACATTTTTTTCAAATTTTTCGTTTCTCAGTCTATTTGTCTGTTTGTAAGGGCTAATCTCCGAAACTGTTAGGCCGACTAAAATGAAATTTTGCATGGTGGTACGTTATATCCCCGGTCAAAATTTTAGATACTTTTCCCGTGGGATAGTTTAGAAACCATAGTAACTTATACAGCTCAGTACACAAAAACTACTCATTGGATTTTAATTTAACTTTACAATAATATAGTTCATACATACATCAAAATAACAAATAGGCTACTATTTATCCCGGAAAAATGTATGATCCCCGTGGGACAGGTATGTTTTTATTTGTCTAGAGGCGAACCCGAGCGAAGTGAGCGTGAGCCGCTAGTGAATAAACAAAAATTAATGGCTAAATGTGTTGGTAAGCGCAAAACTCGAGAACAGCTGGACCAATTCGGTTACTTATTTTTTCAAATATAAGTCTGAGGAAAGTGCTTATGAAGAGAAAATTAGAAAAATTCTACGGAAAAACGTTAAAATCACATTATTTATTTTCCTTACTATTTGTGATTATGAATGCAACCTTAATATTAATATAATCTACTTGAATGCATTTGTAGATTTGACACTTCCTCTTTCTACAATGTATCAACAGTTTGACTTTGTTTGTCCTTCTTTTACGTCGAAACAGAGTGACGGATTGGCGTGATAGTTTCTAATAAGTTTAATATTTAATTAATATTCTTTAATTGTTAAATATTAGTTTACCTCTCTTTGTGGAATGATGTCTAACTAATCTTCTAGTGGATCTTCGCTTAACGTCTAATCTGGGTACTAAGGTCAATTCACCAGCCTCTACTTCCCCATTTTCTTCTTCTGGTAAAGTTTCTATAACATCTGGTTCCTTGTTCTCATTACCCGTAGTTACAAGTTTATAGTAAAAACCTGTAAAAGAAATAAGATGTATATTTTGGCGAAGTTACATATTTTAAATTAGTATTATTATAGATAAATCATCTAAAAAGGTACCTTTAGCTTTCATAAGCTCTTCGTGAGTTCCTTGCTCGACGATTATTCCTTGATCCATACAAATTATACGGTCAGCGTTAACAATAGTAGATAATCTAAAATCATTAATATATCTTATTGTTATACATGTTTTAGACAAGAAACAGAGAGGTTAGATTTTCTTAGTTGCTATTTTCGACCCTAGGTAGGTTATAACGTTACGGTTCCTGGGGGAGAAGCCAACTCCTACCAGGCGTGTCTCCAGGTGGCGGATAGGGGAATGCCACCCGCTTAGGGTGGCGGGTGGTACCGGAGAAATCCGGCGCGGACCAAATGGCTTGGGTGGGGCCGCTCGTCTAGGTCTCGAGCCGAAGGCGTTGCGGCCATCGGTGGTGGGACCGCTTGGTCCCATAACCGGATGATGGGTGCCGGTTGCGGGACTGTGGTCGGAGGCCGGCGGAGGTGTAGGCCGCGGCGGGAGAGGAGTGCCGGTATTTCGGTGCGCCATTCTCCCTACCTTCCGCGGCCTAGACGGGGCCGCCACCATTAGATGGCGGACGCGGTGGGGCTGCAGGGGAAGAGGAGTGTCAATGTTTCGTCGCCGCTTTCCCTGTCCTCTGCAGCCGATTGGAGGTGGCCCACTTCGGTGGGCGGAGGTTACGTTTAATGGGGCTGCTTCGGGTACCTCTCTGGCGTAGCAGAGTTGACTGTGGAGCAGCCCCATTGGTTTGGTGGTCTGCCTAGCGCTTAGGCAGACCTGCCGCTGGGGCGCCGTAGTAGTTATGCGCAAGCGATCCTGCGGTGTCCCACTAAGGCGGGGGTAAGGGATGTCGGGCTTCAGTGGGTAGTACCGGTTCTTCTAGCCGGTGAGCCCTACATCACCACCTGGGGGATCAGGTGGTATGCGTAAATGCATTTCCCGACGATTAAAAACGAAAAAAATTAACGAAAAAATTATTAATTAACGAAAAAAAAGGTTATAACGTTACAGTACCTGCCTATCAGTTACAAATACCTTACCATCTAAAGATATTTTGGTGTATGTTTTTAAGTTGCAGAAGTGTTATATTATACGCAGACTAAATATTGACTTTATCGAAGTAACTTCTGCGACTTGTTAATTGTCAGTAGGAAATCTGTTCACTGTCTTCATATAAACATAGAGTTTATGTATAATTTATTTTCATCTCCACATTTTAATCTCATCACTTAATTCCTAAATAAAACTTATCGTTCAAAATTAACTAAAAACACGCTTTACACCATTTGTAACATATGGGACTTTTCAAAAGGATTTAAGTTAGCTTAAACTTGCAGTTTTTACTTACAGCTAAATTAAAAATTTCCACTATCTAATTACACCTAGCTCTATCATCGATTTTTAAACTGTAATTACATAGTTCTAAGTTTATTAATTACGCATGTTTATAAGAGAGTTAAAAAGGTATAAAACTTAAGCAAGAATGTTTTGATGCTCTTACTGAAAAGTAACTTCTATAACATACCTATGTGACACCATAAGTGTAGTTCGTCCAGCGCTAGCTCTATCCAGTGCTGCTTGCACCTGTCTTTCCGAATGAGGATCGAGGGCTGATGTCGCTTCGTCTAAGAGCAAAACTGCCGGCTCACGTAACAAAGATCGGGCGATAGCAATTCGCTGTTTTTGACCTCCTGACAAAGATGCCCCCCGTTCACCGATTATAGTGTCGTAGCCCTAAAAATAATTAGCCCGTAAATTATTATCCTGCTTCCGATGTACAAGTACATAAACAGATGAACCTACTGTCCCTTAATGTGATCGCCACGAATTTAGTTTTTTTAAAGAACAGGTTTTTAAGAAAACCCCTACGTGTATAAAATCTTTTGCTCCAAGACCCAAGATCCGTATAAAGGTAAAATGTATGGTTATCAAATTAAAAAGAACGTCGTTTGTCGTCATAGTTCGTCACTTTTTTGGGTTTTTACAGTAGTCGAATAAAGCATATTATCTAAGTTTATACAGTATACTACGTTTATATGTTGTAGAGTTGTATGGTATGGTAAAAAAATATTATCGGAATACCAACATTAGATAGATGACCGATAAAATCGTGGGCGTATGCCATTTCAGCGACTCTCTGAACGTCTTCCCGAGTTGCTTCAGGGCTGCCTATAGTTATATTTTCGTGAATAGTGCCACGAAATAGTACAGGTTCTTGTCCCACTACCCCTAAACAATAAAAAAAAGGTAGATAAATATTTTATTTTCGAAATATACAATATAAATGGAATAAACTTATTGAAATATTACCTAGAGAAGATCGAAGCCAGCCTAAATTTAAATTCTTTACATTTTTACCATCAAGTTTAACAGTGCCAATATGTGGGTCGTACATTCGTTGCAGGAGTTGTAAAACAGTCGATTTGCCGCAACCTGATGATCCTACAAGTGCTACGCACTCTCCAGCCTTAATGTTGAGTGAGAACCCTTGTAGAACCTTCAATGGATATGAATAAAATAATAATATAGGTACTGTACGTATTTTTAAATAATACCTACTTATGTATAGTAATGTTTTACGCTATTTAAATGCCAATTTCATTTATAATAGATAAAAATAATAGTATAATATATAATTACTGTTTATAAGGATATCTTATAAATCTATACATATAATAAAATTGTAACTAAGCCGAATCTGTACATTAGATATTTTTTTGGAAATCTTATTAAAATAATCATTATAATCGATACAGAAGCCGAATCTATAGTTTTTGAACTTTTGTCTGTCTGTCTGTCTGTTACCGCATCACAAAAAAACCACTGAAGGGATTTTGATGAAATTAGGTATGGTGATAGCTGGTTATCCGGTTCAACATATAGGATACTTTTTACCGCGGGAAAATGTCTTATTTCTGAGAAAAAATACAAAAACTGCAATGTAAGAGTACACTTATATATAAAACCTAAGAATTTGGTTTTTGGTCATCTGAACGCGGGCGGAGCCGCGGGTAAAGCTAGTATTCAATATATTTATAGACTGTTGGGGTATGCAATAGCAGATCGGAATTAGGCACAAATGTATGGTTCTCTTTTTCTTTTGCCAATAGATATAAATATACATACGTATGTTTAGTATAGGCATATGTTTAAAATTAAGTCTTGTGTTTTCATTATACCTTGACATTAGGCCTGGATGGATAACTGAAATGAACATCCTCTATCGAAATCTCTCCGATCACTCGCCGTGGTTGGACTCCTCCTTTTTCAAGGGCATCTATTGTAGGTTCTCTATCTAATAATTTAAATATGGTAGCTGCAGCACCTCGAGCCGAAGCAAATACTTCTGCATGGGGAACGCAAAAGGTAATTGACTGTGTAGCCATGTATACACTGAAAAGAATCTGTGAAAATTAACACAACTGCTACAAATGACGAACGTGTGCACTTACACTTAAATATAATATTTTTTTATTTGTGTAAATAATGTATAAAAAAACTGTAAAAAATATTTGCATAGAACTAGTAAAGCTTAAGATAGGGGCCTTACACTGAAGACAACACCAACAAGATAAGTTCGATCGTCGGTGGGCTTGTCAAAGTCGATGATTACTAATCTTGCACCATATGTGAGACCAATGGCATTCAAAGAATATGTTAGTAGCCAATTAAAACCTGTTCCTAATCCTGTATATAAACCTCGCTTTCGGCCGTACAGCTCCGCTGGCTCTAAAAGACGGCAATACCTATAACAAAATAAAGCTTTAGTATTCGAGACTCAAACCCTAAAATATCAAGCGTGGACAACAGTTCAAACATAATAACATAATAATATAGTTTCATATATAAAAAAAATAATATAAATAATAAAACTGAGAATGATAAATCAAACTTCATGTATAGTTCTATACCTGTCTACTTCTTTAGTCTCTCCACCAAAAGCGACGACAGTTCTGACAGATTTTAGGACTTCTTCAGCTTGCTTACCAGCCTGACTGTAGGACTCCATTTCTCGAATAGATGATTTAGTTTGATACTAAAAAATAAAAATAATTATGAAATAGCTTATCTAATCACTAGTTACTTAGTATTTATATATATAAATATATGTATGTAAGTCTGTAAAGAATTTTTCAAATCAGATTAGTAGTTCCTGAGATTAGCGGATTCAAACAAACAAACAATTCTGCCTCTAGTATATATTAAATATTACGATTATCATAATAATATACAAATCAAAAACGTATGTATATAAGCTACTAACATTGGATAAGATGACGGATGCCGTTATAGAAAATGGTACCACAGATACACATGCAAGAGTCAGCTCCCATCCCATAGGGAAAGCCTGACACAGGCATATAATAGCAGTTCCGATTAAATTTGCTACCACACCTAACTTTTCTCCCATACCATCCTTGAGTTTCATCATATTTCTGTAAAAAAAAAGACTATTAAATTCAATAAATGCGTATACTTATCAACTGATCTATTTAATTTATGTTAAATTTTTTTCATTGTAAGCTTCCCACCTGAATAAAATAATAAAACAGTAATTCAGCGAAATCTGTACATGAAACATTTTTTAAAAACAATGACTGTAGCGTATTGTGTACAGTATATAGATCCCAAAATAATAATTATTATTTTATTTGTCAAATTATATGTTTGTGTGTGCGCGTTTGGTGCAAAAAGTACTGGAGCAATTTTATCTAAATTTTGAGTAGTGATAACTTATTACTATGATCAACATTTATTATCACCTTTTACTACAGGAAAATCTTTCATTCCCATGGGAAAATACAATAACTGGTTCTATCGAGTCGTTCTTAAAAATTACATGTGTAACGCTGGCTAATCTTAAGAGATACATCAAAAGTATGTACTAGAAAATTGTAGGCCTTAAAAAGCCCTACAGAAAAATCTGCAATAGCATAAGTCTTTCTCGTAAGGTACACTTGCAATAACTATTGATATCCATTCAAAACGTACCTGGGGAAGCACCCGAGCGAGAAGAGGGTAAATCGATAGTAAATTATGAATAATTTATCATCAGTTATACATACATATCATCATATTATAAAACTGAAAAGCTTATGTTTGTTTTAGCAAACGGACTTAAAAGCTGAGCTATTGAAAATAACATTATGTAATAATAATTTTATGAAAACAGGCACACACGATAGGTATAATTTTTAAATACTTACTCAGACATTTTAGATGCTAAGTTAAATTCAGTATCTGTGTCAAACCATGACATATCCTGCCGAAGTACGGCTTCCAGGAATAACAGCCTTATTCTTGTAATCTACAAAAGAAGTGAATTTCATAAGATTAACATTTATTAAATTTTATAATTACTTTTTTTAAGTTTCAGAACAACAATCACATTGCTTTATTAGTAATTTTAATGTGATCCAATTGTTTTAGATATTTAACTTTAACTAAAAATAATTAATATAAAATAAATATACTAATAAATGAATAGCTCTAAATCTATATTCATGTCGTAGTCGCATCATGAAAAGCCAAAAAAGTCATATATGTAATCCTTTTCAGGAATATTACAATTATATTTACTTTATTTTATACTAGCGGCTCACCCTCGCTTCGCTCGGGTTCACCTCTAGGAAAACAAGAACAAACTTATATACGGCAACCGTACATTTTTCCGGGATAAAAAGTAGCCTATGTGTTATTCCAGACTATAATTAATCTATCTCTGTGCCAAATTTCATCCAGATCCGTTCAGCCGTTCTGGCGTAAAAAAGTAACAAACATTCATACATACTCACAAACTTTCACATTTATAATATTAATACGGATTCTTCTTATCTACCTCTTATGACTTTTAACATTGCTGTGTATCTTAATATATATAGATAAAATAAACATACTTTACTCTTTAAAAAAATATTTCTAATTTGCAAATCGGGTTGAAACATGACATCATTACCCACAGATGTTTCTAGGTATAGGTAAAGCCGAGATAGATGCCGCAGTTAGGTGCCTCGATTTTAAAAAACTAATTTCCCGAAATCGCAACAAACTAATGAGCACACATATTTTCAATCTATGTATTTTGTCTATGCGTGCGATCATCTCCGCAGCGATTGTGACGAACGCCGCAAAGTTTTAAGCGCAAGTTTTTAATGTTTCATAACTTTATAAGTAGCATTAATTTATATTCCTTTTTTTATTATTTTTGTACACTGATTCATTGAGTCCACATATAGGTAAATGTCAAAAATAGTTTTGTTCAAAAATAAAAGTTCCTGGTAAAAAGATAAAAGGTAAAAATAAAAGTTAGCTTTTATGTAGTCAGGATTTTTATTTTTACAATTTATTTATTTATTTACAGCTTTTTAAGTATTTTTAAGTCTGAAAATTAGCGAGAATGAACTTTAAATCATTATATATCCTAAACCAGGGCCGGATTTAGGGGTGTGGAGGCCCCGGGGCATATCGTATAAATATTAATGTCAATATTTGTCAATATTATTAACAAAAAAAAAATTATATGGCTAACGCTGGCTAATAACTATTTATATCTTTTTAAAACGTATCTAGCGAGAACCCGAGCGAAGCGAGGGTGAGCCGCTTATAATCCAAAGTTATTCACTTGTTTTAACATGATATACTATATGGAAATTTTTAAATTTAAATATGGTAGACTGTATTTAAGGGTTTCAAAATGAAACTCCAATCAACGGGAGTTTTACCTTCCTTAGCTTTTCTTGCTAGTTGCCTCTTCTATTACTATCCGACGAATGGTGCACAATGAGCAAAACTACGTTTTTTCATTTCTAGTTAACAATATTATTAGAGTGAGTCTAGATTCTTATCGCATTGTACATTAAAGGGACGTGACTTAAGCTAGATTCTGCCACCATGTAGACTCGTCATCCGTAACATACATCATCAATTTAAATATTATTAAAGAAGGAAAATATTATTTTTGAGTGCATGCACATTTGATGATAATATTGCAGACCTTAAAATTATAAAATAAATAAACTCACGCTAAAACCAAAAAAACGCATGATTATAATTAATTAATCATAATCCCTCTGTAACCTCTTTTAACGTGACTGCGATGAACTGCGGTGAACGAATATTATAGATAAAATGTTTTTAATATTTAAGAATAATATTATCAATCATATTAGTACAAGTATTATATGTAAAAGTGAGAAAAAAATTGAAAAAAATTTAAATAAAAACGTAAAAGTTGTCGTCAGTCAGAATTTGATTTATTTTAATTTCTTTTGTAGGGGCCCCTCTCTTGCGGAGGCCCCGGGGCTCTAGCCCCGGTTGCCCTCCCCTAAATCCGGGCCTGTCCTAAACTGTTATTTAAAATGAAAAATGATGACAGAAACCTAAAAATGATTTTTAAATACCTATTCAACGATACCCTACTTGACATCGTTCGTCGATTATCTTTTTTTCATTTTCACATTATCGAATCTAGCAGCCCCCTTATGTTTTTTTGTCATCTATCTAAGAACATTTGGACTAATGAGACGAATCTAACCATATTTTAATTAAAGAAAGCCATCGAGTGGTTTGGAAGATATGAAGGAATAAAGAATATTCCAAATAAAAATACAAAGATAGGCGGGAAAAACATAACCCTTTCCTTGCAGTCGGGTAAAAAGGATAGTCGCCTCAATCGATATCAGTATAGCCTTACCCCCCATACCTATCTATACATATCACGAGTATTTTTCAAGTTCTGTTAAAATTTTCATTGCTTGAAAAAATCAATGAATTTCTTTTAATCATTTTCAGTGTTAATATAATTTAATATTCTTCAGAGGAGTACCTCCTAAGACATAGCAATGTCTTACGTATATTTTTAAATTTTAATGCCAAATGAAGATTTCGAGCTCGAGTACTTTCTTGAATATTATTACGCTTGGATTTCCCTTGGGTTTAATATATTACGAAGGTATTTAATTATGTTAGGTTATATTACTACAAGTAAAACATTTTTAATATGTATTTTAATTATTTTATTCAATAGAATATCAATCCTTTTTAGTATTTTTATAGGGCGTCAATCTTTACAGGTAGGCCTCTGTCCTCCTATAGGTATCTCTATCTAAAAATGGTTTCGCAAAGACTTAATTTCTGCAACATCGTTAATTGTTAGGTCAACAAAAATAATTCGTAATGTAATGTAATGATTAACCGAACTGTATTTTAGGACTTAAGTATTCTAATTTAATAGTTTTTAAATTAGGTGTCCTTTTCAAAAAGCGGGGCATCTATCTCGACTTTACCTATGATCGCACCGATGACTTCACAGCGATTTTCAACGTCTTTTATGCAATAATTAAATGTAGTTGTTTATTTTCTAGTCTTTCTTTATATATGTTTGCTTCGCTGATGATAATTTCACTTTATTATAATAACCAGATAAAGCATATGCTTGTATTTTTCATAAGTAATAATGACTGCACTCTAATTCAAAAATCTAAACATTAAAGTAAGTAGTAGGTATGATATATTTGTGAAATAATTATTATTACTCTGACTAATTTGCATGTTATTTAAGAGTATTATTTTCTAAGAAGTACTATGTACTATAAAATATTCTAGATAGAATAACTAGATAAGTAGTTCTATCTTACTTATGCTTTCATTTCTTTTAGATATATTTTTTTCATTATTTTGAAATAAAAATACTGTTTCACTTTTCTGAAAGATGCTGAAAATAATGATACAAATCTAAATACATATGATTATATAAGCGCTTGAAATAAACAAACATTGCAATTTTATATTATACCTACTAGATGGTAAAGCTTCGAAGACAATATGAACAAGGTCATTAATTGAGACAATTGCTTTTGTTTACAGTTACATAAAACAGTTACGAAGCAGTATATTTATGAATCTTTGAAATACATTGATTGATAATAATGTTCAAAATACATATGTATATGTATACACTGTTCCTGTACTGGGAAGCCACTAATGCATTTGTTCTTATGTTATTTGCGTGAACTGATCGTACAATATTTTGCTTTATAGGAACTAAATCCAGGTTCGTAACTCATGAGATGCATGGAAGGGTACGTTATGAGGCATCTATACTATATTAGGTTTATTAAACATATTTTAGGAACACAATAATGATTTTTTTGTAAATTTATAATAAACCTATTATAAATTGCGTTAATTCAAAATAATAAAACTCGAAATAAAAAGGAACACTACTTGTAACGTATTCGACTCGCACTTTCTAATTAAGAAATATTTAAGTAGAAGTAAAAAAGTAATTCAATTACTTCATGCAAATCTTTACAAGATTAAATGTTTTAAAAGTTATTTAATAATATATAAATATTTATACAGATAAATCCTCACTATCTCTGTCTGTGGTTTATTTAAATTCCACGTGTACTACGGACATAAAAGGAGTTTGTTGTTATATTACAGATTGACGTACCTGACGTAAGGCACTCCAGCTGATAAGAGCAATAGAAATCATACTCAGTAATATAGATATAACGATACTGACAATCATTCCAATGGCCATCGCGGTTGCATCTTCAACGAGAGCCTTCATATTTTCTTCGTGTGAAGCATTGCATCTGGACACAATTGAATATTTTAAACAGAATAATATTTTTAAGATCTTTGAAAAATTACATTTCCTTTTTTTATTTATTTTTTTAAACTAATTATGGGATTAATTTTATATAAACGTTTAGCCATTTATAATGAAGACTACTACTGTTCATATAAAATCGATGTAAATTATTAAACGTATATAAAAGGGGTTTAAAGCTGATTCAAAGGCCTTACAATCTCCGTCCTCCTCCAAATAACGTAGTCAAAGGCATATAGCTGGAGAGTTCATCCTGTCGTGCTGTCCTCTCTACAAAAGCTGTACTTAATTCGCCGAATTGTACCAAGTTGTAGCATACACCGCCACCACTCAGTACACCCGCCAGAAAACCCAAAATGGTAGCCATTAGTTCTATCCATGTTGCATAACGGAACTGCAATATAATAATAATAATAGTATAATGTCGTTTATACTACAGATTACTCACTGGCTAGAAAAGCCGATACTGCCCGACTTGAACTAAAAAAAAAAATAGTTTTTGGACTTTTACTGTATCTAAAATACATGTAGCATGAAGATTTAAATTTTTAAATCCATTTTTTAACCGACTTTACAAGGAGGTGATAATAAATGCAAGGTGAGCAATATATAAATATGTATAACATTAATAATCGAAGTTTCAGAGGTCAACATAGAGAATTCTTTTTATTGCGGAAAAATATCTCATCTCTAGAAATATATACTAAACGTTAAAACGTAATCCGAGAGTGAATCGCTTGTAATTAATATATTCGTAATAGTTTTATAGGGAATAATAATATAATAGTTTATACAACTATTATATTGATATGCGTCCCGATATATATAAATAATGGAAATAAAAATTGCGGCACATTGAGTCAGTACTCTCAGCACATTACGATTTAATCAACGATGATTTATTCGCTTATAGCTTTGTAAGCATTATTTCTACTTACAAAGATGTGGCGGTTTATTTTGATTATAATATATAATTTTAATAAAAAATAAGCTAAAACATTAATAAAAACGAGGGAGTCGATAATTTGAAAACGAAATAAAATTTATTATTGAAATTATCATTTTTTTTAAGGGAATGAAAGTAATGCATATAATATTACAACTTTATTCTTTATCTGCACAAGTTACATTGATTATATGGATGAGTAACTAAGAACTTACTATTTGAAAATATGACACCTTTAAATCCGGTTCTGTGTCAGATGATTTCCTAGAAAAAAATACAATTGTATAAATTAAAATTACTTAACCTATTAATTACTATTATATATTCGTTATCCATCTTAACTTGAAGTGACAAAACTTGAACTGAATACGTACATATATCATGAGTAAGTCACCCATGTAACACTATGTGGTTATACATAGTTTAAATTTTAGTAAAGAAATAATTAATTCCCATAAAAACAGACGAAGGCACCGAGTGGTAATGTATATTATATATAATATGAATTCAGCCCCTTTTAACGTCCCACTGCTGTGCACGGGCCTCCCTTCAGTACGAGGGGGATCAAGCCATAGTCCACCACACTAGCCGAATACTGGTTGGCTGACTTCACATATCTTTTGAAAACTTGCTAGGTTCTCTCAGACATGCAGGTTTCCTCACGATGTTTTCCTTCACCGTTAAGACAAGTGGCAATCATGTTGGAAATGATTCGCACATGAAAATATCAGAGGTGCGAGACCCGGGATTTGAAACCGCTTCACTCGGTTTCCCGAGCGAGCGCGTTACCACTGAACTACCTCTATTATATTCTACTTGTATATTTTATATACAACTCTTATACTACTGCCTCTTTTATAATATGTAATACGAAATAATATTTATATAACTTGAGATAGAGATATGGTAGAGTTTTTGACAAATATAAATGCATTTCTTAAATAAAGAATTTTAATTTATAATCAATTTAAATATATTAATAACCAGTAATTTTTAAAATGTATAACTTTACAATTTTTATTGAAATTGGTATAAGCATATTATTAATAACACCTCTACTTATAGAGCCATATAACATTTCCTTAAAATTAAAATAATTATAAAAAATACATGTGATTGTGTTACACGTTTATCAGATAAAATGCAATTATAATTATTGTTGTTTGTACCCAATGCTATTAATAAAAAGGATGTAGAAATAAACGATAGCATAACGTAACTATCTGCATATTTTATAACACTACAGAATTTCAATTTTGCATATTATAAATTCGCACAGCAAAAATAAGAATTACTTTTTTTTTAAATTAGTGAATGAGTACAGAAAATATAATTGTGATAGGTACTTACTGAGATTTCTTTTTCGTGTGGCCCATTTTATTAATATTATTTTAAAAACTCGTTACATTTGGATCACCAAAAGAAATTTACAATGTTCGAGAAAGTTTCAGGTTCGAATAAGCGAGCAGAGTTTTCAGCCGGCGCGTGTCGTCGATTGTCTACTATTAAATATAATTGTCTGGAGTTTCAAGTAATATACCCTTGTTGACGCGATTCATTGTGTTTAAAGATATTAGATATCAATGATGTTCGCACAATTGTATTCACTAGCTTTTACTCCTTTGCTCGTAGGAGTGGGCTTTGGCTATTCATCGTATAAATCAGGTTATTCTTGCCATTTTAAAGGATTTTTTTTTAATTTTCTTGTAATCATATTACATAATCTTACCCTTAACCTCCGTCGAAATGAAACGCAATGAAGTTTTCAAGTCAGTATATTTTATGACAAAAAGTAATATTTCTTATGTTTATACAAGTACATTAAATATTTAAAAAAGAAATTACAAAATAAATAATAATAAAACTGAACCTACATCGTAGTTTAACTGTATTATATTTCTATGTGATGTCATATTTTTAATATATGTACTTATTTTTAATACATGACGGGTTAAAGTTAGTTTAATTTTATGTAATTTCCAGAATTATGTAATCCAATGGATAACATCACATTCCTTGCTTATAAGGATGTTTAGTTAATATCAAAAGGTAGCCATAATGAGTAGTATATAGCTCATAGTAAGTAACCTTTCTCTCTCCGAAGGATCATTTTAGTTTTATTATTATTGTAGAAACAATCTTTATGTTTTGTTATATTTAAAATGTGTATTGAGCAAAAGGAATGTACCTACTCATTTATTTAAAACAACAAAATAATAAAATTTCCAAACGTCGCTTTTAATTTTTACATTTTTTATGATTTTTTAACAAAACTATAACTAAATTTTATAAATATCAACTTACTTTTTTAAATATATTTTAAACTAATAAATAAACAAGATTATAATATAGTATGAAGGAATTTCATTTCTTTCTGTAATTACCTTAAAATCAAATTTTACAGAAAAACCAATAAAATGAGCCCTAAAATCGATCGAAAACTAATAAAATATCAGCGAATTCGAAAAAATATAATATAAATAGATTCTACGGCAAAAAAATACAAAATTACTGGTGTATTTTATGTGAATTTCAACTTTTATTATTTTTTCACGACTCATCAAATTGAAAATTGAAATGTTTACGGCGACGTTGTATAAATAATAAGCGTCAAATTAAAAACTTAAGGATACCATTTTTTCATTTTTTCCTGAAAAATACATTAGTTTAATCGGTTTATAAAAATTTGGTCAATAAAGTGCACTTCTTCAATAATAATTGAAAAAAATATAGTTTACAAAGTAAAAATTATCTATTTCTCCAATTTTTTTAATTTTTAAGGGTGTTTTTGCAAGATGACCATACAATATTTTTATATTTTCAAAAAGTAGAGCTTAAGACGAAAAGAATGAGCCCTATCTAAAACTTGAACGATTTTTTTTAAATGTAAACGTCCACTTGAAGTTGGGGGTGATTTCCAGCCTATCGAGACCATAAAACATACTTTTCTCGGAAAGGGCTAAACATTTCAATTCCTTTTTTTTTATTTATTACATGTATTTCGAAGATTACATTCCTTAAGTTTCATGTAAATCAAAATATTATTCTAGAAATTAAAAATAAAAAACCAAGAAACAGTTAAAAATCGAGCTTTTTTCAAATATCTCGAAAACTTTGAGGTTATTGTAAAAAGTGTTATTGTTATTCCTCTAACATTTTGAAATCATAAAACTTTGGTTTTCAATATTTTGTTCCCAAGCCGGATTCCGATTGGACTAAGATAGAAGTGAAGTTAATAAAAGTGTGTTAATTTTTATGTCCACGTGAAAGTGTATGTCACTGAATAGTTCTCTACTATACAGGCACTTGAGTCAATTTCGCACGGGATATTGATTTTTTTAATATTTTGCACTAGAAATATTTCTATATAAAATGTCTAGTGGGATATTTTTATTTATTTATAAAATAAAGTATAAATATGTAGAATACGTTCAAGCAAAAGTGAACATAAACAAATTACAGGGGATCACTGGATTTTATAACAGATATTAACTAAGAAAACTTTTATAGCGCCATAATAGTCTACATACTCCTATCTATATACGAGCATACTATAATAAAACAGTAACTTAGCGAAATCTGTATATGATTTTTTTTAAATCAATCACTATATATTACGTTTTATGTGCACAATATAAACCCCAAAACAATAGTCATTAATTTTTTTGTCTGTTTGTCTGTATGTCTGTTTGTGTGTGCGCGTTTCACGCAAAACATAATGTGTCGATTTCATCGAAATTTGGTGAAGTGATAACTTATTACTTAAGTCAACATTTAGGATACCTTTTATTCCAGGAAAAACTTTCTTTTCCACGGGAAAACACAATAACTGGTTTTATCGAGTCGTCCTTAGAAACCTTCCGCTGGCTAAACCTTAAGAGATATATCAAAATAATGTACTAAAAAATTGTAGGTCTTAGAAAGGCCTTCAGAAAAGTGTGCAATAGTATATGTCTATCTCCTAAGGTACATTCGTAATAACTATTTTCATTATATATTAAAGGCAATGGTCGCGACTCGCTGACTTATCAACATTCAGCCCAAACTGATGATGATAGACCAGCACCACAAAATAAAAACTACCTTTATATGTATATCCGTACTAATATTATATGCGATAGTAGCTCTGTCTGTCTGTCTGTTTGTCTGTCTGTCTATCTGTCCGTTACCTTTTTATTTATAATTTGGACGAAATTTGGTATGGAAATAGTTTGAGACAATGGGAATAACATAGGATAGTTTTTATCCCAGAATATATGGACGTGAAGAGGGTGGTGGAAGATTGATTGGGGAATCAGTCATTTCTCAAGAAAGGGATATATACTTTTTTATTTTTATAATTTACCCCTTACTCCTATTTACATATATATAGTCTATTTTATACTTATCGTTAAAACTTACGAGTACCTAGGGACGAAACCGAGCAAAGCGAGGGTGAGTCGCTAGTTCATAATAATCTACACTCTCTTGGTAATTGCTTTCCAACCTTTGCAATTACTAAGGACGAAGCAATAACAGCTAAATATATTAATTCATTCATTTGTTTCAGTTTTTACTGATAATATACTTTAAAGAGTAATAGTAACTTATATCCAAGATTTTTAATAAAAGGTAGTGATTTTAGTGACTTCGAAATTTAAAAGTTTCAAGATTTCGGCAATGCTTGATAAAAATTAAAGGAATCTTGCGGCCCCTACCGTCAGTTTCATGATAGTCCAATAGTACGTTAGAGCTGATCTTTAAAAGAACAGGAGACAACTGTGAATTTGGGGCCTGGACTAACTCTTCTTGTAGCCCTAAAGTAATTATCATTTTGTCTTTACAAAATCTATAATGATAGGTACTCGTATATATATACGATATATAGTATTAGACGAAATTAACATAATGCTATTTGGTTCTTAATTTTTTATTTTATGAATGTACAATATTATCCATTATTTTCAGCAGGGCCGTTATATCTTAAGAACCCTTGGTAAATATTTGTACCAAGTAATTTGTTGTAAAGAGAAATTGTAGTTCATACAAAAAATAATATAGCAGTCACGGGGACTGCCGAAAAAAGTGAAAACTTATAACTTTGTAATAACTGTGTCTTTTTTATTTTTTATTTAATTTATAAGTAGCTTGTCAACGACTGCCGAGGCACAGGTGGCTCGGTTTACAATTAACTTCTAAGAAATTAACCGCGAGGTTGTGGTATGAATAATTAAAATTTCATTATTTGTAAATTGTAAATAAAAAAAAAATATTTAATGTATAGATTCGGCTTAGTTATTATTTTATCATATTTATAGATAAGCATTAACCTACGGTACATCATAAAAATATGGCAAGCTCAACCGAGGGAAGAAAATACATCTCACGATGAGATAACAGTTTTTCAATTTACACATTAACAAAATATAATAAAAGGCGCTAATCTAATTAAAGAAGTTTATATATATGTATATATATATATATATATATATATATATATAGTGTATGTTAACACTTAATATATATAACAGTGCATATTAAGATTTTAATTAATAGTCTTCGAGTAAAATGGCTGAGACATACGAACTGACAGAAAATGTCCAGATGGTAATAGCGAAATAATTAGGGTTCCGTTTATTACATCCTTTGTTACATAATATTTAAATAGAGATAGACATGATTACACACAAACTATGCATACGATGCCATGGGTAAAGACTAATCTGCAAGCGGTAGGTACTAAGCCCTAGGTGCTTACAAGTTTACTTTTTAAGAATTTGTTGTCAATTTCTTTAATTCAGGTACCTATTTGGCATTCTTTAATTACCTATTAGTATGAACTAGGAGAAAATTTTGAGAAGTTCAACATTCGAGGAGACTTTCAGGATATGTTAACGAATCTTATTTGTAACTAGCATTGCCCGCGGCTCCGCCCGCGTTTATATGACCAAAACTAAATTCTTAGGTTTTATATATTAGTATACTCGTATTAATAGTATATTAGTTGACCCGGATAACCAGCTATTACCATACCAAATTTCTTCAACATCCCTCCAGTAATTTTTCTGTGATGCGGTCACAGAGAGACAGACAGACAAAAATTCTTAAAACTATAGGTTCGGCCTCTATTAGCGATATAAATGTGTATTTCAATAAAATTTTCCAAAAAATATTTAAAGCACAGATACTGCTTCATTAAATTTTAATGTACGAGTATCTATAGATGTAACTAATTTATAAAGCCAAAAAGATTCTTTATTGATAAATTTGAACACGGGCGGGGCCGCGGGTAATTTAGTAGTAATTCTAATAAAATCATAGAAAGGTCTAATTTGTACATTCAATTTTTTGGAATTAAAACTACGTATTTTAAAGACACATGGTGACACATATCTAA